GCGCCGGTTCGCTCCCCAGCTGCTCCCCGGCGACCAGAGGAGGGTCCCACATGGCGCGCAGACCTCTCCTGCCGCCCGCTGCTCCCCTCAGCAGTGTACTTCGGTCCTTCTGCCTGCTCTGCTCCCTGCTCTGGCTCTGGTGAATTCTCTCACCCTCCCGCGCTTCTGACTGTACCCAGTGCTTGTATAAACAAAAACAAACAAACAAACAAATAAATAAATAAAGCATGCCTCTATTTAAACTAAATAAATAAATAAATAAATAAATAAATAAATAAATAGGGCCTCCCCTGGTGGCGCAGGTGGTTGAGTGCCGCACTGTGAAGCTGTCCGCAGCCTCTGCAGCACAGGTTCAATCCCTGCCAGCCAGCGAGGGTCCCACATGGCATGGCAGATCTCTCCTGTCTCGCCTGCTGCTCCCCTCAGCAGTGTATTTCAGTCAGTCTGCCTGTTCTGTTCCCTGCTCTGTCTCTGGTGAATCTTCTCACCCTCCCGCACATCTGGCCTGTACCCTGGTTCTTGTATAAATAAACAAATAAATCTTTAAAAAAAAAAAAAAAAGCAAACTTTCTTTAAAATAAATAAATAAATAAATACCACCGCTAGCCACATCAGGACACTGTCTTCCGGATGTTTCTGCTCGCCCATTATACCTGGGAATATTTAGAAGCAAAATCCTGGGCACATCCATCCATGAATACTTCAGTGAGTATCTCTAAAGAAGAGTCCCAACACAGGGTGATTCTGGCCTCCAGGGGATCACCAGGTGATGTCTGGGACATCTGTGGTTGTCTTACTGGGGGTGCTCCTGCCATCAGATGGGTGGGTGGGTGCAGGGAGGCTACTCTATACCCCGCGGTGTCCAGGACAGCTCCTCCCACAATGCCCAAGCCAACGTCAGCAGTTCCAGGGATGAGGGGGTGGGGGTGAAGATGTGTGTGTCACAGGCCCAGCTAGGGTGGGGACGATGACAATCCAGGCTGTCTCTAAGTCTCACCCAGAGGAACCGTGGGTGGCTATGAGTGTCTGGTACTCACAGAGTCAAACACGTGGACTCACAGACACACAGAGCCAGTCTCTTTCCCTCCCTGCCCATATATGACATCGCTCCAGGGTGCCCCAGAATGGTGCTCCCACTGGGTCCCCGGGGAAGGGTGGTGTTGGGGTCCAAAGTCGGGCATTGAAGAGACTCACAGAGGGCAGGAAGTGCCAGGGCTGGAGAGGGGGAGCAGGAAGCCCTGTGGTTTCCTCTGCAAACACCTCAGACACCTTGAACTCGGACTACTGGCCCCACTTGGAGAGAATAAATTCCTGTAGCTTTAAGTCACCCATTTTGTGGTATTTTGTGACAGCAACTGCAGGAAATGAGTGCAGTTGTTGAGGGAGTAGTGGCCTCAGAGCAAGGGGGTGAGTAAGGGAGACTCTGAGGTTGCACATGGGTCTGGGGACAGAGATGTTGAGTGTGGAGGGAGTACCTTTCTGCCAGGCTGGACTGGGCCAGGACCAGCGGGAGTGGGGTATTTGTGTCTTGTCTCTCACTTCATGTTTCTATGAAAGGGGAATTAACGACATGATCATATGTAAGAGTCAGTGAGACGTGCTGTTATCTCATGAGGCACCGTGAACGGAAAGACTCAGCAGTCAACGCGGACACTCAGTGAAAGAGGCAGCTGGGTCTCTGGGACAGTAGGCTGGGAAAGTGGGATTAATAACAGGGATAGGCGGGCCTCCCTGGAGGTGCAAGGGGTTAAGTCTCAGCATTACAAAGCTATCTGCAGCCACTGCAGCACAAGTCCGATCCCGGCCAGGGAGCTACCCACATGGCGCAGCAGACCTCTCCTGTCTCCCCGCTGCTCCCCTCAGCAGTGTATTTCAGTAGATCTGCCTGTTCTGCTCCCCACTCTGTCTCTGGTGAGTCCTCTCACTACCCTGTACCTCTGGCCTACACCCCAGCTCTTGTATGCATAAATAAATACATCTTTAAAAAAAAAAATGCAGGATAGGGTTCAAAAGCAGACTCACAGAAAGAAACCCAAAGGGTTTATTACACAGGGACTGAGGAAAAGGGAGAACATAGAGAGAGAGATTTCATATGCCAGCCTGTGGCCAGAAGCGACCTTTCCTAACCCAGCTAGAGTCTGTGTGGCAGAGACCAGAGTCCAGGCTGAAGTTGCATGTGGCAAGAGAGAAACTTCTCCGTGACACTCTTCCTTGCCAGCGGTTCAGCTGCTGAAGTGCCAGCAGCTTTATGTGCCAAAGGCACAGCTCAGCCTCCACCGCCAAGCAGCAGCCCCCCAACAGGATGTCAGGGGTGGAGGCTGGGAAGCTCCCTTTTCTACCATCTAGTTGGCTGTTGGCGCCACCCACCGGCTGGGATATTGATCTTCACTGATCCTCTGACATGCCCACTCCCACGGGGACCTGGGCAGGTGACTTCTCTGCAAGCCTCAGTTGGCTCATCTGTGTTGGGGAGGATGGGACATTTTCTCACCCCAAAAGGAAAGCCTGTTCCTCTCATCAGCCACTCCCATCCTAGTTGTAACAACCTCAAACCCACTTTCTTTTCTTTTTAAAATTTTTTATTTACGTATATATTTTGTGTAGAAGAACTGGGGTGTAGGCCACAGGCACGGGCAGGTGTGAGAATTCACCAGAGACAGAGTTGGGAGCAGAACAGGTGGATCTACTGAAATACATTGCTAAAGGGAGCAGCAGGTGAGACAGGAGAGGTCTGCTGCACCATATGTGGATTACTTCCCTGGCAGGGATTGAACTCAGGCCACCAGGGAGGCCCCCCTCAGCAACCAGACACAGTGGAGCTTTCCTGGCTCTGCTGTGTCCCAGCATGAGGTGCTGATGGGTTTTCAGTTTTGAAATTGGCGCAGTTTTATCCACAAACCAATAAGGTTTGAGCTCACACTGATGCCATTCAGATTTTTGAGATCTACAAGGTTTTGTAAACCGACCAGTCAGGTTTGAGGTTGCAACAGCGCGAATCAAGTCTTGGAAATGGTGCCAGTTTTGAAAATGAACCAGTCAGGTTTGAAAGGTGGGCACCCTGAAGGGGTTATAAGCTAGGGCTTCCTATTTTCCAGACACACTAGTCCAGACTCTCTCCTAGGAAGACCTCTAACTCAGACCTTCAAGACCTCCGCTTTAGGGGCGCAGACTTCAGAGACTCATTGAGAACATCTCATCAGACCTCTAACTCTCTTATGACTTGCCTGAAAGGCTCACCTGATGGACTCATTGAGACCTTTGTGTCTGATCTCCACTTTGAACCCCCTCCTGACCTGACCGTGGCTCCTTCCTCTGGCCCTGCCTCTGACATGCCTGCTGATTGGCATTGTGCCTGGTACTTCTGAAAAAGCATACATTAGCTAGTGCCTGATCCTCCACATCACCACCTGCTGACCAGTGCTGACCGGCACTGCTGACCTGTGATTGGCCATTTATAAGAGTTGTCTACTGTTTCTGATCCTCTGACACCACCTCCTGAATGCTGTCCTTGCCTCTAGCACTTCTGGCACCATTTCCTAGTGCTATTGTGCCTGCTGCTGCCCAGCCCAGCCTTCCAATTCCTGCTGCACTACTGCAGTGCTGCCTCAGTAGTCGCACCCATGCCTACCTCCAGCTGCCACCATGAGTTGGATCCTGGTCCACCACTCACTGGTATGCCATCAGCACCAGGCTCTAGTCCAAGTGACAGTGCCATCTTGCACAAGTAGCTTTTGGTTTAGACTATTGGACACTGCAGAATCTATCTGCAGTTGGACAGCTGGCCATAGGAATTCTTGTGACCATAGGAATTCTTTCCTTTTCCCCAATTTTCCCTTTGTTAATAAATCCTGTTATTGTCACACACACACACACACACCCTGAGCTGTCCCTTTGGCATTTAGAGCTCCTGGCACTTCAGCAGCTGAACCACTGGCAAGGAAGAGTGTCGTGGAGATCAAAATCATGCCACAGGGGCTGCGGAGAGCTTCATAGTATTGAGACTTAACCCCCTGTACCATCAGGGAGGTCTCTAATTCCTTTAATAGCTGTTGGATCTGTAGTGTTATCCCTTCCTGCATGTTTGATTTTGGTTACTTTTTTTTTTTTAATGACTTTTTTTTTTAATAGAGGCATGTTTTGTTTTATTTATTTATTTGTTTGTTTGTTTGTTTTGTTTTGTTTTTTTTGTTTATACATGCACTGGGTAGAGTCAGAAGCGCGGGAGGGTGAGAGAATTCACCAGAGCCAGAGCAGGGAGCAGAGCAGGCAGAAGGACCGAAGTACACTGCTGAGGGGAGCAGCGGGCGGCAGGAGAGGTCTGCACGCCATGGCCATGTGGGACCCTCCTCTGGTGGCCGGGGAGCAGCCGGGGAGCGAACCGGCGCCGCTGAGGCTGCGGGCAGCTTCGCAACCCAGCGCTCAACCACTGCGCCACGCCACCGGGGAGGCCCTTGGTTACCTTTTTTTCTTGGTCAATCAGGCTAGAGCTTTATCTATTTTTTAAATTGTTTCAAAGAATAACTTTTTGGTTTCAACTAGGTCCCCTATTCTTCTTCTATTTTATTTCTTTGTAAACCATAAAGATCTTCTCTGATCTTTATGATCTCCTTTTCAAAAGAAATGTGGGACTAATCCATATGCTTTGATGAAGACTCGCTGGTATGGCCCCCTTCTCAGGGTCACTTGAGAATCTGATGCAGATCATGGATCTGCCCCAACGAAATGCACAAGGGCACACTCAATTTTGTAAGCAGTCTTACGAAATTCACAGATCTTGGGCTCACAATCCCCAGATGGAGCACAAATCAGATTGTGTCAGGTTCCAAACTCTCCACATCTTGGTTATTGTGACTCAGGGCCTCACACAAGACAAGCAGTTTGAGCAAAATAATCTAATGCCAAAAAGGCAGGAAACAGGGGCCTGGTACCATGGAGGTATTTTCAACTTATGAAATACAACAAAATACAACTTGTCCAGTGGTATTTTGCCAACTCCTTACCAAAACACTTCGCTGGGATTACGCCAGCACAGTTCTGAGTTTTTGCCGGGGAGCTCTTTTAGGGTAGAGATGGAGCAAAACTTAAGAGGGCTCTCAGCCTCGAAGCGGCCACTTTAGACACTTTTTGACCTTTGACCTCGCATCAAAGGCAGTCCTGGGAACCCTGGCAGCCCCGACTCTCTCCAGGGCTCCCAATCTGCGATCAAGGCCCACGAAGACTGCGCCCAATTCGCACTATTCTGAGAAGGCCGTTGGCGCTCGCGAACCGCGACCCTGGCCCCCAACTCCAGAAGAGGGGTGCAAGACGACTTCGGCTCCCCACGCTCAGCTCCCCGCCCCCTTCCCGAGACCGGCGCCCTCACTGACCAATGAGCGGATCGTATTCCTCGGGAGGCGGGGCCGAGAGTAAACCAATCCTTGCTCGGGCGCCCGCCCAAACGGCCCAATAAGCAGCGGCAGCGGGGCGGGTCGTGGGGCGGGACAGGCCAATTTGGCCAACGGGTGGGCACGTCCGCGCCGCGAGGGGCGTGGCCGCGGCGGGGCGTGCGGCGGCGCGGCGGCGCAGGGCGGGGGAGGGAGGTAAACAAGATGGCGTCGGCGTGTGGGGCGCGGAAGCGGGAGGCGTCCACGGGCGCTCGCTAGTGAGGCGGCGGCGGCGGCCCCGCGACGGGCTTGCATGGGCTGGGGCCCCGCGCCGCCCCGCCGGCTCCACACGCGCAGGGCCCGGCGGCCTCGGGCACCCCCGGCCTGCGCCTCCTCGGCCTCCCGCGGCCCCGCGGACCCCCCGCGCCCCGCTGGCCGCGATCGGCGGCGGAGGGCGAGCGCGGGCTGCCGTTTGGGGCGGGGGTGCGCCCGCCGGGCCCCCGCGGCCGCTCGGGGGTCCCCGGCCGGCGCGGGAGCGCCCCGGCAGCTGCCGGCCCCGACTGGGTTGGCTCCGCGCGGCCGCCGCGTCCCGGGCAGCCCCCCGGACCCCCGAGCGCGCCCCGCCGAGCGACGCGCCCCGCAGCCGCGGCCTCCGCCGCCCCGGGGGTCCTGAGCGCGGCCGCGCGGCGCGGACTCCTTCGTGCCCCCCGCGGGCCCTGCGCGCGCCGCGACCCGCTGGTAATGGACGGTCCGGCCGCGTCCGCGTGGGTCCGGGGGTCGCACGTCCCCGGAGGATGACGACCTAGCACCGGGACGGCCCCGTCGCCCCGGACCGGCCTGGCTCGGCGGCCCCGACCTGCATCCGCGCGGCCCTTCCGGACGCCCCGCACCGGGTGCGCACCCGGCACGCCTTTCTGGAACTCGCCTTTGGTACAATCGCTTCTTTGCGAAGAAAGGATTCCCTTTACGGGGGGGGGGTGTTGACTTTCTTTTGGGGACGGGAATTCGGGGGACAATAAGAAGAACACTTGGCTGCCCGCGACTTCGGAGGGGGCCTAACGGACCGCCGGCCGGGGGGCGCCGAGGCGCTGCTCCAGGATGGAGGTGGCCGACCCGCAGCAGTTGGGCATGTTCACGGAGGGCGAGCTGATGTCGGTGGGGATGGACACGTTCATCCACCGCATCGACTCCACCGAGGTCATCTACCAGCCCCGCCGCAAGCGCGCCAAGCTCATCGGCAAATACCTGATGGGGGATTTACTAGGGGAGGGGTCTTATGGTAAGGTGAAGGAGGTGCTGGACTCGGAGACGCTCTGCCGTAGAGCCGTCAAAATCCTCAAGAAGAAGAAGTTGCGGAGGATCCCCAACGGGGAGGCGAACGTGAAGAAGTAAGTGTGGCTGCCCGGCTCTGCGGTCGGAGCGTGGTCCTGCCCCTCTCGCCTCTAAAACCTGAGCCGACCACCCAGCGCCCCCACCCTTCTGGCCAGGGAAAGTGTTGTTTGACTCCTGCTCTAAGAACTTTGACCAAGTTGGGGTAGCTTGTTGCAGCTGGGCCTCGGCCCATCCGTTTGACTTGGACAGAATGTCAAAGCCCAGGGCAGGAGGGGGCCCACCCCTCGCCCCCTCCCTCGGTCAGCCTGCAGAGAACTGCGGTGCCCAGTGGAGCCAGCCAGTGTTCAGTTAGCCCTGGGAGTTTGTGTTCGCTGTTACCAGGGGCAGGCCAGGCACTCTGCAGTTTGTTTATCCTGTTGGAGGGGAACCTTGCCATGGCCAAAATTAATAGTTTGCTCCAGTTTATCAGTCGACAGGGGTGGAATGTATCCCAGTCACCCTGGGAGGTGCTGCTAGACTTTGCTGACTTCTGGCCTGAGATTCCCAAGAGGGGCATTGGCTCTGGGTGAACTTTTTCTGTAGGCATCCTGGAGCCATCAGGTCTGCGAGTAAGAGGCCTCCCGCGGCCCCCCTCCACAGGAGTGGGGGAACTTGTGTCTCTTGCACTTGCTGGTTTCAGGAGGGGCTTTCCTCCTTATCGCTGCCACCCCGGTGGGCCCCTGCCCATGCACTTCTAGTTTCCAAGAAGGGGTTTATCTAACAGGCCAGAGGCAGGACTGTCTGTGACCTTGGACTATCTACTGTGGCTCTGAGCCCTCCAGGCCAGTTCTGGGAGGTGCTGCTCCTGGTATCTGTTTTCACCTCTCCTTCCTGACCCATCCACCACTTCTCATGCTTATGCCCTGGGATGCTTTTGCTCTGGAACAGACTGAGGGTGGTGATGAAATTGGGGATAGAGTGGAGAGCTGAAACTAAACTGACTTGGGTCCTTGAGTCAGACCAGCTGGGCTTACAGTAGGGAACACAGTGGGTACAGCAGGAGAGGAGTGATGCATTTAGTCTTCGTGCCCCAGCCTGTGGGCCCTGGGAGCAGTTAGTTAGTTCGTTGTGCCTTTCTCTAACCTGTGAGGTGGGACTTGAGTGGGGAACACCAACATCCTGGCATATGCTGAGGTGGGGGGGTGAGGGCCTCCTCCATTCGGAAATATCCACTCATCTGCTGCCTCCTAAGTTAGGTTTCTAGTGAAGCTGGAAGCTTATGGGGTGAGTGTACCTGAGGCTGCTGACATCTCTGCAGACATCAGTGTTGTGGGCTGGGGGGCAGTGAGGTGGGGAGCTCTGCATCGTACAACAGAGTCCCCTCCTGCTCTCTCAGGCCGGCCTCGTCTTCCTAGTTCCTCCTAGTCCTCATCCCCAGATCCATCCATGAATGGAGTGCCAGTCTGTCCTGCCTGGCTGCGCCCTCCTGGATGCTTGGCACTGTCCTGTCCTGGCTGTTTCACACCAAGCTCCTCTGCCTGAGGTATCATGTGGAAGTCGGGGTTCCCCGAGTCCCATCCGAGGGACTGAGTTTCACCGCCTCTCCCCTGGTCATTGGTCTGTCGGTTAGAGAGGCCCAACCGCCCTTCTCTGGAGTTGCTGGGATTCAGAATATAGGCCGTGCGGGCTGTCGGCGAGTGGTGGCAGAGTTGAACAGGTCTCGGATGTCCACCGACCCCCACCACATTGCAGGGTGGTGTCAGGGCGGGCAAGTCCCCACCTTTGCTCGGGTACCTGTGATAAGTGCATCTGTTCACATGATGCAGTGCGAGTTTTACAACTGTGCGTGCCCAAGGTCAGCTTAGAGGACGTTGCACTACCCAAGGAGTCCTTCGAGCTCCGTGGGACAAGAGGCCGGAACCTGCACGTAAGCTGCAGGGTGCTGGTGTCAGGAGAAAGTCGGAGGTGTCCTTGCTCTGGCTCTGTCATGGCCCTCGGAGTCCCTGGGAGAGCGTGGAGACAGCCGTCTGCAGGGAGCCCTGTCCCGCGGTGTGTGTTAGAGGAAAGCTGGGGCGGTGGCAGGGTGGATGGTCCCTCCGGCCAGCGCCATGATTGGAAGAAGGCGTCATGGCTTTGGGGCATCATGTGGCTGATTTTATCAGCTCAGCCTAGATTCAGGGCTCCGTTTCCTAGCCCCCCCCCCCAGAGTACAGGACCGGCCCAGTGCTTCTTGTCCACCCATCTGTGGCTCTGAGGGGTGACAAACTGCTCGAACGCACTGGGACCCGAGCTCCGAACTCCAGAGAGAAAAGACTGTTTTTGTCCGTGAGAGGTTTACTAAACTCTGCTCCAGGTGCCTCTGGTAGTAAAGTGTCCAGAACCTTCCAGCAAGCTTCAGGTGGCCTCCAGTTGGAATTGGAGGCTTTTTTCTTAAAGAACAACGTTTGTCCAGATGGTGGCCCTGCTCAGGATGTCACGGTGTTTCCCTCGTGGCAGGGCTGATGTGCGTCTGGTGTCCCCTGTTGAGAGCGCTGCTGCGTCATCATAAAACGGGCCCATTCTGAAGCGCGTCGTGAAGTTAAAAGTATAGACTCAGTAATTTTGCTACTGACATGTGTTGCCATGCTTCCTTCAAAGTTTTTAAAAATCTTAAGCAGTTCAAGTGCTTTTTAATGACATATGAAACTGGCGTGAGGATCATTTCAAAAAATCAGTCGTCTTTGCTGGGTTTTTCTGTGGGCAGTGGACTCGCTTAATGGCGGCCTGTAAGGTAGAAGGGCGCCGGGTGGCTCCCCTCAGCCGTGGGGTCTTCCTGCCCTTCAAGCAGCAGGGTGATCTGCTTGAAGTCCTGCCAGCAGGACTTGGGGCGGGTGTAGACAGAGCTGCATGTATATGCCCTCTTTTTTACACAGTCACCTTCCAGTTGACACGCTCCAAAGGATAGGTGGTAAATAGCGCCAGTTCTTGGTGTTGGTCCTGCCAACTGCCAGCTGGTGCAGGATGGACGAGACTTGGCCCAGGACAGCTGGCCAGACGCTGGGGCATTAATTTCATAGACTTACATCCAAAATGCTATTCTTTGTGGGGTTTTTTCCCACCGACCACATAGAGGTGACACATACAATCATCCCTAGCACAGTCATGCAGCAGTCTGCGTTTGCCTCGGCCTGTGGCCCCCGACCCCTGTTCTGCAGCCTGAGCTTGTCTGCCCCAGGCCTCAGTGGTGGTCCCATGAGATGACCCTGCTGTGGGGCCAGCAGACCCGCCTATACAAGTGGCCCTGTGTATCTGGGGTCAGCCTGCCTGGACCGATGACCATGTATGACATCGTCCTACCCATGGTTGTGTGTAGGTGAACAGTGGCCATTTGGGTGAATTGTTCTGTATGACAAACTGGAGAGGGTACTTGAAGGGCATATCCCAGAGGTCGAGTTCTGGGTTAATGGGGTCATGTGTACCTGATAAGATGTTATCAAGCCCACAAGTCCCCAACCTACCCCTCCTGGTGTCCTGGTGAGGTCTGGGCTGCCAGTGTTGCCTTGTGCCCTCTGTGTTGACCGTTGATAAGAGCTGCTTCTGTGTTGGGGAAGCAATAGAATTTGATGTGCTTGGCCACTCAGGCTGTTCATAGCTCCTTGGCATCCCAAGTGATCCCCAGGAGCTTTGTCCATCTGTCCCCAAGCAGGGATTCTGTTGGCCTATATGAGTTTCCAGGTGGGGGCTTGGCGTGGCCTGACACCACCCACCCCACCCCTGTAGTGATCGGCAGGCACTTGGATCTGGGTGGCGAATGGTTGGCATTTTAGAGTGTTGAGGATCAGAGCCCTGGACTTTGTTGGCACTTCTTCAGCCCCGAGCGACCTCGCCAAGGTCTGGCATCTGCTTGGGCACTTCCCCCCTTGTGTTGGGAAGGATTCTGCTGTCAGGCCCAGGCTGGCCACCATAGGTGGCAGCAAGAGGGCCTGGGCTCGCCCACACCCAGGTGGCTCTCCCTGTGGTTCCTGGACATCCTGAGGGCCTGCGGTTTGTCTGGTCTTTCCCTGACAGGGTGTGGGGGCCTGTTTCTGAAACTTGGATGGAAGTACTTGCGGGAATCCCAGCTGAGGCGGCCCTTTATCCCATAGCTGTCATGTGACTGAACTCTGGTTTATTTTTTTAATAGCTTTATTGAGGTACAGCTTATATAACACAAAAACTTACCTTATTAATGTTTAATTCTGTGGCATTAATTACATTCACAGAGTGTCACCTCTAATTCCAGAACATTCCGTCACCTGTAAAGGAAATCCTGTCCCATCAGCAGTCACTCCTCCACTCCTCAGCCCCCGGCACCACAAATCCACTTTCTGTGTCTGTGGTTGTGACTGTCCTGGATGTTTCTCGTCAGTGAACTCACACACCATTGCCTCGTGTGTCTGCTTCTCTCCCTGAGCGTCCTGTGTTCAGGGCCCCTCCCGGTGGTCGCGAGTGTCGGAGCTGCCCCCTTTTCATGGCCGGTGGTGTCCCCATGGGGGGAACTTGGTTTTTTTTATCCCTTCAGCTGAGGGACACTTGGGTTGATTCTACTTTATGCCTTTTATGGATCGTGCTGCTGTGCATGCGTCTGGTGTCTGGACTGACCTGCAGCCTTCCCTGGTTCAGCCCTTTGCTTCCCTCCACGGCTCTGCTGCATGTTCAAAAGCAACAGCAGAGACCAGTGGCCAAGGGGTGACAGCTCTTGCTTGGCATCTCTGCCCGCCCCTTGGGAGCCTTTCTCCAGTGGGCTCACCCCTTCCCGAGGAGAGTGAGGCGGCAGCCAGGGCAGGACAGCCCCTGCCAGGCCCCCGGCTGTCCGCTGTGTTCGTTTTCAGCTGTTCCCCCCGAGCCTGTTCTTTAGTTTCTCTGCTGGTTAATCAACAAGCTGACCAAACTGTCCCCTCTGCTTGGGCAACACCTGAGGGTGGGTGGGGCCTGCTGTCCTGCCTGTGTCGGCTTGGCCACCGGAAGCCCTACTTCCTCTCCTTCACTTCCTGCATCCTGGCTGGCGCTGACTTGTCCTTTTTTGTAAATATTGTTTTCCTTTTCTGGCCAGAGATCAGCTTGGAGGAGGAGGTGATAGGAACCCCTCAGTTTCCCCGAGGTCAGGTCTCCACTGTCTGGAGGCCCGCCTCCGGCGTCCTCCCTTGCGCGCTGTCCCCGCCGCCCTCCCCTGCCCGCTAGTGCATCTGCTCAGCCTGGTCAGAGTCTGGCGAGGTGCCTGCGTGCGGGGTGCGGCTGGTCTGCAGGGTGCTGAGAGCCCCGCTAGTTGGCCAAGCACACGAGCAGACGCCCCAAGTGGATGGGCCTAGTGAAGTCATGGAGTGGGAACCTCTTTAAAAAAAAAAAAAAACTTTGCTGACGTCAGAACAGGAGCTTCTCATGGCAGCGGAGAGGGCAGCATCGTGAGCTCGGGGTTGGGATCCTCCTCAGTCGCTTCTCTTGGGGAGAACGAACATTGGTGTCACCCGGCAGCAGTGGAGGAGGGCAGCCACGCCCTGAGATGGTTCCCAGCCAGGGTATCTCTGGGGTTGGTGGGGGGTCCCCTCTTCTAAAGCTGCCCTGAGGTTTTGTTTACCGTGTGTGGCCTTTAGGACTGGTCCTTTAGCGCTCTTCTGGCCAGTCCTGCTTCCCTGCCCCCAGAACGGTGCTGATTGTACCTAAAGTAGTCTCTCTGGAAGAAGAAAAGGGCTCGGGGGAAGTTTCCAGAGCTGGGAGGTTGTCATGTTTGGTGAAGCTGCTGAGGTCTGAGCTGTTCTGAGGTGTCTGGGAGTTGGCTGCCTATCCCCAGGCCCTGTGAAGTTCCGGATGCTGGGTCTTGAAGTCGGGGCCTCCTTCGTGGCCCATCTCTCTATCCCACACTGGCTTCTGGGACCCTCTGAGGTGTTCCAGTATTCGGGGATGCTGCCGAAGCCCCGTCCAGGTGGTCTTCTCCCCTCAGGTCCTCGAGGGCAGGCAGCTTGGTCTAGGGGGATAGCAGGTGCCTGACAGTGGTTTCCCAGGGCAGCTGTCGGTACCGGATCCCAGGGCACCCACACGGGAGTGCCAAAGAGAACCAGCTCCTTACCCGCACCTGCAGCACCTGCAAAGAGCTGGCTGTGCACCTGCACCCGGGACACCCGAGTCGGGTGGCTCTGCAGCGCCCTTGAGACACCTGAGAGGACTGAGCGCTGCACCCGGGACACCCGAGCGGAGCCGGCTCTGCACCTGCATCTGGGACAGCTGGTCCTGGAGCATCTGAGGTGCTGGCTTTGTACCCATGCCAGGTAGCATCTGGCAGTGACTCCAAAATGCTGGCCCGGGTGCTGCTGTCACAGCTACGGCTTGCCCCTTTCATGTGGAGTGCCCGATGGCGAGTCATACTGTTTGAATAGGCATCTTTCGGCTGCGGAGGAACGCCACTCAGCTCAGCGCTCGTGTGCGTGGTAGCCAGCAGGCCCCAGGTCCTGGGTGAGCCCCAGATGGGGGCTATGGAGGCTATAGAGTGACCCTGATGGGAGAGGGAAGGTAGACTCTGTGGCCGAGGGATGGTGGTAACACTCCACACTCAACAGGGTTAGAGGTGCCAGTCTTCTCCCCTTGCCCACTAGGGGTACGCAGCCCGGGGGATAGGGGCTAGCGGGCCTGGATACCAGGGCCAGCAGAGAAGGTGGAGCTCCAGGAAGGACCTTCCAAAGGCAGGGAGAGCTCCTATGAGGGGCCCCAGCTTGAGGGCTCTGTGTCCTGAACCTTAGGGACGTTTCCGGATCCTTTATAGCAGGTCTCACCTGCGCCTGTCCTGTTCCTGGGGAACACTGGGCAAAGTCGGGGGTCATGTGTGGGTGCCATGGCCAGGGGGACGCCTGGCCCTGGTGTCAGTGGGGAGGGAAACTGTTTATTATTTGGAAAAACGTCTGCCCGCACTCGCTGATTTTGTCTCCCTGGTCGCCCCCCTCCCCGCCCCTCTGCACCCTTATTGAAACGTGTGTAGTGCCCCAGGCCACAGGGGGTGGGGGGGCGGGTAACTTTGGGATGATGGGAAAGCCAAGGCAGAGTTCCCCAGGCCTCTGGGGGCCCACAGGCTGGGAACTGGGTGTGGATGACGGCGGGGTGGTGCTGTCAGCGAGGGGGTGAGGACGCAGCTGTCTACCCCTTCCGTCCTGCGAGCCCATGGGTCTGGGGTCCCATCTCTGAGGTTTCCAGACCCCTCCCCTCAGACTGTTGGAGCACCTGGTAATCTGCATGGTAACTGCCCCCGGGGGGTTCCAGGCCTCTTGGCCCCTCTGACAGCCGCTCTTAGAGGGTGAGTGGGTTGGGGCATAGGATTAAAACTGAGGGGAGGGAACGGGAAGGACTTCATGGAAGGGTCTGAATCTGTGAGGTAGGTGGGAGCCCCTCCCTCCAGCTGTGTGTCGTTCACGCTTGGGCTTTCTGATAAGGGTCTTTTTAAAAGTCTTTATTGAGATATAATTCACGGCCGTGCAATCCAGGGGCACTTAGTACATTTATGGAATTATGGGACCAACCCCACCTAGTTCCAGAACATTCCATCTATAAGTGAAACCTGTCCCCATCAATAATCACCTCCATTTGTCAGCACCACAAACCCACTCTCTGTGGCTGGGTCTGTCCTGGACGTCTCTTGTCAGTGGCCTCACACCGCGTAGCCTCGTGTGTCTGGCTTCTCTCCCTGAGCGTCGTATGTTCAGGGTCCCTCCCTGTGGGCGTGCGTGTCCTCTCCACACCTAGGTGGGCCGGATCCCTTTGTGTGTGACAGACTCTCGGTTGACAGCTGTGGGTAGTGTTGCTGTGCGCTTGCATGGGCGGGGTTCTGAGTGGACGTGAGCTTTCCATTCTCTGGGCACACACCTGGCGTGGGGTTGTTGGTGAGCTGGTAACTTGACCTTTTTGAGGAGTGGCCAGCTATTCCCCTCCCCCACAGACTGAGGGCTCCTCGCCTGCTCAGACTGTAGAGGTGAAGTCCGGGCATACACCTGCAGGGTGGGCAGCCCTGGACCTGACCCTGACCTTTGGACACGCATGTGCTAGGGGTAGGTTCCACTTTCTCCCCAGGCTTGACCCCGGAGCAGCCCATCATTTCCTGGGCTCTTAGAAACAGCTCCCCTTCTTGTTGGACTGTGGGGTCCTGGGTAGGTGGTGCTCCCTGGCCACCCTCACGGGAAGGAGTCCTCACAGAGATGCTTGGCCATGGCCCTGGACTCACCCTGAAACCTCACTAGAACCCTGGCTCGACACCCTGGCGCTCACCCTGTGCTCGCCCTGCTGTGGTCTCTTTTTTCCTAGAGCAAAACTGTTGATCTTTCTTTTTTTTTAAGGATTTATTTTTGCATATAAGAGCTGGGGTGTAGGCCAGGGGTGCGTGGGCTGAGAGGATTCACCAGAGACAGAGCGGGGAGCAGAACAGGCAGATCCACTGAAATCCACTGCTGAGGGGAGCAGTGGGGAGACAGGAGAGGTCTGTTGCGCCCTGTGGGTAGCTCCCTGACCGGCTGGGGATCGAACTCATTCTGCAGAGGCTGCAATAGCTTCATAGTGCTGTGCTTAACCCTTTACGCCATCAAGGAAGCCCCAAAACTGTTAATCTTTAGTTGAAGTATTTAAAAAGTGTCCTGGTTGAGTTGCCCCTGGGTGAGCAGGCCTGATGGAGCTGTTCTTTGGGAAAGGTTGCCACAGTGACAACAAAGCGCAGCCCAGTCCCATGCTCCCTGCTCGGAGCTGGGGTGTTCATCTGCACAGCTCCCTCAGCAAGCTCTTGGGGGACCAGGAGTTCTGACTAAATAGGTGCTGACTGTGGCCCTGCTGGGTCTCTGCCCCCTCTACCTCTGTTCTCCCTCACAGGGAAATTCAGCTGCTGCGGAGGTTACGGCACAAGAACGTCATCCAGCTGGTGGATGTCTTGTACAACGAAGAGAAGCAGAAAATATATCCTTTTGGGGTTGAACCTGTGCTGCCGGCTGTGGGGCCTGGTCAGGGCATCACTGTCCCCTGGCCTGAGACCCACCCTTGTGCTTCCTGGCAGGAAACTGGCACCAGGAGGAGGCCCTGTCCCGATGGTATAGGTGGCAACTAAGCCCAGAGGGTAGGCACTGTAGTCGCTCCGTCTGGCCTGGCCAGCACAGCAGCAGCTGCCAGCTAATGCCCGTCCCTTGGCCCCTAAAATTTGAGTGTCTGTGTTTGCAGCTGTCCTGGGATTACCTCAGCAGGCCCTCGTGTTGGCTCCAGACCCCCCTCATACTTACACTGGGGCCTTCCCCTTTTGTTGCCCCTGTCTGGAACTGGGGGGCCCTGTGGTGGGCTTGCTCTTTGCCCCTTGGTGATTGGACCTTGCCTTGCCTTTGTGGCTGCCCTATTTGCTCCTACCCAAAATGAGGGGCATAGTGCTGAGTCATCCTGAGGGGGTGCTGTGCCCAGGAGCGTCTAAGGCCTGCCTTGCAGGGTGGTGTGTATCTCTTCCAGGCACGTGGGGGCCCTGGATCCTTCTGAGGGGCCAAGGTTCTTTCACCAAGGTGCCGGTGACTCACTCACTGGACAGAGTGGGAGGTCCCTGGTCCGTGGCCCTCTCCATCCATGCCTCAGAGCTGCCCCTGGTGGGCCATGTGGCCAGGGCCTCACTCTCCTTTCCTCCCCGTGGCCTGAGACATGCAGCCACTTCTGTGGCTCCTGGCCTGGTTGACCCCTGCTCTCCCGCCCCTATCTTCCCAGGCCTTCTCCCTGCTCTGGGCCCTTGTCCTCAGTCCCCAGTGAATTTGCACCCATGGCTACATCTGCCTTTCCCTCCTGTCCTCCCTGCCTTCCCCATCCAGTGAGCTGTATCCTGTCATTCCCTCAGGGGCCAGGGCTTGAGCTCCTTCTTGGGGTGTTGAATGATCAGTGACTTTACGCTAACCTGTAGGGGCCAAGGCCAGGGTAGGTGGCTCCTGCTTATGGGTGACTGGGTGGGGTGGGGCTTAATGGTGGATGAAGTGAGTAGACAGTTCAGGGTGAGGCTCATCTCCTTGCCTAGCAGCCCTTGTAGCCCTCCCTGTGGTCCCAGGTCCCCCAGCCTGTTGGTCACTGTACCCGTCAGGCCCTGCGGGGTTCTCCACAGCCTTGCCCCCGCTGCTCCCCCGTTGGAACCTGCCGGCCAGTGCTGTAAGTGTGGCCCCCTTAGCACAGCACGTATATGGTGATGGAGTACTGCGTGTGTGGCATGCAGGAGATGCTGGACAGCGTGCCTGAGAAGCGTTTCCCCGTGTGCCAGGCCCATGGGTGAGTGTGCCACGCCCTGGCTACTACTCTGTCCTCCTGGCCACCCACAGCCTGGGCTGCCAGGCCTCAGTCCCGTGTTCAGATCCTTTTTCTGACTCGGTGAAATGAAATCTGAAGTGTGTTTTAAACTCAGAGCTTTGCCTGGTTTTCAGAGCCCCACCCACTCCCCTGTGTACCTTCCTGCCTCAGGTGCTCTCTGCTTGAGACACCAAGGCCCCCTGGTCCTTGGGAAGCCTTGACACACACACACACACCCCGCCCCCACCATTGCAGTGGCACCAGCTGGCCTGTGTGGGAGGGGTGGGGGAGCAAGGGCTTCCACAGCATCTAGGCAGAAGTGATTGGAGGAGTGTATGGAAGGGCTGCCCAGTCGGGAGTGACCGCAACCCCTGTGCGCCAGGAGTGACTCAGCCAACCAGCAGCCCCTGGTTTCCTGATGGGCCTCCCGACGTTACTGGCCTGGCCTTGCTGACTCTGCGCAGGGTGCCTACCTTTGTCCTCGGGTGGCATTTCCTCAGGCAGGTCGAGTCATGAGGCTTTTGCCCCCACAGGTACTTCTGCCAGTTGGTGGACGGCCTAGAGTACCTGCACAGCCAGGGCATCGTGCACAAGGACATTAAGCCGGGCAACCTGCTTCTCACCACCAGCGGCACGCTCAAGATCTCCGACCTGGGTGTGGCCGAGGTTCGCGCCACCCCGGGGCTGGCGGGCTCCCTGAGGGCTTTTCCCACCCCATGAGCTCCTTCCTGAGGGCCCCCCAACCCAGGGGTCACTCCACAAGGACCCCACCACCTATCCCCCAAGATCTGCCCCCGGCAGAGCCCCTAGAGGCCTTGGTCTGTCCGGCAGGCTCTACACCCGTTCGCTGAGGATGACACATGCAGGACGAGCCAGGGGTCCCCAGCATTTCAGCCACCTGAGATCGCCAATGGCCTGGACACCTTCTCCGGCTTCAAGGTGGACATCTGGTCAGCTGGGGTCACGCTGTAAGTGCCTGTGTGGACCTTCCTTTGCCCATCCTGATGCTAGGCACACTGAGTGGGCTCCAGGCTTCCAGAATCTGCCCCAGTCATCATGCAGGCTACTCAGGGTGGCCAGAGCACGGAAGGGGCATGGAACTGGGGCTGGGAACCCCTTCTGGTAGGAGTAGAAAGGCTGTCTTCTGCCTTCAGGGTCACAGGTCAGTGACTGGTGGATACGCCAGTCTCCTTGGCCTGCCCCTCAGGCTGTTGGGAGCTCACACTTGCCCTTGTCCTCAGTGGTTTGCATCCATGGCCATGTGTGCCATCCTGGGTGAGCGTTTCTCTCCCGGTGCTTTGTGCTGAGTCTCAAACACAGCGAGTCATCCCAGCTGGATTCTGCCTTGTTCGCTGCACGTACCTCAGCTCTGAGGCAACAGCACAAGTGGTCCTCAGCTTCCCGCAGGATGCTCTGTATTCCAAGGTGCAGCTGATGGACACTGGTGCCCCTAGTAGCACAGTCCCCGAGTCCAGCCCTCTTTCTTGCCTTCCAAAGGCAGCCACTGTTGACCGAGAGGGTACATAGCGCCACATAGTGCCGTTCTAAAGTGTGGAATCCACTGGGTCTCGGTGTTTGCAGAATGTGCAGCCACCCCATTCCAGAACATTCTGTCACTCAGTATGAGGCCCTAGAGGTGCGGGTGGTTTGAGGCGCCTGTCACCAAGCTGTCCCAGGCTGAGGACATGGGAAGTGGGGCCCCGAGGACAGCCCCAGCTTACCCGGTCTCTCTTCCGTTGGGAACAAAGCTACAACATCACGACGGGCCTGTATCCCTTCGAAGGGGACAACATCTACAAGTTGTTTGAGAACATTGGGAAGGGGGACTACACGATCCCAGGTGACTGCGGCCCCCCGCTCTCAGACCTGCTGAAAGGTGAGACTCAGCTCTGATGATGACCGTAGGGTGGGGCGAGAAGCATCCCGGGGAGGGGCAGACTGTGGGTGTCGGAAGCACTGCCGGTGCGTGAGGGAGGTCCAGGGAGGTTTCAGCTGCCCACCAGCTGCCCTTGAGCTGGGTCTTCTCTTGCACCTCCCACCCCCTGCCCCACTATGTGCGGTCCCTGCCCTTCCCCGCTCTGGGCTGGCATGGTCGCAAGTGTAGGGAGAAAGATTGGTACTGGAGATGGGCAGGGAGGCCAACCCAGAAAGACTGATCTCTTAATCCCCTAACCCCAGAGGGAAATGGAGGCCAAGACCCCAGCCTTCTCAGCGATCCTGACCGGAGGCCTCTTCCTGCTGCATTTTTCTGACTGTACGGCAGGTGGCGGTGTCTCTCCACACCCGCGGCCCCTCCCTACGTGGGCCCTGTGTTGGCCTCTCCCTGGGGAGGGCCCACTCCTAGACCTCCATGCAAGGGTGCTCAAAGCTGGAGCCTCAGCTGCCCCTGAGGTCTGGCTGGAACCAGCAGAGACAGCCCATTTAACCTATTAGAGCCCTGGAGCACCAGCCCAAGGTGTGGTTGGCATTTCAGATACCCCCGGCAGGATCTGGTCCTGCCAAGGTTGTGCCCTGTGGTGAGAATGGCCTCGTGAGTTCATGGGTTGTGTGAGAGTGCGGTTAGTAATTGGATATGGGATTTTTGGCTAAAAGTAGCTCTCTGATTCTGAGCTGCTGGTCCATTGAAAGAAAGTAGGGTTCAGGCCTGGTTCATGGATGCAGTGCCCATGGCTGGGTGAGGTGATGTGTGGCACCCCCTCCGCATTTGGGCTGCCCCAGGACCCTTGGGAAGGTGGCCAGGCACAGGGCCCACTGCCTGGCTATCCTTGGGTTGTGGGTGGAAGCAAGTGGGTAACAAATCCCCTTCTCTCCCCAAGTTCTCACTCAAGCTCCTAGTGCAGCCTCCAGGTGCCTTTCCAGGAGGATTGTGGGCATCGCTGCTGCAGTCCTTGGGATGCCCAGAGGGCTGGAGTGGGCCGTCTGATCCTGCCCCCTTATCTCACCCAAGGGGACCCTTCTAGTGGCCCAGTTCTGCCAATTAACTGTGACCCGGTGTTTTGGGCTTTGTCCTACCCCTCAGCCACAGTCGGTGTCTTCTCTGAAAGATGCTGTCCTTTATTGCCCTATTCTGAGCATCGCTCAGACCGGCAGAGGCCCGTGAGGATGAGACCTCGGAGGGGTCCGTGTGCTTGTCTCCAGGCACAGAGCGGTCACCCTGTCTCCCCAGTCCTCTGCAGTGTTCCCCTCGAGGCCAGGGTGGGGGAGCGCAGTAGGCGGGCACAGGGAAGATTGATGCTGAGGTCCCCTTAAGCTTGGCCTTGCCTCCCGCCCCTGCTACCTCGTGCAGCCCGACCCAGGTTAGGGTTGGTCTTGCGCTCTCCGTGTGAGAGCTGACCTCCTCCTCCATCCACCTTGTCTCCTTTGGGCATTTGGTCCTTTCTCGCTGCCATCTTGGGGTCCTTGCTAGGACTGGGGGTTGCCGACTTTACTGACCAACAGACTAGGTGCCAGCTGAGGACAGACCAGCATCCTTGGTCATCCTGGAGTGTGGGGACAGGCCCAAGACCACTGGGGTGGGACCGTCTGTCGTGCTTCCCGCCCTCCCTGTCCTCCTCAGTGCTCTAACCACGCCGCCCAGTTTCCTGCCTGGCAGCCTGGTGGGACTTTGGGGCCTGGACATGGCCACAAGCTACATCTGCCCAGTGTCACACTGTTCCAGGCACAGGTGGGAAGGGGCCTTGCTGACACTCCTGCTGGCCTCTCTCTCAGGGATGCTGGAGTATGAGCCGGCCAAGAGGTTTTCCCTGCAGCAGATCAGGCAGCACAGGTGAGTGGGGGTGCCGGGGCCAACCTGGCCACCGCAGGGGCCGAGCGGGCAGGATGCGGATTCCCATGTTCTCCTCTCACTCTCAGCTTGGGGGCCATTGTGGGGTGCAGTCCTCAGCAGCCTTGAGGGACAAGAGACTTGACTCCTCTGCTCTCTTTTTCTTCTTTTTAAAAAAGATTTATGCATACAAGAACTGGGGTGCAGGCCAGAGGTATGGGGGGTGAGAGGATTCACCAGACACAGAGTGGGGAGCAGAACAGGCAGAATGACGAAATACACTGCTGAGGGGAGCAACAGGGAGAGAGGAGAGGTCTGCTGAGCCATGTGGGTCAGCTCCCTGGCCGGGGATCAAACTCAAGTCGCAGCAGCGACCACGCTGAGACTTAACCTCTAGGCCACCAGGGAGGCTCTCCCCTAAAGTCTTGAAGGTTACTCCAGAGCAGGTTGTGGGGTGGATTGAGGGCACGAAGGAAAAGCCTGTCTACTCAAACACCCACCCTACAAACTGGGCACAGTTGTGTGCTACCAGGACCTCCATCTCCCTCACTCCCACCTCGGGGCAGCTTCCCCTCTGAGGCCCTGGTCCCTGAGGGTGAGCCTCTGTCTGAGCTCAGGGTTCGTGGAGACCTGGAGATGGGTGTGATGTCCCTGCTATGGGGTTGGGAGTGCAGGGGCCGACGGTTGGCCAAGGATCCCCTGTTCCTCCTCCTGGACCTCCCGGCACAGTCGTGCAAGCCCCCGACCCCATCCTCCAGCTGACCCAGCTGTGAACAGGGAAGAGGCAAGGACAGGGACCGGGATCAGGAAGGCTCTTGGTCCGGCCCTCTCACCCACCGATCCCGGGGCCGCTGCCCTGAAGGAACCCCTGAGAGCCCCAAGCCTGCTACCTAAGAGTGAGGGTCAGCGCATAGGCCAGGGCTGAACTGGTTGTTGCAGTCAGCGAGGCAGCCCAGGTGCTGGGAGGTCACAGGCAGCCCAGGGGCAGGGGGTGGTCACAGGGCAGCCTGAGTATTGGAGGATGGGCAGTGGGTGGCCAGGTGAGGGTCCAGACACCCGCAGAGCTGTCTTTGATTTGTCCCCTGGAAGCCTGGGGGCAGCCAGATCATGCCGGGTTTGAGGAAGATCCTTTCCGGTATTTTAGGGGTGGGCTGGGGTCGAGGGCCCGCAGCAGAGGGCCGCGAGGGAAGATGTCATTTCATGGTCTCTTGCTTTGTCCCTGTTGGCAAGGCAGCTGGCTTGGGGACTGCTTGCGCGGGGTGTGTCAAGGGGTCTTCCCAAAGGCCGGCCTTTCCTGGCGATGGCGCAAGTGGCAGTGGGCAGCCATCCCTATTGTAGGCTCTCCTTGGGCCATAAGACTTGCCGGGGCTTGCATCCGTGGGTGGCCTTTTCATCCCCGCTCTTGAGGGGAGAGGCCTCAGCTACCTCTGCCAGCTGGTGGCCTGGGTCTCTTGTCCTTCCCAGGAAGTAGGTCCCAGAGGCCTTGGGGTTGAGCTGATGTTTGCTTCATTGCGTGGTGAGCATTGCTTTCTGCTGCCACACCCTGGGGGCACAGATGGCACCCGCACACTCTGGACCCTCCTGCCCTCTCGCGGGTCCCCATACTGAGGGCGTTGGGCGTTTACCGAGGTGGGTCCACTCCCCAGGAAAGTGTCTCCATGGCCTGTCTCCATGGTGGCCAGTAGAGTACCCTGAGGGAGGGCCTGGGGTGGGGACTCCTGAGTCTCAGAGCCCAGGCCCGGTCCCCTCAGGCCCTGCTCTTAGAGTGGATTCCTGTGTGAATGCCCAGAGGGGTCTGGAGTGGGCCTCCCTGAGGCCCATGTGGCCAGCCTCGTACACAGGGGGGCCCCGGTCCTGACCATGTGGTGCGGCCAGGGCCGCGGGGAATAGGCCATGGGGGAGGAAGGCGAAGGGGAAGCACTCCTGCTGGCTGCATCCCACTTGGGAGTCTCCACCCCACTTGGGAGTCTCTCGCCTGACGTGTCAGTGGCTGTGAGCAGTCATGGCGCTTGGGGGTCCTTGTGGATACAGGATCCACTCGGGGGTCCGTGCGGGGCCAGGATGCAGGGGTCTGGGAGCACCTTCTGAGCGTGGACGAGCTGGGGGAGGGGCTGCCTGCCCACCCATGCAGGGTGAACTGGGGTGGGCACGTGCTCCTGCTCTGGGGAGGTGGGGTCTTCAAGAGTGGGGCCTGGGGAGGGGTCCCCAGCCACCCTTCTATCTGTCTTCTGTAGTTGGTTCCGGAAGAAACACCCGCCAGCTGAGGAGCCAGTGCCCATCCCGCCGAGCGCAGACTGCAAGGACCGGTGGCGCGGCATGACGGTGGTGCCGTACCTGGAGGACCTCCACGGCTGTGCCGACGAGGATGGGGACGAGGACCTCTTCGACATTGAGGATGACATCATCTACACTCAGGACTTCACGGTGCCTGGTGAGTCCCGAAAGCTGAGACGGTGCCGCCTCCACGTTGCTCGCCGGCCTGTGACCACAGAGCCTGCACCCCGGAGTCCCAGGCTCTTGGGACAGGTCTGTCCACCCAACACTGACCCCGACCCTGAAGGGCTGCCCACTCCACAGAAGCAGGTGGGGTCCCTCCTGCATCCAGGGGCCCAGCCTGGGGGGAGGCCCCTGTGACAGCCCAAGAGGGTCCGGTGGCCCTCCTGTGCACCGCCCCCGCTGACACGTGGCCTTGCTTCCCCAGGTGACGAGGCGGCGTCTGAGGCAGGGCTTAGAGAGGACCGAGACTCGCAGAAGAGCCAGTGCTCGGCCCTTCCTGGACGGGAAGCTGAGGCCGGGGGCGTGGACGAGCTGGTGGAGGGGTTGGAGGGGAAGCCCGGGGCGGGGCTCCAGGCCTTAGTGTAGCCCTGCCCTGTATAAGCAGGTGCCCCCCCCCCCGCCCCAAGGCCCTGACTGCCCCCGTCCAGCTGGCTGCCCACCCTGGGCCCACCGCCCCTCCTTCAGCGCTCGCAGTTCCCTCCTGTCCCGGGCGCGCTCTGCAGGTTCAGACATAAAGCTTTGCCCGCTGTGTGTGTGCGGGTGGTGCTTGCCCTTCCCCGGCCGGGGCGTTAGGTCTTCACGGCAGGAAGAACGTGTGCAGGCTGGGGGGCGAGGAACCCCCCCGCCCACAGCCCCGGGCTCCGCAGTGGCTGGGTGGTGTGTGCTGTGTCCCTCCAGAGCCGGGCGGGGCCCGTGCGCCGTGGGCTCTGTGGTGCTGCTCCAGCCACCTGCAGGGTCAGTCCGTGCCTGGCGCCCGAGTCACTGTGGATTTGGCCCAGTCAGTTCCCATGGGGCCCTGGGAACCGGAGCCTGGGAGGCGATGTGTGTGTGGTGTCCCGACGAGGTCACCTCCGCAGAGGCGTCGTGAGCTGTCCTGCCTCTTAGAGGCTCTGGGGGTTGTCTTGAGGGTGCTCAGGGATGACTGAGCAGCGGCTGGCCTGCCGTCCCCACAAGGCCAGGCTCCAGCTGTCACCCCTCCTTGTGCCTGCATTTGGGCCCTGCACGGACTCCCAGGGATCCAGGGCAGCCCTGGGAGGAGGCCCGAAGGGCCTGCCTTTCCCGAGTGGGGAAGGAGGCCCATCTAGGAGTAGCTGTCCAGGCCTGAGTCGGGTCCCTGACCTGGGAGCGCCCGAGAGAGGTCCCACGGCCACTCTCTGACTTGCTCTGGGGCCGGGGGCAGGCCGGGCGGGGCCGGGACTCCTCCACACCCGCCCGCTGGCACTCAGGGCTCTCCCCTGCTTGGCCGCGTCTTCCCTCGACTGACCTCACGGGGAGAGGGTCCTGCTGCCTCCCCGAGAGCCGGGCACTGAGCCTGGGGCCCAGGTGGACTGTGGTCCATTGCCCGAGTCCCTAACAAGGGGGACAGATCCAGTGCCTGCCGGCTGCCATCCCACGAGCCTCTGTGCCGGCACTCTAGGTGCACTCTGCGGGCCGGGGCCCCTTGGGCCCCTCCCCCGGGGGAGCAGGGCGCTTGATCCCCCAGGTACTCGCGCCATCCCTGTCCCAGCAGTCAGGGTGAGCCCAGATCTGAAGGCTTCCTGCACACTTGGGGCGGGGTGCACAGCGAATTTCAGACGCCTCCTAGTCAGAGCCTCCCTTTCCAGAGGCTGTCCAGTGTTGGGCAGAAAGGAGTAGGGCCCAGGGCATATGAAGAGGCCCCGAGGGGGTGCACCGCCTTCCCCCACTCTCCAGCGTCTGGCCTCGGGGAGCATAGCAGCTGGGCAGCGTGCACGGTCCCAGGCTGGTCTCTAGGACAGTAAAAGGTGGGGGCCCCTGTGGGCCGGCGCTGATCTTGTCAAGAGCCCGCTGGGGAGGCTGCGGCCGGCTGCTGGGAAACCCTGGCTCAAACCCTGAGCCCGGCCCTTCCCGTGCCCACTGGGCTTGGTGAGGTGAGCACTCCCGCTCGGGCCCTGGCGCTCACAGCCATGCTGGTGATGACAGGTGGTGAGCAGGGCGGCTCAGGTGCCCTGATGCAGCCCCTTGGCCCACGCCCGACCCCTGCGGGCAAGTGGGTGGGACAGGCTTGGGCATGGCGCGGGCCCCAACCGGCCCACACTCGTCCTCTTCCTCTTAGGACAGGTCCTGGAGGAGGGGGCCGGTCAGAATGGACAGAGCTGGGGCCTGCCCAAGGCTGTGTGCATGAATGGCACAGAGTCAGCCCAGCTGAGCACCAAATTGAAGGCGGAACGCCGGGCCAGCTCCACCTCCAACCCCACTCGCAAGGCCTGCTCTGCCAGCAGCAAGATCCGCCGGCTGTCTACCTGCAAGCAGCAATGAGGGCAGTTGCCTGCAGGTGGGATTTGAGAAGGTGGCGGGGTGGGGGGGATGGCAGGAGGCGGTGGGGGCACACTGGGGGCACTGCCCATGCTCTGCCCTGGTCACTGTTTTGCCTGTTGCTTATCACAGCTGGCGCTGCCCTTAAAGTTCAGCCAGTCTGTTCACCAGGGTCTGGGTCAGGAGTGAAGAAGGTCCCTTTTGACACTGACCACTGACAGTGGCCTGTCCTGCAAAACCAAGGGATTTGTCCGCTCCCCACAGCCTGGGCAAGGAGATGCTGGCCTCGCACGGAGGCCTGGGAGGCAACTTCATGGGTGGAAGGTGGGAGGCCCTGGAGGGTGAGCGTGGGAGATTGCTGTCCGGTCCGTGGTAGGCCCCTTCCTGCTTCCCCTGCCGGCGCCTGTCTGCTTTGTCCAGGAAGGGGACAGGCCTCGGAGAGCTGGAGACCCTCACTGGCTCAGAATGCGAGCTAAGGCCCCTGCGCGGCCACGCCCCTCTCCAGGGATGCTCTTGTTGGCCGGCATCAGTGTCCACCTCACTGGATGGGTGGGCGCTTGCCCTGGAGGGGAAGCCTGGCTCTGCAGGGGAGGGCGGTGAGCAGGTCAGCTTTCCTGGTCACTCCAGACATGTGACAGCCCTAGGGGTGGGCCTGTCTCCCCACCCACCGCTGGCCTGAAGGTTGAGTGTGTTGGCTGACCCAGCAGTGACCCGCCTTCTCTTCCCTCCGCAGCCTGTATCCAGGAGCCCCGGCCAGGGGCCGCAGCCCAGGTCCTTCTCAGTCTTCCTGCCACACGCTGGTCTGCTGCCTGCTGCCCAGGAAGGCCACCGCCACGCTCTCTGTGCTGGCCACTGCCCGGGAGGCCCAGGGGTCCTGGAGGGTTGCCCAGGGGGGGCAGCAGAGACTGGGGTCTGGCCCTCTCCTCATGGCCAGTGGACGTGATCTGGTGACTTTGCAGTCCTGTGCTGAGCCCTGTCCCCCGGCCAGGGGAGGGGGCGGGGGCTGGCGCGGGGCCCGGTGCAAAGCCTTGCCATGCACTTTATGTTTAGACTACTGGTTCTCGCCCTGCCCGACTGTCCTGCTCCCACTCTGCTACAAGGTCGCGTGCGCCCCTTGGGGACGTGCACACAGCCGCAGCGACGGTCCTTGGTGGGGACAGGCCTATCAGCCGAGATGCATGTCCAGCGCCCAAGGGAGCCAGGCGGCTGCCTTGTTTTTGTTGTTTGGTTTTTTTTTCTTTTCCTTTTTTTTTTTTTTTAAAGAAAAAATAAAACAGGTGGATTTGAGCTGTGGTTGTGAGGGATGTTTGGGGGTCGTCGGGTGGCTGGACATGAGGACAGCTGGGGGGCGGGGTCTGGCTCCGCCTCAGACCCCGCGGAGCCCACAGTGCAGGGGCTGGCCAGGAGCCTCATGCCTTGGTGGTGGTGGACCTGGGAGCCTGGGGTGGGTCTGCCTGTGGCCATGCCGGACCGCTGCATTCCAGTGGTAACCCAGCCTCCCCAGGGCTCAGCAGGCCCCTTGCTCAGCCCACAGGGCCTACTGCCCCACAGCAGTCGCCGGGAACCTGAGTGGCAGGAGCTTGAGCCTCGCTCCCCAGAGAGAACACGGAGTGACGTGTGCAGTAAATATTTATAATGAACCAGAAAACAAAACACGAGAGAAAACTCCATCACTGAATGGTACACAGATGGCATGAAGCTTTGAGGGGTGGGGCAGGGTGACTTGGCTGCCAGTGAGGGTGGCCCCCTCTTTTGGCAATAAATAAAGCTTGGGAAACTTGAAACCTTGGCCTTCTGGGTTTTGTGTAAGTCTCAGACACTGATGAGTCCTGGTGGCTCTTTGGACTGGACATGCGGCTGCGGGGGCAGCCTGGTCACCGACATGCGGAGGGCGGGCGCTAGCACGTGGACACCTGGAGGGGCCCTCCGGGGTTGAGGGCAGTGGCGGCAGCAGTGGCGGCCGCGATGGCAGCGGCAGCAAGGAGAGCCTGGTTATTGCTCGAGGGTGTAGACTGCCGAGGGCACACGCTGCATGAGGTAAACGGCTTCTGGGGATGGGTGGCCTCAGCCCCTGGCCAATCGCCCAACCAGGGCTGGCCCACTTGTCACCCACTGATCCTCAGCGCCTGCTTCTGTGGGCTCAGTGTCCGAGCCTTGGCACCCAGGCCAGCTGTGACTTGAGGATCTATCGGCCCTGGGAGCGAGCGCTGCGCAGGTGCTTGCGCCCGGGGTAGTCAGGCCCATTGATCCTTCAGGGCACATCGTGTGCAGGACCTGGGGGATGCTCACCAGGGCTCCTGCCACCACCCAGAGGCCGCTGAGGCCATGGGCACTGCATGTGGTGCGCAGGAGCCTGACGAGGACACTCCACCGCCCTCCCTCCAGTTCAGCCTGGGTCCTGGAGCTTTGGGATGCCGTGGGGATCCAGCCAACTGCCGGAGGGGTCTGCGCCAGCACACCTGGGGGCGGTCCAGGTGTCCCAGCCATGCCCCCAGCCATGCCCTGCCTTGGGGATCCCACGCCGCACGGGCCAGAGAGGCTGACTTGCAAGCAGTGGTTGCAGGGCTTAGACCGGGCTGTGGTCAGGGGATGTGGGCGCAGCGGCCGCCAGTGCAGGGACCGCGGCGACTGGCTGGGTGACACTCGGCGGGAAGAGTCCATCGTCCAGGTGGGCCACCAGCTTGTCCAGAAGTGCCCCTGGAGGCCTGGCGCACAAGCCTGAGCCCGGGCAGCTGCTGGTCCCACCAGGCTCCTCCTCGATGACAGGGATGGCCGGGGCAGTGCTTCCCGCTGGGTCGTCGGCCGCACGGTCGGGTGGGCAGTCGACACTGTCGCCGCGGCGCAGGGGTGCGCGCACCGGGCGGGGGGCAGAGCCGGGCAGGGCCGGACCCGGCGCAGTGGCTCGCGAGCCGGGGTCGCTGTGCTGCCGGCCACGCTGCCACTGCTTGCGAGTGTGCGGGTGTGCGCGTGTGCGATGGCGAGCCTGAGGGGCGTCGTCGAAGTGGGGGTCGTGGCGCAGGAATTCGTGGAAGAGGGCGTCGGTCTTTTCGTCGATGCTGTAGTCACGGCGCGGGCGGCGGGGCCAGGCGCGCGGGCTGTGGGGCCTGGCAGGTGCGTCGGCCGGCGTCCCCTCGAAGCTGCCGCCCACAGTGGCCACGTGGCCCGCGCCAGGAAAGGAGAAGCGCTCCTCAGAGGTGCCGGGAGGCCCGTCCTCGCCCGCGCCGCGGCCCTCGATGCTGGCATAGCCGCTGTCCATCTGCAGCAGCTTCCGTGGCCCGCTCGTCTCGCCATCCGTGGCCCGCGGCGTGGGCGGCGGCGAGGGTGGTGGGAAAGTGGGCGCGGGGCCCCCGGAGCCGGAGCCTGAGCTGTCGCCGCTGCGCACTGAGTCTCTGTCGTTGCCACTGCTGCTGTGGTCCGAGGTGGCAGCCGCGTGCAGCTCCAGAGAGGCCCGCAGGCTCCAGATGTCGCGGTAGATGGTCTGGGCCTGCTCTTGCCCCGCCTCAGACTCCTCCTGCTGCTCAGGCCCCTCGTCGCCATCGCGCTGCGGGGGGGACTCGGGGCTCGCTTCTCCCACAGCGCCAGCTTCCTCTGAGGTCCCTAGCCTGTAAGCCAGGCCCCAGCCGTGAGAAGGCTGCACCACCCTCGCCCCCCACCTCTCCCCCACCCTGCCTCTGGGTAGGGGAGGGTGAGCGCGGGTGAGGACTCAGTGCTTGGCCAGGCCCTGCGGAAGATGAATCGTTTTTGAAAAAGCTGCTGCCTTCTTTGCAGGGGATGCTTTTTGGATAAACCCTTTTCAACCGAAGTGTCTCTTACAACATCCGGCCCAAGAACTGCTGGTCGGACGGGGCTGGCCTCCCCCCTAGAGTTAGCCCTCTCCGGTCGGCCGGCCATGTCTTCCTGATGCCTCCAGGGAGGTGTGAGCCCAGCTCCGCTATCCCAGGTGACTTAGGGTAAGCCACTTAGCCTGCCCCCCCCCCGCCCCCCCAATCTGTATCGCCAATGAACCGGGACACAGGGAAGGTTAACTACTCAGACAAGGAAGTGCCCCAAAGTAGGAATCCTGCTCAGCTCCCTGCATCAGGTCCCCCGCCCCACACACCTGGGAGAAGCTTCACAGTTGCCCTGGGGCTGAGGGAGGGGTGCTGCTGGCAGTTTCTGATGAAGGGCTGTCCAGCCCCCAGGGGCACAGGCAGGCAGCAGGGGGCCTGCCCAGACAACCACACTCCCGTGGCAGCCCTGCCCCTGCAGGTCTTCTGTCTTGGGGACCCTGGGGCCCTTGTCTGGAGTCCTGCCCGCCCCGCTGCCCTTACCCAGTGTCCCCCTGCTTCCCTCCTCTGGTCCATGCTGGAGAGGTGGCCCCAGCGAGGCAGCCTCTGGGAAGGACGGTGGAGCCGGAGGGCCTCGACCGCCTGTCTGCAGGGCATGAAGCACGCTCCCTGGGCCACCTGGGGGGAACAGGGCGGGGCAGGGGCCCACAGGTCCACCCTTAGCACCTCTATCTACTGAAAAATACCTGCCGAGAGTGGGGGACGGGCTGGTGGGGCTGGCGATAAAGGGGCGGGGGAGTGAGAAGGCCGTGGAGTCGCCCGTGCTGCTGATGTACTGGATGAAGTCCACCCGGGGGGCGTCCCCCTCCTGCTCCATGCTCTCGCTGGCTGCCCGCTGCCGCTGGAAGTGGTGCCGCTTCGGGGAGCCTGTCAGAGGAAGGCAGTCAGCCTGCCTGACCTCCCAGCCCTAGGCCTCTCCCTGCAGGCCAGCGGGCACTGGCCCGGTCAGACAATCGTGTACCCCGCTGTGCCTGCAGGGAAACAGAGGCAGCGCAGCGGCTGAGGCAGGCGTGAGCTGCGGCGTCAAAGTTGAGCCATGGCCCTGGACAGACAGGTGTGGCTGCAGCAAGGACGTGCCCCAGACAAGGGTAGCAGGCACAGCCTGGTTCAAACACAGAAGCTAGGATGTAGGGGGGATGGAGGACGGGAGGCGGGGGCAGGGAGGGCTCCTGGGGAAGATGGTACAGCCCTGTCCTCCCAGATCCACCGTGGCGTGGGGAGTGCCCAGATACGGCCCCACCCCCACCTGTGGGCCTGCTGGCCAGTGGCCAGGACCCTCCCACGATAGGGGCCTGGGAGAAGCTGGGGTGGGGAGCCCTCGGGGTGGGGAGAACAGTCACCCAGCAAACAGGTTCTGTGCGCCTCTGCACCCACATCTGACTGTAATCACCCCTGGGAATCGCAGCAGGACAACAGGATCGGCTCTCCCTCCTCTGCTCCACTGGAGCCAACCCTCCCAACCTTGACAAGCCACTTGCACTGACCACATACCTTCCCCCCTCCCCAGCTGCCCATCCCTCCTCCCCGGGAGAGCAGGTGCCCAGCACCTCGGCCTGGCCCTACTAAGCACCCCTGGGCTGTCAGGGCTCCGCCTTCCCCCCACCCACACCCAGGAAGGAAGCCTGGCATCCAGGTCCCACATGACCAGGGGTCGGCCCTGGGTCGAGTCAGCCCCTGTGGGGCCGCATGCAGCTCAGCCCTCGCGCCCACACCCCTCTCACACTGTCTATGGCTCCTCCATGTCAGACAGGCTGTCTCTCCACAGAACCAAAACCAGCGCTGGCTGCTGCTTACAAGAGAGTTGGCTAATCCCATCTCCAGTCTGACAACCGCCTCGCCTGACGCCAGGGGAAGCGGAAGCAGGCCCCAGGACGCCCGCGGGCACAGGCGCCAGCCTCCAGAGCAGCCCTCCTGGGGCACAACGCAGCCCGGTCCTGCAGACCAGCTGCAAGGACAGGGCCAGACACCCGCTGGGGGTGTGGGCGGGTGCCGGGTCACAGAGGCCACCCTCTGACCTTGCTGCCCACGGGCCGCAGCTCACCTCTGGTGTCCAGACTGGATGCCCGCTGGCTGGGCTCCAGCTTCCATTTCTTGACCTTGAAGTAGGGGCTGGCCCCATCCAGGCTGGCATGTCTGCGCAGGCGGGTGAAGAACTGCAGGACAGGGAGTGCCCCAGAGCCTGGGCCCATGTCTCTGGGCCCCGCCACAGCCCCCAGCCCACCAGGCTTCATGCTCCTGGCACCCATGTCCAACTGGGAGGGGAGAGGGAAGCTCTCAGGCACACACGCCCCTGCTGCGTGCCACCTACACGCAGGCTCTGCGCTCACAGGCAGCAGCGGCTGCAGGCAGCCCCGACGGCCCCCACCAACACCCCGCGCGGCGCCAGAGCAGCAGGCACCTTTGCTGGGGGCAAGGAGGGCTATGCCAAGCCCAGGGACTCAAGCTATGGGGTGGGGCCGGCTCTCTCTGCTCTCCCCCACCCTGCACAGAAAGGGGCTCCCGGGCATGGACACTATGTCTCCTGCCTCCCCCTCCCCTAGGCGTGGCCTCCCTGGGTAAGGAGAACGGTCACGGGTAGGAGACCACAGGCTGACCTTATCCTGAAGCGGGGTGGGGAGGGGTGGGGGCCTCACCGAAGTGCCTTCCCCGGAGTCACTGGACGGCGAGGGGCTGATCTGGAAGTCAGTGGTGCCCGTGGCCGAGTTGTAGGGGTCACCTGGCAGGGCGGAGCTGGGGCCCACGGAGCGGCCGGTGAGGGCCTTCCCCGGGGGCTGTGGGACAGAGTCGGGGTAGGGGAGGAAGCAGTGACAGGTCAAAGAGCACGGGTGGGTGCCGAGGTGTACTGGGGCTCCACCTCCCGCTGCGCACCCCGCCAGCTCCTTCCCTGTCCTGGGATGAAGAGTCCAGTCCCGACACAGGGAACGTGCCCGCTGCCCACGGAGGTGACGCGGGATCCTGCCCACAGCCTGTAGCGGCTGTCACGCCCACCGCACTCACCTGGAATATGGCGAGGCTGGCCTTGGGGGGAGCAGCGGGATGGGGTGTGGCGGCCGCACTGGCCTCCCCCGAGTCACACTCGTGGATGGTGACAATCTTGAGGGGTGGCAGGTGCAGGTGGGTGAGGCGAGCGTTCTTCAGATGGTGGAAGTCGCCCTCTGTCAGTGTATACCTGTGCCCACGGGTGCCCATCAGTGTGCTCGCCAGCCCCCTCGCGGGCCCCGCGCCCCAGGGTGTTTGCGGTCCACACCGGAAACCCGCCTTCCGGCCCTGCTGGCCACCCTGCCGGGTCCGGGCACGGCAGAGCAGGAACGTGCACCCAGGAGAGGACAGTTCTGCCCTCAAGCCCACCCAGGGCCTCGGCTGCCCGGACCCTGCACAGCGGTGACCTCCCCGGGGACCCTCCCGCCCCCTTACCGACGGCCCTTGTCCTGTGCCTTCCGGCTCTGCTCAAAGAGGGCCGCCTCGTTGAAGGAGACTCGGCGCCCCGTGGAGCTGGCACACAGGAAGTGCTCGGTCTCGGCTTCCTGGCTCTCGGGGTCATCGCCCCTGCAGTCAGGGTCTGTGAGGAGAGCCAAGAGAGGGTGGGCCCCAGGTGGACCATGCCTGGTGGTGCTGGGCAGGCCACAAGGGTAGGGTGAGGAGGGATGGGGGGGCCCGTCTGACCGCTGGGGGGGCGGGGGGCGGGGCGGCCACTCGCTCATCCGCTCACACACTCACTCTCAGCACGCGCCTGCGAGCACCTACGCGTGGGCTTTAAGGAAACAGAGATGAGTCGGAATCGAGCTGCGCCCAGTCTGGTGGGGGAGACAGACAGACACAGACGGTCAGGCAGCCCAAGGGGCGGTGGAGGGGCGGGTGGGCACGCAAGTGGGGTGTGGCCTGGCTGGGGCCTCACCTGGGGCTGGGTGCGTGCCATTGTCCAGGTAAGTGGTGGTCACCTTCTCTGCCTCTGCCATGGCTCTGGACAGAAACAGGGAGGGGACAAGGTGGGATGCGGGCCAGAGAGGCTGCCCAGAGTCCCTGGGGCATCTTGCGGCCCTGTGCAGCCACCGGGACCAAAGGAGCCCCCTTGCTCTGCGCCCCCCCCACCAAGCTCCAGTCAACTGCCTAGAACCTACACCCAGAGCAGGGCCAACCCCCAGTCATGAACTTGCACACACCCACTACACGCGCACATGTGTGGGCGCCTGTTCCTCCCAGGGGCACACGGTACACTCACACGCACATGATCCTCACAGCACACACATCGCACTCACACATTCCTGTGCACCTGCCTCTCTGGCATGCACACGGGCCAGGCCCCGCGTCCTGGATGGCAAATGCACACCTGTTGAAGCGCCGGTGCACGTCCCAGCAGCGCTTGCACAACAGCAGCACGCCCGACAGCACCACAAGCGTGCCCCCCACGAAGAGTGACATCACCACCACCAGCAGCACATAGTTGTCCAGGATGGGGTCTGGCTCCACCTGGGAGGGCAGGGACCACCAGGTCAGCATGTGTGCCCTGGCCACCCAGCCCCCGACCTCCCACCCACCCCCTCACCAACAGCCCCACGGGCATCCCTTCACTCACAGTGGGGTGGCCTGTGGCGTTGTCCCAGGTGGTCGTCAGGGCGACTGTGGCGGCAGTGTCCGTGGCAGTGGTGGTGGGCTGCATGTTGAGGCTAGGAGGAAGGGCCTGGCGGGCAGGGCCTGCTCAGCTCAGCTCCTCCGTCCCAACCTCCTGCAGGAGCCACTGGAATCAGCCTCCCTGGTCAAAGCCCACACAGGGCAATGACTCATGGGAGCTGGGGGGCAAACCAACCCCTGCTCAGACCAGTGCCTGCACCGGACACCCATCTGCCCATCTCTAAAGCTGGGGAGGTGTGTGCACACTGGCCACTTCCCCAGCTTGAGGGGGTAGCCCGCCCAGGGGACGCCACGGAAGCCCTGCCCAGGAAAAGGGAAGCACCCCGGACAGGACTGGGGAAACTAAGGCTGTCAGCGCCCTCCAGAGAGACCCCAGGGACCCCGCCTGCACCATCGGGGGACAGGGAAGGGGCTGAACACCCCTGGAGATTAGTTCCAGGATGGCAGGGACCAGAGGGTCAGTCCTAGAGGGGGTAGCAAGAGGCCCCTGGGGCTGTCCACCCCCAAGGGCAGGGGCGGAGGAGCTGAGCAGAGCTACTCCTGGGTCACGACTTGGCGAGGTAAAGGTCTTCCCTCTGCAGAGCGCCAGTGGGAGTGAAAAGGACAAAAAAGGCGCATCTGTTCTGAGCCCTGAAGAATCTGGTTCCCATGGCGACCAAGCTAGCAGGCGCGGGGGGGGGGGGGGGGGGGCGGGTTGCCAGGGAGCACTAGGAGAGGGAGCAGCGCGGGGGAGGGAGGCCTCCCGCAGGGGCGGGCTCCAGCCCCCGGGAGGCAATATGGCTGCTGCGGCAGGACGCGCGGTGCCCAGCCAGAGACGCTGGCCGCCCGCGGCCGGTCTTCCGCCGGGGGAAACCGAGCCAGGGAGGGGCTCGTCACCAGGGAGGACGCTGCAAGCGGACGGCACCTGACTGTCTCCCCCGACGCCCGGCGCCTCCCGGGAAGGACTGCTCGGCCACGCGCGGGATCTCAGAGAAGTGTCTGAGCACGGGTGACCGGCAGCCCGGAGCCGGCGCGGCCCGCAGGGGCGTGGTGCGGGCGCTCCCCGAAGGAAAGGGAAAGCCTGCGCCCCGGCGTCCCCCAAGCCTTTCGGGCTTTGAGCTCACTGGACGGCGGGGGTGAACAGAGGCCAGGGGGAGGGAGGGTCCTGGTGGACGCCAAGTGTCCCCAGCGCTCCGGATCGGAGGCTGGTGGAGGGTCCCCGGATATCTGGGGGAGGGGCGCGCACAGGGAGGCTGGAAAAGCATTCAGGCTGGAGGAGGAGGAGGGCGCAGAGGCGCAGGGACGATGACAGGCGACCAGAGAGGATGGCCAGAGGCCAGGGGGAGAGGGAATTTTTAGGGGATAGGCAGGGACGGAGCAGAGAGCGTTGGTTCCCCACGGGCAGCCCCCGAGGTCCAGCCGGCCGCGCTCCCAGTTAGAACTCCCATCGCACCCCCCGACTCGTCTCCAACCGTGAGAAGGGGTGGCTGGCGGCCGAAGGGCAGGGAACCCGACTGCCGGCACCACGACGCGGGCTAAGTCAGGAGGCGGAGACGCCATTGCGCTCGCTGTATCTTCCAGGGGAAACTGAGGCCGGGAGAGCACGGGCGTGGGTCTCTGCGGGCCACCCCAGGGAGGTGACGGAGGCCCCGCAGGTCCGCCCCTCGCGCTCCGGGCGCCTCCTCTCCCTCCCTCCGGCCTCGCCAGGAAGGGTCGGTGGTCCTCGGCCTGGCGAGCCCGGGAGTCAGCAGTGATCCCGGGCCGCGTCGCCCCGGTCTGAGCCCCGCCCGCCCCAGTGCAGCTCCGGGCCCGCCGCGCCTACCTCAGCGCCGGGGTGCGCGGCCCATGGGCGGCGGGCGGGCGGGTGCGCCGAGCTCCCGGCTGGCTCCGGCGCCCGGTGGCCGCGGAGCAGGCGGAGAATTTATGAATGAAGAGCGCGATGCGCGGGGGAAGTGGGAGCGCGAGGAGGGGCCGCGCACGTGACCGCGTTGGCAGCGAGCCCGCTCCCACCTAGCCGGTGGCGCCCGGTCCCCGGCAGGCCGCCCCCGCCGCGCTTTCCGCCGGGTCTGGCTCGCTCCTGGCCAGCCGCCGCCTCCCCTTCCCTTCCGGTGGGGGCGGAGGGCGGTGCCTGCGCTCCAGGGCGACCCCTCCCCATGCGGACCCGCCCTCTCCCGCCCCGGCGGAATCTCCGCCCCGACCCCTACGGCGCTACTCCCCACCTCCGAGTCCCGGGGAATGGAGGGGGAACCAGGGGTTGGGTCCTGGGATACACCAATTCCCCTCCTTCGCCTCCCCAATTTGGTGGGGTTCCCAGGAAGTGCAGCCCAGGGGCTCGGTCACATGACCCCTTCCTCCTCTCCTGGCCAGACCGCCACTGTAGGCCTCGCCATGCACCCTGCTTTGTTGGTACCAGCAAATGGGCAAAGATAATAGGACACTATGTGTGCTGAGTGCCACCAGGTCCTGCCCAGCACCGGTGACCTCGGAACTACCTGGACGGAAATCCCATTCCTGGTCAACCCCAAAGCTGCTCCTCCATCTTCTTGCCTCACCTTTCCAAATGCTTAGGCCACAAACTTGGCCTCGCCTGGCGTCAGCCCGGTGGAGATCCATCCCAGCCTCACAATGACATCCCTTTCTCCTCCAGTGAAAACCAAAGGCCCAGTTCTACCTCGGGGCCTTTGCACCTGCAGATGATCACAATAGACAGCAGTTCTTTCCCTGTTCAGCTGCAGGATTCCTTCTCTGGTCTCTTTCAACTCTGTGCCAAGTGGCAAAGTCTCAGCGTGTCTCCTCTTGGCTACCTGTTCTAATATAGCGAACTTACACTGCACACTCTCGTCATCCAGTGTACTTTGTTTTCTGTGCCTCTACATGTTCTCTGTATATTTGCTTGATTGCGATGTGTGCTTCTCTCCACACTGAGTTCCAGGACAGCTTATTCACAGCTGGGTTCCAGGCTTAGCCCAGGACTGGCACACAGCAGGGAATGTAGTGATACCATTAGAGGAGAGCAAGAGGCAGTCTGCAGGATTGCTCCTTCAGGCAAATGGACAAGTTTGCAGAAGATCCACCTGTGAGGAGGTGCAGGGGACCATCTTGTGGTTCCAGCAGGAGAATTACATGGTCTGGCTTCAAATTTCAATACTACGACAGACATTCTCTTTGGCTTTGTGTGAAGCCTCCCACCCACAGTGAGACAGGAGAAGCAGGTGGGCCACTCAAGCCAGAGATGGTGGCCACAGTGGCCACGCCATGCTGAATAGACAGGCCTTGTGGATGAGCAGACCAGAGTTCCTGCATGATTCCAGGTTAGGGTCACAACAGGTGGAGCCCTCACCCATGGGTCACCCTGGAGCGGGGGCCGGAGAGTCATCACATGGGTCCCTCCATGTGGGATCCAGGGCCCCAGGGAACGGTGGGGGCTCCGCACAGGACGCATCGCTGGGAACGTGAATATGACCGTCTGTACAACCGCCACCTAGGGCCAAGGTGTCCCGGACAGTGAAACTGAGGCCCTCCACCCCAAGGGAGGGGTGCTCCTCACAACTCTGGACCTACCCTCCTGGGGCAGTCCGGATGCTGAGAGACAAGGGTGCACCCACAGCGCACACCGGGGCCCCGCAGTGAGCGAGGCGCACGCAGCCCCTCGGGAGTGTGGGGGCGAGGGGAGCGACGGCAGCAGCACCCGGCCTCAGGTCCAGCAGCGCGGAGAGCCACCTGCCCTGACCCGGACTCCGGCGTGGCCACGCCCCTCTCCCACGCCATGCCCCCTTCCGCGGCTCAGCACGAGCCCTTGGAGCCAGACTCGGCGTTTTCTGGGCGCCCAAGGGGAGGGGGCCCAGGGGCCAGAGCGCCTTAGCCGACCTGCGTGAGCGCGGGGGCGGGGCGGTGACGTAAGCGCCGCGAACGAGCCTGCGCGGGCCGCCCGCGAAAGCGCCCTGACGTCAGCAGCGCGCGGGGGCGGGAGCCGAGCCTGGTAGTGACGAGCGCATTTCCGGGAGGCGGGCGCCCCCTGACGATGGGCGCGGGGATTGCCGTCGAGCCTTGGCAGTGCCGCCTGGGGTGCCGTGTCCTGGACGCCTGCACCATCCCGCCCCCTCTTGCTTCTTTTTTTTTTAAAGCATTTGTCTCCTAACTCTGTGTGCTTTGCTTATTTCGTTGAATTGCTATTAAACTCCCCAACCACCCAAATCAGAGCCGGATTGTTATTTTCGTGATGTTTCTCCAGCGCCTGACACCCAGTGAGCGCCCCTAAATCTTGACCTCAACTCAGGTATCTCCGTCGTGCAGGCTTCTGCTTCTGCCTCGCGATAACCGTCTAAACGACCCCGCGCCAGCCCACCAGGCTGAAAGCCGGAAGTAAACTACAATCCCCGGCATGCCGCGCGCCCAGCCTGGCGTCGTCGTCGTCGTCAACGTCGCGTGCGGCCCGCCGGGAGTCGTAGTTCGCGCGTGCGCCCTCGCCCGGATTCCGTCTCCCAGACGTCCCCGCGCGCTGTCCTCCGCGTCCTCCAGGCCGCCAGTGTCTGGCTGGAGTGCGTCTGCCGTAGCCGCCGCTGCCGCAGCCGCCATGCTGCCCGCCGCGCTGCTCCGCCGCCCCGGTTTGGGCCGCCTCGTACGCCAAGCCCGTGCCTACGCTGAGGCCGCCGCCTCCGCGGCCCCCGCCGCGGGTCCCGGACAGATGTCCTTCACGTTCGCCTCTCCCACGCAGGTTCGGACGCGCGGCCTGGGCTGACCCCGCGGGGGTCTCCACGCCCTGGCCGGACCCGCGCCCCTGCCCCGTATGGTCCGGAATCAGAGTCCCCTAACCCTCAGATCACCGATCCCCAATATCGAACCCAGTCCGTGGTCCTTCCCCCTACCGACTGGTCAGTGAATCCTCCAACCTCCAGGTCACCTACCCCCGACCCCGGGATCCGTCATCCAAGGGTCGAACTTGCATCTAAATCTAAGTTGCCCCTTTCCCGGTGTAAGTTCTTCTGGCGTTCCCCTCTCGGGCTGGGGTGCCCCTCTGGACTCTTCCTGTGGAGGCACCTGGGTTTCATTTTCTTGCAGGTGAAGGCAGTGAGGCATAGTGAGGCCGGGGGTCCTGCTGAGGACCAGAGCTGAAGCATTGGGCCCCAGCTCACGGCCTCTGTGCCCCAAGCAGGGATCAGGCATTCCCTGGCTCCTTTTCTGTTGGGGAGACTGAGGTCTGGCTTTCGTGGGACCCACTTCACATATGTGTCCTCCAGGTGTTCTTCAATGGTGCCAACGTCCGGCAGGTGGATGTACCCACACAAACAGGAGCCTTTGGCATCCTGGCAGCCCATGTGCCTACCCTGCAGGTCCTGAGACCGGGTCTGGTTGTTGTCCATGCTGAGGATGGCACTACCACCAAGTACTTCGGTAAGTTGTGTGTTGAGGGGACAGACATGGACTGGCAGGGACCACACATTCCAGAAGGTAGGTACCTATCTCTGTCTGGCGACATGAAGTAGGCAGAGTGCCCAGGGCACCCACATGGACATCAGGAAGCAAGCCAGAAGCAACCTGAGTGCCTCTGCTGTGGGCAGCTGTGGTTAACTGGCCTAGAGGAGGTTAGAGGGGCCAGGAGGTGGAAAGAGCAGTAAATTCTCCTCTGGGTAGGGACAGCCAGCTTAGAGGAAATCTGGCTGTGCTGAAGGAGCTACACCGAGAAAGCCATTCTGCCAGCATTACTGAGTCGAGACACTCAGGATTTGAACCTGGTTATGCTGGTAGGTGGAGGGGACTCTGCGTCCATCGCTGGGCAGATGTCCCCAGTGACCTGACCCCACATGCACCTTCAAGCTTCCCTCTTACCTGTCCTTTTACCCTACAGTGACACTAGATGCTTGTCCCTGGGTCTGAACCCTGGACCAGCAGTTGCAGCCATACTCAGGAATACCAGTCAGGGTCTTCCTGGGGCTTCTGGCCCAGCAGGCCTCACGCCTGAGATGGCAGTCTCACTCCCCCACTCCCACTCTGCAGTGAGCAGCGGCACAGTCACGGTGAATGCAGACTCTTCAGTGCAGCTACTGGCAGAAGAGGCAGTGACTTTGGACATGCTGGACTTGGGGGTGAGTGTCTCAGGGGAAACAGACCTACATCTAGCAGGTGGGAGTTGTTCAGATCTCCTGGCTGCTGGTGAGGGGAACCGTGGGGCTAGCTTGACTCTCACTACCACCCTACCTCTGTAGGCAGCCAAGGCGAACTTGGAGAAGGCGCAGTCGGAGCTGTTGGGGGCAGCAGAAGAGGCTTCAAGGGCCGAGATACAAATTCGAATTGAGGCCAATGAGGCCTTGGTGAAAGCCCTTGAGTAGGCGGTGCGTACCCCCTCCTGGCGGGGAGTTGGAACCTAGAGCTGGGCAGGGGGTTTGTGTGGGTGCAGACTTGGGGTGTGGGAAGACCAGCCCACTTGCCTAGACCTGGAAGGGTCCTTGGCAAAGAGACCACTAGGGGGCAGCGCAGGGCTGGCTTCTGCTCCAGGTACACCCCTGGGCTTCAACCCCAGCCCGGGCCCTGCTTTATGTGTGAAATCTGGTAAGCCCCCTGCCAGCTCTGGGGGACTTGGTGGGTGGAGGTGAGCACAGAGATTTGCTCAGCCCTGAGGGAACTGTCACCACTCCTTTGGCCCAAGTACCCCCAACCTGACAGAGCCCGTCACCCATCTTCCCCTGCAGTGCCTGCCAGATACCTGCTTCCATTTACCTCCAAGGACAGCCTGCTTGTGGTCCATAACCCCAATTAAAGACCGAGGAGTCCAACTTGTGTGCACTGGTTTTGTGTCCTGCTGGGGTGGCTATTGGGAGGGGTGCAGGCTTTACCCTAAGAGGGTGGGGTGGGGACAAGCAAAGGTCGCCAAGAAGGGCTAGGGTAGCAAGCAGGGTGTGGCTGCTGCTCCTGAGCCAGGCCTGGGCTGCTGGACAGACACCTGGGACTCTGCCCTGCAGGGCTCAGCTCCTCAGTCGCCTGGGAAAAGGCAGGTCTTGCCTGCTCCCACGAAGGCTCCACCCTATGTTCCCTGGCTTGTGGGTGGCCCAGGCTGGCTGGGTACTGATTCCTGGTGGCGTTAGCACCTCCATGGCACCAGGCCCTGGGCTGGCCCCAGATGGGGTGGAGCATGTGAACGGGGACAGCCCTGGCACGGCCCAGGTTCTGTGTTCTTCCACCTCCTCTCTGCAACTGAGGAACCCATTCAGGCACCGGCTTCAGGTGCGTGCAAGAGTCTCCTTGCCCCCTTCCCAGCCCTGGGCCAGTGGACTGGCAGGGGATTCCAGGAGCGTGAGTGTGTGGGAGCACTTGGGCCTCTCCATGTGTCATCAGCAACCAGGAGGTGACGGGGAGGTTACCCATGGGGTGTTAGCTTGGGTGGGCTATGCACATGTCATGGCCCCTCAAGTTACTGTTCTGTGGCCACACTTGAGGTTGGATATGATGGGAGATTCAGAATCTTTGAGGGACATCCTTTTGGGTGCCACTCCCCTTGGACCTCCAAGGCCCAAGCAGCTGCCTCCTCTTCCTCAGTAACCAAGAGCCTAGAGAAGGATGTGACAGCCTTGGAGTCACAGGTGCAGCCCCACCCTCCCCATATCCCAGCTTGGCTGGGAGCCCAAGTCCTAGAGTTCCTGGCCAGAGCCCTAGTGTTATAAATAACACCAAGGGCGCAGCGGGGAGACCTGCCTCAAGACCCTGGTCCAGTGCCCCCGTACGGGAATTTCCTGTCTGCCCTCTGGGTCCTGAGAGTCCTCATCCCTGGTGGGGGACACAGCTAGGGCCCCAGCACTCTTCTCCTAGGGGGAGGGTGAGCTTTGCAGATGAGTCTCAGGAGCCTTGAGCCTGACATCAGTCTTCAGGAATAGCCCACAATGACCTGTCCCGGGGCTAGAGGTTCCTTGGGTGAGAGTGGGGTCACAGGGCTAGGGACCAGGGGTCAAGACCTTTTCAAAGGGAGCAAGACAGTGCATTTGACTTTGTCACCCTCCTGGGACAGACCCAGATGTATCCAGGACTGGAACAGGGAGATGCTCTGGAATAGGGGAAAGAAAACAATCAAGGGTAACTTAACTCATTTATTAATTTGGACTTGCTGGACCAGACACACAACCTCTAGTGACCCCCCACTTCCAAGTGTGACTTGCAGACCCCACTCCTGAAGAGGATCCACTCCCCCCAAACTGGAAGGCGAGGTATGGTACAGGTCTGAGATAATGAGCCCTATCTCCCTGGGGAGGGTCCCATCACGCCTGCTCCTCCAGCGTCAGGTACTCCCTCTGGAAGCCAAGCCTACAGAGCCTCCCAATCCCTGAGGGGCAGTCCCTACACCCCCATTTGCGCCCCCTTTCTTGAGCAGGACCCTTGGAGCCCCCAGCCACAGCTCTATCCCTGGCGCTAGTTAATCGCTCCATAAACGCCCTCTGAGGTCACCGTTAAGGGATGCAGGGGCAGCTGACTTGGCAGCTGCAGGGGCACCCCCACTCCAGGCAGGTGACTAGGGCCTGTTTTCCTGGACCGCGGGCGCTGACTCAGGGCACCCCCCCCTTGCCGCCCCCTCACGCGGCGCCCCCAGGCGGAAGCACCCGACCTAGGGGGCGGGGCAGAGAGCCAAACAGGGTATCCCGAGGCCCAGAGTCGGGGCGCGCCCTCGTCGGTGCAGCCGATCGTGACCCCGGGTTCAGCAACATTCAAGGAACGCTGCCCCCACCCCATTTGCGGGGCGAGGCCTGGGGGATGGCTCAAGTCTGACGGCGCCCTAGGGCCCAGACCAGGCAGGGGCGGGGGCCGGGCTGCGTCACCGGCCGCCCGGCCCCTCGCCCGCCCAAACTCCACCCCGAGGGAAGACCGCGCGGATAAAGGCGCGGGGGCCGCCCGTCCAACCCCAAACCTGCCCGCCGCCACGAGCTCTCCCCGGACGGGGGTGCACCTGGACTGTCGGGGCCTCAGGCAGGCCGCGCCCGGTGAGTGGGGGGCGGGTCCTCGCGGGCCGGGGAGCGAGTCTCCACTCGGCTCCTAAGGGCGCCCCACTTTTCTTTGTTCTTCGGGCAGGCAGGGTTCGAGTCGTCTCCGATCCCCGGGGACGCGGGGTGGGAGGGGCTCGGCGCGCCCGGCACCGCCCCGGCCGGACCTCAGCCCCCGCCCCCCGGCGCGCCCCTCCCCGCGCGTGACCTTGGGCGAGGGCCGCCCCGGCCTCAGTTTCCCCGGCCGCGCGGCCTCAGTCTGCGGACTTGGGAGCTGCACGCCCCCAGCGGGGCTCCCCCACGCTCGCAGCCGGGAGGCGCCCCCGCCGGGCCGCCGGGGCGCCCCCTCCCCGGCGCTGCGGGCGGCGCTGCCGGGCGGGGTCGGCAGAGGGCGCGCCGGCGCTGCTGACTCACCGCAGCCCGGAGCGGCGCGGGCGCAGCCGGGGTCGCCGGTCACGTCAGGGTTCGGGCGGGCGCGACACGGGAAGCGGGCCGGGCTCGCGGGCCGGGGTGAGCCGCGAGGTGACACCGGCTCCGGAGGGGCCTTCCCGGCACCGGCCACGTCACCGCGCGCGGGCCCCGCCCCCGCCCCGCCCCCGCGGCCCGCCCCTCCCGCGGCCGCGGGCCCGGAGCCGCCACGAGGCGCGGGGCTCGCCCTCCGCTTCCGCCCGCGGCGGCCTCCGGCCGGACACCGGGCCCGCACCCCGGCGCCGCGCTCGAGCGGGCCGGGGCGGGCCCCGCGCGCTGGCGGCGAGGCCTGCGGGGGCCGGAGGGCGGGCGGCCCGCGCGCCTTTGTTGCGGCGCCGGGGCTTATGAATGGCCCCCGGCGCGGGCGGGGCGCGGGGGCGGGCCGGAGCCGCGCCAGCCCCGCCCCCCGGCTCCCCTTGGCCGCGGCGCCGGGGGGCGGGGCGGGGGGCGGGCCCGGCCGGCACGTGGGGCGGCGCCGCGGCCGCGCTCATTGGCCGGCGAGCGGGGCCGTCGGGGCGCTCGGGGCGCGCCGATTGGCGGCCGCGGGGCCGGCGGAGTAAGTAGTGAATGGGAGGGGGCGGAGGCCCCGCCCCTGCGCGTTGATACATTATAACTTTTTTTCTTGCTACTTTCACCCCCAGATCCTCCGAGCGGCGGCGGCGGCTGTTGCTAAGGAAGGGGACGCGCCGGGAAGCGCGGCCCGAGCGGCAGGCGGCACCCCGCGCGGCCGACGCGCGGCGCCCCCTCCTCGAGACCCTGCCCCGCCGCGCCCGGCCGCCGCCGGCCGCCCTCGCCAGGCCGGGCGCGCGGTCCCACCCCCGGAAGGGGCCCCGCCGGCCGCGACCCCGGAGCGCCGCTCGGATTTTTGTTTCCTGCTTCGCCGCGCACGGCTGGGACCTTCTCGCGGGGACGCGCGCCGCCCGCCCGCCCGCCCCGGGGCCCGAAGACCCCCGCCGGGGAGTCCCAGCCCCCGCCGGGCGGCGCGGCGAGGGCGGCTGGCCCCCGAGGACTCCGGCCCCCCAGCGCGCGCCGGGCATGGAGCCGCAGCCGGGCGGCGCCCGGAGCTGCCGGCGAGGGGCCCCCGGCGGCGCCTGCGAGCTGGGCCCGGCGGCCGAGGCGGCGCCGATCAGCCTGGCCATCCACAGCACCACGGGCACCCGCTATGAGCTGTCGGTGCCGCCCGACGAGACCGTGGAGGGGCTGCGCAAGCGGCTGTCCCAGCGCCTTAAAGTGCCCAAGGAGCGCCTGGCGCTGCTCCACAAGGACACGTAGGTACCGCGCGCCGCCCGGCTCCCCGCGCCCCGGCGCCGCTTCCCCCTCGGGCCCGGGCCCGGGGCGGGAACAAAGAGCGCGCCGCGCTGGGAAGGAAGGGGGCGGCCAGACGGGGGGCGGGGGCGCGCGGCGCGCTCGCGGGCGCCCTCTGCTCGGCCTTGCCTGCCTCGGCCCCCTCCCCCGCCCAGGGTCGCCGCACAAAGGCTGCCGCGAGGGCGCACCCGGCGGGGCGAGGCAGCCCCTCTCCGGGGCGGGCAGGGGTCCCGGCGCGGCGCGAGGCCCGGCGGCGGGGGGCGGGGGGCGCGGCCGTCTCCTGCCCCGGGCCCCGCCGGCTTCCGCATCTGCTCGGCAGCCCCCGTCGCGTCTGGCTGTCTCTTCCCCCACTTGCGTCCTTCTGCCCCCCTTTGTTCTCGCCACCGAGCGCTCCCGCAGCCGCCCCCTCCCCCCTGGTATTTAAATCACCTCCGGGCTGGGGCGCCCTCCCCCCGTGGGCCTCCGGGGACACGCAGTGTCCATCCCCAGCGGAGGGCCCGGTGGGGGAGGGGCGGAGGGGGAGGGTCTCCTTTGTCTGCGCGCGGCAGCCTGCTCCGGGGAGAGAGGGAGGAGGGGGTGCTCGACCCGGCACAGCCCTAAAGGCTAAGCGCTGTGGCGCCCACAAAGACCAGCCCCGGGCCGGAGCCGGTGAATGGTTGGCAGGGACGGGCCCCCGGGTGGCGGGGAGGATGGCAGAGGGCACCCGGGGGCCCAGATGATGCAAAAGTGACCTGGCGGAGGTGCAAAGGCGGTGCCCCCGTCCGGAGCTGGGGTCCCCTGGAGAAGAGGTCTGCACCCGCAGGAGGGGGCTGCCCGGCCCGACCTTGCATAGCCCCTGCCCCTAGGCCCAGGGCCCTAGATCTGGGAGGCCAGGAAGGGGTGGGAAGAACTTCTCGTCTCTCCCCGCAAGCACCGAGGTCTCCACTTCCGCGTCCCTGCCGTGTCTCGCCTAGCCTCACCTCTTCCTTCCTCCCCCCCAGCCGGCTCAGTTCGGGGAAGCTGCAGGAGTTCGGAGTGGGGGATGGCAGCAAGCTGACGCTGGTGCCCACCGTGGAGGCGGGCCTCATGGTAAATGGCTGTGGGGCAGCGTGCCCAAGCCCCGGACACAGTCAGACAGCCTCCTCCCATGCAAGCACAGTCCCCCCTCGCACCCCCTTAGGCCACCTTCCCCGGCCAGGGCAGCCCACCCCAGCCAGCAAAGCCTTCCCATCCCCCTGCTTGGGCTGTGGACCAGAGCCCACACTCAGGGTCTCCCCCTCTCTTTGTAGTCCCAGGCCTCAAGGCCAGAACAGTCTGTGATGCAGGCCCTGGAGAGCTTGACCGAGACCCAGGTAAGACCTGCGCCGGCCCCTCCTGACCCATGGGGTAGCTGGCCCAGTGCCCCTGCACTCTGGGGTGCCAGGGGGTTGTTTGTGCTCCCACGCAGCCTGTGGAGAAGGGGATGCGACTCGACGCACCACCCTGCCTTACTGCCAGCTTGGCCTGGCGGCGGCTTCTTCCTCCTCCCCCTGCCCATTCACCACCTGACCTTGAAGGCCTACTCTCCCACGGTGGCCTCCGTGGGGGAGGGGGCTGAGCTTTCACAAGCCAGCCAGCCTGTGGGGTGACCTTGGCCCACATTCCTGCACTGGGGCCTAAGTCCCCAGCCCCACACACTCCACCGCAGAGCACCCCGCCCCCTCCCCAGCCATTTTGGTTTCCCCAAAACGACCTTTTAAAATTTCTGCTGGGGAGGAGGGGCCAGCCTGGGTGACACTCTTCCGCCTTCCATGACCCCATTGTGAGGAGAGGGGAGTCACCCCTCCCCCTCTCCCTCTGGCCTTTGTTCTCTGCCCCAAAAGAGGGAGGGGGTGGGATTGCCCAGCCCCAGGGCCAGCTCAGACTAGACAGGATGTTAGGAAAATATTTAGTAGCCAGCCTGGAGGGAGCTGAGGAGGGAGGCCCGGGCTGGCCCACACCCGGGTTCCCGGTTTTGTTGCAGTCTTTGTTGTTGTTTTTTTTTTCTCTCTTGGTTCCCCCTCCTTTCCTCATTTTTCTGCTGGGGGGGGTGGGGGGGCCTTCTCCCAGGAGGGTGACACAGGCCTCAACAATCCGCCTGCTGCCAGGGTGGGGGAAGCAGGCTGCTGCCCGCCCTGTCGACGGGGTGGGCAGGTTCCCGGCCTCCCCAGCTGGCCGCAGGAAACCTGCTCAGCGGCTTCCCTCCCTCCTGCCCGAGGCCTTCGCCCCCTCCTCGACATGTAGCATCCTGCCTTCGCCAGCCTGCTAGCTCAGAGGAGGAGGAGGAGGGGGCCGGGAGCTGGGTGGTCTGCCTGCAGGAGGGGCTGCAGGCTGAGGGGAAGCTTGAGTCGGGGAGGGTCCTGGGATTGGGTGAGGGCTGCACATGATTTCCTGGGGCAGATGTGAACCGTGCTCCCTGCTCCTGGGGCGCTGCGGTTGGGGGGGGGGCAGGGCGGGTTTGGTTCACATCCGCCCCGGGGTGCCTGCGTCAGGAGGGAGGTGGGGGGGGCGCTGGGCGGATGACTGGGCTCCCAGGGCTGTTTCCCCGCCTGGCACCAAGTCATGCCCGCCCGTTCTCTCCCCGGGGAGGAAGTTGCAGGAGGGGGGAGGGGGGACACCCCAGCTGCTCTTGGGAAACCACCCCAGGCCCTTCCTGCAAGGGGCATCTTCGGGCTGGGGGAGGGGCACCGAACCCTGCCCACCTCCTTTGCCTCCGCCCCACGGCCCCCAAAGTAGAGAAGGTTACGCCAGCCGCTGCCAGCGGAGAGCTGGGAGGCGGTCTGAGTCATCCTGGCCTGTGTCACTTCTCAGAAACCTCCACCACCACCACCACCCCCCTATCCCAGCCCCTGGGGAAAGCACTGTGCTGGCCAGGCCCCAGAAGAAGGGGCCCAGTACAGAAGACAGTCAGGCACCCCGTACCTCCACCCAGAAGGGGGAGCAGATGTGAGAGTTCATGTCTGTGTGAACTGTATTGAGGTTACTAGGGGACCCAGGCCCCAGGGAACCAGTCAGGGCCTCCTCCTGCAGCTCAGGGGCCATGCCTCCCCCTCAGCCTCTGCCCTGCCCTGGACAGATAAATATTTATCTTGAGAAAGCAAAGGTTAGGATGAAGAATTTGTGCAGGAATTCCACCCACTTGCTGGCTGCCTGGTAGCCACACTGGGAGGGGGCCTGAGGCCCTCCCATATTCCCAGGCAGAGAGAATTTGGGTTCCCCAGAGGGTGGGGGAAAGGTGAGGTACAGAGTAAGGGTTACTTGAGGGCAGCGACTGCAGGCTGGGCCCTGCCCCCTCTGGCCTCAGTTTCTCCTGGAAAGAACCAAGCTGGCCAGGGAGGGCCAGGCCCCCATCTGACCCGCCTCTGTCCCCCACAGCCCCCAGCGGCGCCCGGGCCGGGCCGGGCTGGCGGAGGCGGCTTCCGGAAATACCGATTCATTTTATTTAAGCATCCGTGGCACCGACAGGGACCCCAGAGCCCAGAGAGGGGCGGCGAGAGGCCCCAGGTCACACAGCGCGGGGGGGCTGGGCAGGGCCGGGTTGGGGACACTGCAGGCTGGGGCCCTGGGGCTGACAAGCTGTTCTCTGCAGGTTAGTGACTTCTTGTCCGGCCGTTCACCGCTGACCCTGGCCCTGCGCGTCGGTGACCACATGATGTTCGTCCAGCTGCAGCTCGCCGCCCAGCATGCCCCACTACAGCACCGCCACGTGCTGGCAGCTGCCGCTGCTGCAGCTACAGCTACCCGTGGAGACCCCAGCATAACCACCCCCGTGTCCTCCCCGTGCCGGCCACTGTCCAGCACTGCTCGAGTCCCCCCGGTGCCCACCAGCCCCGCCTCTGCGTCCCCTTCACCTGTCACCGCCGGTTCCTTCCGGTCTCACTCAGCTCCCACCACCTGCCACGAGGTGAGTCTGCAGAGGTGAGGCGGGGGCCTCCAGCCCCAGAGCTGTCCCAGGCCAAGGACCCCTCTCCAAGTTCTCATGCCCCCTCTCCCATCAGCAGATGGACTGTTCCCCGCCTGCCAGCACCAGTGCCAGCCCCATGTCCACCCCAGGGGGCAGCCCTGCTTCCCGCTCCCGAAAACCCGGCGCTGTCATTGAGAGCTTCGTGAACCACGCCCCAGGGGTCTTCTCAGGGACTTTCTCCGGTAAGCGTACCTCCTTGGAGAGGCCGTGTACACACATGCCAGGGCTGGGGGGACCCTCACCCATCCTAGTCTGGGATCTTGCATATACACATGCAACACAGAGTGGCCACATGTGACTGAGAGGCACTGTGTGAGTCTCTGTGTCACCAACCCTCCCAGGGTCCCGCCTGCATATGCAGACACGGCAAGACCCCATGTGTTCAACCGGCACCCTCTTGCCCCCCCACAGGCACGCTGCACCCCAACTGCCAGGACAGTAGTGGACGGCCGCGTCGGGACATTGGCACCATCCTGCAGATCCTCAATGACCTCCTGAGCGCCACAAGGCACTACCAGGGCATGCCCCCATCCCTGACCCAGCTGCGCTGCCACGCGCAGTGTGCACCTGCCTCGCCTGCCCCGGACCTCTCCCCCAAAACTACCTCCTGCGAGAAGCTGGTAGCCACCACCCCGTCCTCGCTGAGCCAGGTCCGCATGTGCAAGCCCCCTCTGGGTAAGTGTCCCGGGCTTCACCCGGCCCAGCCACTCAAGGCCTCTCTGTGTGTGCTGCTCAGAGCAGCTGACCTGAGGGGGGCTGGGGGCCCCAGCTGCTGCTCACCCTGCTCTGTAAGATCCTTGAGAGAAGGGAGCATGTGTGTTAGGGGTACAAAGTATCCTTGTGTCCTCTTGAGGGGGGGTCCATCCTCACTTCCTCTCCCTCCCCCCAACCCCAGATGGCATTTTGAGCCTCTGAATGGCTGAATCTGGCTGAGGAGTGGGCCAGGCCTCCCCGCTCTCTCTGAAGGTTCCCCCGGCCCCTCCCCCCCAGCAGCCAGGTCCTTCCCAAGAGAGAGGCAGGCATAATCATGAAGCTGTTCTGCCCAGCAGGCCCTCAACCCCGTTCAAAGAGGAAACTGAGGCACAATCCTGAGTGCCTCTCAGTCACAGAAGCGGCCAGAAGGGTCCTGTTAATTTATTCAAAAGTCTCTTCTAAGTGCCTCTTGGACGCGCACTCCGAGCCCATAGCGCCCTGGCATAGATGCACAAATAAGTTGTAATAACCCTGAGCCCCAGGAGCAGCTGAGATTCAGTCAATGCTCTGGACTTGCCCCCTGGCTGGAGTGTGTGTCCAGGTGGGCTGACCTGTGCCTCGCTCTAAAGGGGCTTCGGGGGGGCGGGGGAGGCGGTCGACCCGCCTCTCCTTGGGAGGGGGGCTGGCGGTCATGGTCACTGCCTCCTTTGCAGGGGACCGGCTGCGTCAGACAGAAAACCGTGCCACCCGGTGCAAGGTGGAGCGCCTGCAGCTACTTCTCCAGCAGAAAAGGCTCCGCAGGAAGGCCCGGCGAGACGCCCGCGGCCCCTATCACTGGCCACCCAGCCGCAAGGCGGGCCGCAGTGACAGCAATGGCGGTGGGGGGGGCGGGGGCCCCAGCGAGGCGGCAGGCTTGGGCCTCGACTTTGAGGACTCCGTCTGGAAGCCAGAAGTCAACCCTGACATCAAGTCTGAGTTTGTGGTGGCCTAGGAACCGCGTTCCTCGCTCTGGCCCAGGGTGGCCGCCAGCCTTGCCCGGTGTGGGAGAGCCGGCCGCCTCACGTTGGGAAACCCCTTCCCCAACCTGCCTTTTTTATTTTATTTTATTTTTTTTAATTTCAATTCTTACCATGGTTTTCCAGACTCTCGGTGGGCTTGGGTTCCTGCCTCCTTCCTCAGCTCAGTTACTGGCCTCGTCCCCCCTTGCCTGATGCCTTTCCCTCCTGCCACCCCTCAGTCTCTGAGCTGGGTCCTTCCCACCCACTTCCCAAGCTCCAAATATGTAGCAGTCTTTACAGATGGTTGTGAGCGGAGACGAGGAAACCGCCCCCCTTCCCCTCTGCCTCCCTTCCCACCCTCTTCAGGTTTAAGTCAAAAATGTAGATCCTCATGATGCACTTTACAGATGAGGGGGGGCCTCAGAGAGATCTGTGCACCCCAGGCTGGCAGGACACACCAAGCCCCAGATCAGCACGGACCAGGGGGACCCCCACCAAGGGACAGCTGGCTCTTCCACATCTGTCCTTTTTCTCCTCTTGGTCTCTTTTTTCCGTTTTCCTTTTTTCTGGAAAAGCAAAGCCGTTTCAGGGGAGAGGCCGGCACCACCTGCCTTGGGATTGGGCTGGGGTTGTAGGGAGGGAACGTCCCACCGCTGGCCTTTGCCCACCACACACTGTGTGATTTCCTCCGATGCCACCTCCTGCCCCACCCCGCCCCACCCCTTTTTTTCTGAGCTTGGAGTATTTATAGACTATTAATTTCTGACTGAGCCAATAGGTTGGGAATCTCTTGAGAAAAATGTCTGGGGGGGGGCGGCGAAGACACCCCCCCCACCATCCTTCTTGGCCCAACCTGAGGGATCTGGGACCTTGGACTATGTCTGGGGGTGCCCTCTGGCAGCCGGATTGGGGAGGGGGGTGCTGAGCTGTGAATCCCCCAGCAGGGGCAAAGCTGTGTAGCATTAACCCCCTTGGGGGGGGAAATCGCTGCTGGTCTAATTTGGACCCTCCCCACTCGTGCCCGAGGGGGCCAAGGGGCAGGCCCCCCTCCTGGGCCATTTCAATAGGGTGGAATGGTTTTCCTTTACTTTTTTTACTGATAATGGAGATGTTTGGGCCCTGCCCTACCCACCTGTCAGTCTTGTCCTGGCCCCACCCCACCTACCTACCCCCTCCCTTGTTTTCCCCTTAGGTGAGCCCCATCCTCACACTTCCCTTATGTGTTAAAGTTAATGGTTTCAGATGTGAACATCACGTGTTAACTGTAGCTCTGTAAATTTTTTTGGGGGGGTGGGCAGGGAGGGAAGGTCAGAGGGTAGGGGGTCAAGGTTTGTTTGTTTACTTTTGTTTTTATTTTCCAAAAAAAGAAAAAAGGGGTGGGTTTGTTTTTGAAGAACTGTCTTGGATACCTATTTAAATGTGTGTTCTTTTTTGTTTTTTTAACAATTTTTAAAATAACGTTTGTGCCTCCCTGGGTCTGAGGGTGGAGGCCCCAGGCAGGAACCAGCCCACCCCCTCTGCCTTTGCCAGGGCCCCCCAAGAATGCATTACCCGCCCCTGGGGGGGGGTTGGGCTGTGGGATATCCCCACAGTGCTGAGTTTCCTGTATGAAAACATAAAATTGGAAAAGAAAAAAAACTTACACAGTGATTTCAAGTAATAAACAGAAAATGAAACTACTGAATGGCGTACAGTGAATGGAAGGGGTCTTGGCCTCGCTGGAGGGAGAGCCACTCAGGATGGCCTTCGGGGCAGCCTTTCAGGCCTGGGAATGATGTGCATGGGGGGGCCTCCCAGGGAGGGAGTTACCCAGTGGGCTAATGCAGTGACCCACTTCCTTGGGGCATGGGAAGTGTGTCCCAGCAGGAAGGGGCACATATGGGAGCTTTCACACTCCCTCATGGCTTGGGTGAGGGTGAGCAGGAAGTTGCCTGGAGGGGGAGGAAGGGCTGTAGGCCAGTCACTTCCCGGTACCCAGGCCGGAAGTCCTGCAGGGTGTGGACAAGGGGCTGCCCGTCTGCTGTGTGCCTTGGGTGGGGCCTCAGTCCTCTTTGTTCCCAGTCCTATAAAGGGGGCTGTGGATGAGTCCTTTCCCACCCAAGCTCCCAGGAACCACCCGGCTCCCAGAATCCCTGATCCTATTCAAGTCCAGAATCAAACCAGGGGACCTGGTGCTAGTGTCCAAGGTCTCCTGGCATGGCCTGACCAGGCCTGGGTGAAGTTTGGCCTTGCGTTCTAACGCTCCCCAGCCCTAACCTTCATCAAGCCTCCAGGCTTTTGTCTGGTCATGCCCTACGCAGGCACACCTCTCACCAGACAGCCTGGTAACTTCCTCAGTTTGTATCTTCTCCCTACTCCCCCATGTCTATCTGGGACTCCCAAGGGGCCTGGCCTAGGAAGAGTCTCCCTGGGTCTCCATCCACTTTGGGGCTGAGCACAGAAAGGACAATCACACTACTTTATGCATATAATTCCCGACTTAAGTACTGCCGGTTAAGAGAACTATATTCCCATTATAGGTGAGGAAACTGAGGCCCAGAGAAACATCACTAGTCCCCCAAGAGGACTGGGGTTGGGGGAAGTTTATTAATGACACCCCCCAGTCCTCCCTCAGCCCTGGCCAGCCTCCTCCTCCTCTCTCCCACACCTACCCTCCCAAACCCCAGCTCCAGAAACCCTAGGGGAAGGGAAGCAGGTATCAGCTCTGGAGTGTCCTCAAGTCCTCTTGTGGAGGCCCTTAGGCCCCTCCCACTGCTCAGTCACCCCCAAGTCACCCTGGCCCACGGCAGGAGGGTAGGAGGCCCAGGTCAGGCTGATCCCTCCAGACTTCATGTTCAAAGGCACAAACGTCCCCTCGGATGTAGTGGGTGGTACAGCTCAGGTCCGACCCTCCCTCCCCCCGCCGCGCCCCTGGGGGTCAGGGCTAAGCTGAGTGAGTTGTGACCCAGGTGACCGCCACTGGGCTGGGTGCGGGATGCAGAAGGAAGGAGTCACAGAGGCACCTGCTGAATCACAGGAGTTATGGGAAGCGAGAATTCTATCATTGAACCACCAACGCAATCACAGGAGCTATGTCTGCATTCTGCAAGGCAGGGGACACTCGTCCTGCTGCCCGGAACCCACCTCTCAGGCCACTCCTTGGCGCCCAGTCCCGGGGCGGGGGCTGCCGGTCATTGCCCTCGCCCTTGCACAGGCCTGCAGCGCACCCACCTGCCAGGGAGCTGCCGGGTCACGGGGTGCAGCGGCCCACAGGCAGCAAGCCTGACGACGTGCCAGCGGGAGGCACAGGAAGGTAAACTGAGGCTGGGAGAGGCGCGCGGCCTTCGGGATTGCAGGGGGCGGGGTCAGCCCTACACCACCCCCTCCCCCCATTGAGGAAAAAGCTGAATGGGTGGGGGCGACCTCCGGAAACCCGCAGGGATGGAAACGCGGTTTCCAGGACAACGCGCCGCGAAACGGGTCTGACGTCATCGAGGGAGGGCGCCCCACCCGCCCCCATTCGCGCGTCGGGACGACTAGGCCCCGCCCACCACTCGGGCGCCTCATTGGTGGCCGCGCCGCTCGCTCATCCGCGCGGACCAATGGCAGCGCGCGGTGGCCCGCCGGGGCCCAGCTGCGGCGTGACCCGCCCGAGTGCGCACGCGCCGCGCGGGGGCGTGTGGCTCCCTCCCTCTGGCCGCACGTCCGCAAGCTTGGGGGCGGGAGACGCTCCGAGGCTGCACCCGGACGGAAGAGGGGGCGTACCCGGGGGCGCCGCACGTGGACCACCCCCCGCCGCATTCACGTGCACCCTTCTTTCCACGCCCGGGCATTGCCCGCTGCCCCCCGCCGCCACGACCCCGCAGTGCCCAAGCAACTCCTGGGCAGGAGGACGTTTGGGCCGAGGCTTTGCCAAATGCATAGAAGTTTGCCAAGTGCAGGGAGAGGGCAAGGTGCCCCGGTGGGGGGCACGGCGTGTGCGAGGACCAGGAGCCGTGACAGCCGGTGTACTTGGGGGGCACTAAGAAGTTAAGGGGGGGCGTTAACAGAGGAAGGCAAAGAGCAGAAGGGGGTGACTCCCCAGGTCTGCAGCCTGGGCAAGGAGCTGTCGGCTACAAGCTTGACAGGCTTGAGGGAGCGCCTGGAGGAAGCACGCGGAGCACTGCCTGAAGGTGACTCTTTGACTGCGCGGGGCTGCGAAGGGGCTGTCGAGAACTGGGAGAAAGATGGGGCTGCCTGTGTCAGCGAGCACCTGGCACCTGGAGAGCTGCGGGCCCCCGACGGAGGGCTTGGGTGGCAGGAAGTATATAGCTGGCCTGGGTGCGGCTCAGTTTTGCTGTGACTAGGAGTCCACTCAAGGCAGTGGTCAGTGGGAGCAGCACTGGGTCTTTGCCTGGTGCAGAGGATGTAAGCAAAACTGCTGCTTTGGGGCTAGCCTGGGCAGAGGGCGCAAGGCAGAGACAAGGGTTGGGGCTTTTGGGTAGACAGATGTGGCTGCCATGGCAGGGAGCCTGGAATGGAGGGAGGCCTGGGTCCAGGTGGTGACTCACAGATGGGCAGTGCTTCTTGGGTAAAGAGGCAACTGTGGACAGGCAGGAGGTCACTCGGGTCACAGCTTTCAGCTTGAGCCCCAGGACCCCTGGGATGGCCAAATGGGTAACTGGGGCTAGTGCCAAAAAACATGGCAGAAGTGGCTTGGGATGGACAGCAGGAAGGAGCCTCGCTGGGGCCATCACCAGCACACAGGTGAGACCAATAGGCCCCTTGGGACCCTGCCCTTCCCTCCCGGAGCCTTGGGAATGGCAGTTGCCAAGCCTCAGCCACCAGCAGTGGGGCCCAAGCCCAGAAATCTTCACTCCCCCCATTCACCGCTGTGCAGCCCTGGAGGGCAGGACAGGTGAGAGGCCCACCTCCGAGACTGCCCGCCTGCTGGCCCGCTGTCATTGGCAAGGCTGTCTATTTCTGTCTCTTTTCCTCTCTGCCTTGTCCCTGCCCAGTGTCTGGCTCCCTTTCCTTCTGCGTCTCTCATTCCCATTGTTTTGCCCTCTTCAGTCTCCAAGTTTCTGGCTGGGGTGCTCTCTATTTTTGGCCATCTCTGTCCCACTGGGCTGCTCCTCCCAGCACCCCCCCAACTTCCGCCCCCTCTCTGGAGGCCCCCTCCCTCACCTCCGGAGCACATTCCAGCCTCCACCCACGCTGGGGCAGCCCCTCCCTGGAGCCAGCTGCTGTATTGGGTGCTGGGAAGGAGGGAGTGGGCTCTTCGGCCAGGGTCAGAGGTTGAGCTGCAGGCGGAGGCTGGGGAGGGCACCCCTTAACTCCTCTGGAATGTAGGCAGGCCAGCCCCAGGAGGTGAGGTGGTCACCCACAGGCAGGCTGAGCTGGGGGCCAAAGACAGCTGGCTGCAACTGCCTCTCAAACACCCAGGAGGCTACCCACAGGCCTCCCAGAGAATAAACACAGCCCAGACTCCCACACAGGGCCCCCAGCCATCACACACCAGCCTGGCACCCTGCCCCAGCACACGCCCAGCACACCCCTCAACAGTCAAGGCCTAGACACTGAGCTCATAGCGCCCCGGCCCCAGTACCTGACACCCCACGCCACCCCCAAGCCAGCTACAACCCACGGTTTGGTTCCCCCACAACCCTCATCAACTGTGTTACCCTCAAATGGAAGGGCACCCCCTTCTCACCCTGAGCCTAGACCTTAGAAAACCGAAATACTGAAAGTCATCCGACAGCCAGAACTCAAGATATTCAGACACTGTGCCCACCTAAGGCAGCACCTCCCCCAAACACGCCCACAGCTCCAGCCGCAAATGGTGCCCACGCATCCTGGTGGCGGCACTCCCACCCAGAGCGCCGCCTGGCTGGCGGGGGGAGGGCTGTGTGTGCTCACTCGCTCCATCGCTGTGGGAAGTTAGCATGACAGACAATTCTCTGTGTGTCCTGTCACACCAAGAAAGAAGCAAACAACCATCCAGACTCCTCCCTGGAGCTGGCTTGTCACTGACCCCAGGAAGTGCTGTAGCCACACCCACTTCTCAGATGAGCCACTGAGGCCAGAGAGGGGCCTGGGTGTCAACAACCCACGCAGCTGGGCACCTGGGCAGCAGCGCTAATCTCAAGGCAGGGCTGGTGACCAGGAGCTGGACGGTTGTGGGGTCATCACTTGTTCCCTGGGCACGCATGGCCTCTAGAGGTGACCCCAGGAAGGGGGCACTCACCATTGTGCCACTCCAGTACTGAGATCCAGCCTGTGATTCTTGTGCCTGTCATTGAGCCTGCAGTGACCTTACATACATAGGTAAGGTCCTCTGCCGTGTGGCACCAAGGTCAAATGCATAGACAGGGCATGGGCGGGGTTGCTTCCTCCTGCCCCTGGAGGTTGGAGTGGGGCTGTGGACCTCAGCCTGTTCCCAGCCTTAGAAACCCAGTGGCTTTTGTCCCCAGCCTGCACTGAGGCGAGCCTTGGGATTGTCGGCGCTGCATCTCACAGCACCCAATGTCATACAAACAAGTTCTGCTGTGTGTTCGCCCAGCTGCCACCCCACCCACCCATGCCTCAGTTTCCTCAGAAAGGGACACCATTCAGGTCTCTTTGGTGGAGCATCATGAGTATTGACAAAGGTGATGCCCAGGAGCAAGCTTATGGCTCCCACATGCTTTTCATCAAGGAGCAGGAAAGCCACATGTACCTGGAGTGTGCCCGTGGCATGTGCACGCAGCTGGCAGGGACTGTAATCACCAGCATGTCTCCTGTTTGTCCCAGGTGGGTGCTAATGGGTGGCAGCCTCCAAATTCCTGGGCCGTGAGTCACAGGGCTCTTCCCCCACCACACACAACACAAATCCTCCTCTATCTTGCAGACCTCCTCCTCCTAGGGACAAGGAGGGAAACTGAGGCCTGGGCACAGCCCCAGTCTGGTTCCCCTGTGAGGCAGGCAACTGGATCTCCAATGTTCAAGTTGGCAGCCACCTAGGGTCGCTTCCCGATCTCAGAAGTCCCTGCCCCCATCCTTGTGCAAGAGGACTAAAACACCTGAGACAGCTGCTCGCTTCATGTGGCACTGCACTGCCCTGGGGACCCTGGCTGCCACTGACAGTGTGCTCTCAGGGGCATGAGTCACACCAGCAAGCCATGGGCACTAATGCTGAGGAGGCCCAGCCCACCTGACTCATGCACACCCAGCCCTGTCCCCTGCGCTCCCGGCCTACATCCCAATTATGCACGCGCTTTAGGATCTCCACACAGCCCCTGGTGGTGATCCTTGCACATGTGGCACCGTGCAAACATGTTTTCATGAGTGCGAGCACGCATGAGTCCTGGGTGCCATGCACACACCTTCACGCCTCTGCGCGCACACACACACACACACACACACACACACACGAGCTCCTTGCACAGAGCCCCACTTTCGTGTCCATACACGCACGAGTCCCCAGGAATCCTTGTTGCTCCGTCTTTGCACCCACGAGCGCCCTGCCCACGGGCACACATGTGCACCACACCTGGCAACACGCATACAGATGCCATCACTGTTCCCCACCCTGGCTCTGGGCTCCGAGAATTCGGGCCGGGCGGGCTGGAGTCGGCCCCGTCGGCCCCGCTTCCGCGCCTCCGCCGGGCGGCCGCCAGGTGCACCGCCGACCCCGTCTGGTCGGCCGGGAGGGAGCGATAATTATGCGGCCCCGGGCCTCCTCCCGCCCCCCGCGCCTTTCATCCCCCGCCGCGCCCGTCCCGGACCCAGACGCTCATTACCGGCGCCCGCCCGGTCATTAGTCGCGGGGCCCGGCGTCCGGCGGGCCCCGCCCGCGGGGAGGGCGGGGCGGGAGGGGGCGGAGCGGGCGGGCCCGCCCCCGTCTCCATGGAGACGCGCGAGGCGGGGAGGACGGGGCACCCCTCCTGGAGACGGCGCCGGGTGGGGCTCGCGCGGCGCGCCCCGCTCCGCGCCCCGGGCCGGGCCGGGCTTCGTGGACGGGCCGCGAGGGCGCGCGGGGCGGGCGGCAGCTTCGCGTCCGGCTGCGAACAGTAGCCTCGCCCCGGCCGTCCCCGTGTCGAGCCCCTCCTCCCGCCGCCCTTCGGCGGTTCGGCCCCGGCGCGGGGCGAGGCCCGGGCGAGGCCGCGGGCGGGTCCAGGGCCCCCTCCCACGCTGGGCCCCGCGGCCGGGCGCGTCCCCGGGAAGGACCCGGAGTCCCGGGCCGGCGTGGTGCGCGGCCGCAGCGCCCCCTCGTGGCCGCGGGAGGGATCGCCCTGCGCGGGTCCCGGAGGCGCCCGGGCCGGGCCGGGCCAAGGTGCCGGCGCTCCCAGAGGCTCTCACGGGGACGCGCGGGCCTGGTCTCACACCGGATCCCAGGGACACGCAAACGCAGGTAACCGCAGCAGCGTAGCTACGGAGACACGAGGACACAGTTCCCACGCAATGCCTGGTACAGGCACACCTGATGGCAGCTCCCCGCAGGTATGGGGGCGCCCAGGACGGACGGAGATACACATGGCCCAGTACCCAGGAGCCAACTCATAGCGCTCGGTCCCCGTGTGCTGATGGAATGAGTGAATGAATGAACGAACGCAGGGCATGCCACAAAATCAGGAAAAGGCAGACTAGACTCAGAACTAGAGAACACTTTTGGGGGTCTGGGGTCGGGGCAGAGAATGGCCGTGCCACTGTGCCTGCAGGGACTACTTGGACTGGTCTGGGGTCAGGAGTCTGCCCTCTGAGTTTGCTGAGCATCTGAACAGAAAGGGTGGGCCAGAATCTTTCCTAGGCTGGGCCTGCAGGGCCCTAGACTTCCGGCCAGCAGAAGGGGGAGCACACTCCGGCCAGCAGAAGGGGGAGCACATTGCTTCTAATGCTGATGTCTCCCTCTGTTCCTTCCAATAACCGCCCTCAGAGTGGCTGAGGCAGCAGCTTGCTGCTTAAAGGGAGTTGTCCCCCTAACCCTCTCACCCCATCCTCCAGCCCTAGGTGCCTAGGGGGCCTTTACTCATGGGCTGCTGCCTGGGGGAGGGGGTCTCTGAGGAGGGGGCCCAGCAACCTTGTAGCAGGAAACAGTGTCCTTGCCCCTCATACCTTGCTGCCTTCAGCTAGAACAACCTGAGCCAGCCTGAGGCCTGGAGTGGGCCAGAACTTCTCTGGGATGGGCAGCAAAGGGGTCATCTGTACCATATCCCCCCAGTCTTCTGCAAAGGGTCTGACTGCATGTAAAGCCTTTCCAGGGCAAAATCGTAGCTTGGGTCTCTGGTCTGGTCGGACAGGGATCCCCACTAGCTTCTTCCATCCTACAGAAGGGTCTAGGGCCAGGGTAGGCAGCATGAGCTAGGGTCTGGGCTCGGACCTTGGGGATAAGGGTCCCTGCAAGGCTATTGTTAGTTCTGTTAACAGAGGTCTTGGGGTCTCCAGAATTTGGTGTGTGCCATTTTTTTTTTTAAGATTTATTTAGGGCCTCCCTGGCAGTGCAAGGGGTTAAGTTGCAGCACTGCACGAGTTCAATACCCGGCCAGGAAGCTGACCCACATGACACAGCAGAGTTCTCCTGTGTCACCCGCAGCTCCCCTCAGCTGTGTATTTTAATTTTTTTTTAAAGATTTATTTATTTATTTATACAAGCACTGAGTACAGTCAGAAGCACGGGAGGTTAAGAGAATTCACCAGAGCCAGAGCGGGGAAACAGAACAGGCAGACTGCTGAAATACACTGCTGAGGGGAGCAGCAGGCATGGCAGGAGAGGTCTGCGTGCCATGTGGGACCCTTGCCTGCGGCAGGGGATCGAACTGGTGCTACATAAGCTTCCGGCAGCTTAGCAGCCCAGCGCTCAACCACTGCACCACCAGGGGAGGCCCTCAGCAGTGTATTTTAATGGATCCGCCTGTTCTGTTCCCCACTCTGTCTCTGGTGAATCCTCTTATCCTCTGCACCTCTGGCCTACACCCCAGCTCTTTTTTTTTTTTAAAGATTTATTTATCTATGCATACAAGAACTGGGATACAGTTCAGATGTGCAGGGGATGAGAGTATTCACCAGAGACAGAGTGGGGAGCAAAACAGGTGGATTGACTGAAATACACTGCTGAGAGGAGCAACGGGCGATACAGGAGAGGTCTGCTGCGCCATGTGGGTCAGCTCCCTGGCTGGCCAGGGATTGAACTCATGCTGCAGTGGCTGTGCATAGCTTCATAGTGCTGCGACTTGATCCCTTGTGTCACCAGGGAGGCCCCCTACATCCCAGCTCTTGTATGCATAAATAAATAAAATAAATCTTAAAAAAAAAAAAAAAGACCTATTTATTTATTTATTTTTAAAGATTTATTTATTTATGCATACAAGAACTGGGGTACAGGCCAGAGGCGTGGGGGTGAGAGGATTCACCAGAGACAGAGTGAGGAACAGAACAAGCAGATTGACTGAAACATACTGCTGAGGGGGGCAGTGGGCACATCAGGAGAGGTCTGCTGCGCCATGTGGATCCGCTCCCTGGCCGGGGATCGAACTAGTGCTGCTGTGGCTGCAGACAGCCCCACAGGTTGTGTCTTAACCCTTTGGGCCAGCAGATTTATTTATTTATGCATGCAAGGCCTAAGATTTATTTATTTATGCATACAAGAGCTGGGGTGTAGGCCAGAGGTGCTGGGCAGAGGATTCACCAGAGACAGAGTGGGGAGCAGAACAGGCACATCTACTGAAATACACCGCTGAGGAGAGCAGCAGGCAAGCAGTGGCTGGCAATAGCTTGATAGTGCTGAGACTTGAACCCTAAGCCATCAGGGAGGCCCAGCGTGTACCTTTTAGAGATGTTGGTGTTCCCCATGGGTAATGAGTGGATCCTGGGTGTACAGAACTGTGCTGGCAGGGCTGGGGGTGAAGGGCTGGAGCATTGAAAGAGAAGGCCCAGGGCTGAGCTGAATATTGAGGTGCAGTAAGGATACAGGGCTAACCCTAGTAGGGGGCTTAGGAGCCCAGGTGGGGGTCAGCCCAGCATAGAAGTGGGATGTACAGAATGTCTTGCTAGATTAGTGTTGTGGTGTTGCTCCTACAAGAGGCAGAGTCAGGGTTGGAGCTCAAGTTAGGTGTAGGTACCGGTTGGGATCTGAACAGAAAGGGTGGGCCAGAATCTTTCCTGGCCCACCAACTGCGTTGGTGAAGTTGGGGTGGCCCAAGGTTGAGGAGTAGGAAGAATTGGGATGTGAATATTGGGGTTCACATAAATAGGATTCTCAGTATTGACTAGATTTTGGGACCAATCAAGTGAGTGGGTTATCCGTCAGCCGGGAAATGACAAGAGTATCAGGAATGATGTCCGAGTTCAGATGAAGTTGGGGTGTCTGAGAGCGGAAGCCGGGCGGGGAGGAATGAGATGGATGTGTTGGTGACTGCTGCAGCACAGCACAGGTCGGGGCTCCAACGACTCTCGAAGGGGCTCAGCCCCTGGAAGCAGCTGTGAGGGACCCCTTTGTTCCCTGCATCTTGCCGGGGGGCTGGGGGGACAGGCACGCGGAAGTGGGTCAGCCCTGACCCCCGCCCGCACGCTCGAGGGCGGAGGACTGCGGTCTGTGCGCGTCGCCACCAAACTCCGCGTCCCGCGCCGGCGCGAGGGAGGAGGCGGGGCAGAAACAGGCCCGGCCCCCAGCTCATGAATATGAGGCGCGGTCGCGGCCTTCGGCGCCTCTGATTGGCCGGCGCGGTGAGGGGGGCGGGCCTGGCAGGCGGGGCCTGGCGGCGGCGTACATAAGGCCAGGCGCCGTTCCCCCCCACTTGCTCGTTAGGAGGCTCGGGTCGTTGTGCTGTGCCGTCTCTCTGCCTGCGTCAGGGACCTGCCAGATTCCGTGGTGAGGGTCCCGGCGGCACCGGCTCCACGAGCTCGGGGCGGCGGGCGGCCTGCGGCCGGCCGGCCGAGACGGGGCTGTAGCGGCACGCCCCTGGGCGGGGGCGGGCCCGGGGCGGGCCCGGGGTGGAGTCTGCCCCGCCGCTGGCGGCGGCGAGGGACAGCGGGAGACCGGGTCTAGTGGCGGCCGGAGGGCGTCCCCCACCTCCCCGGCAGGCCAGGTCGGCTGCGCGCGGCCGCAAAATGGCGGCTGCAAGCGCCAGGCTGCGCCCCGCGAAATGGCGGGAGCGCCGAGTGCCCGGATGCAGTGGCGCAGGGCGCGCGCGGGGCGCATGCGGGGGCGGGGCCGGGGCACGTGATGGGGCGGACCGAGCCCCCCTCTTGCCGGCCCCAGGTTAAGTTGCGCGAGGAGGGGTCCGAGGCATCCCGCTAGAGCCCCGGTGTCAACCGCCCCACCCCCATGCACGCGCGCGCACGCACCCAGTCTGCACCCGGGCGCTGTGGCTACACATCGTTCGCCCCTATCCCCAGTGTGACCTCCAGTGCCCCGTGTGGGCCCGTCTCCCGTACCCCCAGTTCTTCGCAGGCTCCCGACAGTAGACCAAGCACTTTGTCACCCCGCGCCCTCCACGGCTAGGTTTAGGAGTTAGCCCCAATTTAAAGGGGAGAACTGTGGTGCAGGCAGTTCCGACCACGGAGGGAGGCCCGTGGGTTCAGCCCTCAGCACCCCCTGAGGAGGTTGGGCTGCTAAAGTTGTGCCTCCCTCCAGCCCAGGAAGCCCTGAGGCGCTCTGCAGGCCTCCACTGTGGTCGCTGCCCTCCCCTCGGCAGCTTCCACTGGGAGGTGAGGGGAGTCGAGGCTGGGCCGAGAAAGGGAGCAAAGGATGTAGGATAAGAGGAATGAAGGGTTTATTCCAGTAAAGTCCTCGGTGTGGGTTTTGGGTGACTGAAGAATCAGTAATTTCCCAGTGTCTCCCTAAAGAGCTTGTGCTGTTCGTATAAAGTGAGGCATGGGGGAGGGGTGAGCATGAAGCTCCTTGAGGATCTCAGTGACGATTTCATCTGTGTTTGCCACAGGCCACCATGGCATCAGATGAAGGCAAGCTTTTCGTGGGGGGGCTGAGTTTTGACACTAATGAGCAGTCGCTGGAGCAGGTGTTCTCAAAATATGGACAGATTTCTGAAGGTGAGACTGGTGCTGGGGGTGGGGGTGGGGCAGCCCTTGGGGAGGGCTGGGTGCCAACTGCAGATCTCTCTCCTTGGCACAGTGGTGGTTGTGAAAGATAGGGAGACCCAGCGATCTCGGGGGTTTGGGTTTGTCACCTTTGAGAACATCGACGATGCCAAGGACGCCATGATGGCCATGAATGGGAAGGTGAGGGGTATTGCTCTGGGGGGCAGAGGGCTGGGTTTGCAGAGAATGAGCCCTGCCTCTCTCAGGGTGGGGAGATGGAGGCTCACCCTGCCAATCTCTGCTCTCCAGTCTGTGGATGGGAGACAGATCCGAGTTGACCAGGCAGGCAAGTCCTCCGACAACCGATCCCGTGGGTACCGAGGTGGCTCTGCCGGGGGCCGGGGCTTCTTCCGTGGAGGCAGAGGCCGGGGGCGTGGGTTCTCTAGAGGTGAGTGCTACTCGCAGGGCCTTGGGCCCTCAGGGATGAGGTGGGGTCCATTACTGCTGGCAAGAGCTGGCACTTCTTCATGTTCTTTCCTGCAGGAGGAGGGGACAGAGGCTATGGGGGGAGCCGGTTTGAGTCCAGGAGTGGGGGCTATGGAGGCTCTAGAGACTACTACAGCAGGTGAGAATGGTCCTACTTGGGGTTGGAGGGAGGCGTCTGGTGTGTAGGCTTCAGTGGCCTCTAGCGCCTGTGTGTCCTCCTGCAGCCGGAGTCAGGGTAGCAGCTATGGTGACAGGAGCTCGGGCGGGTCCTACAGAGACAGCTATGACAGTTACGGTAAGTTGCGCTCCGAGGGCACCATGCTGCCGTGGCCTGTGGTGGGAACTCAGTAATCTTTGGCACCCTCTGTGAGCTACGTAGGCTGGACGCTCAGACCTTGTCACTGTGCTTGCCCATAAGGAACAAGAGTACCCTTGGGTCTTGCCCGCAACCGTTTCTACCACAAAACAAAGGCAAAAACAAACTGACCAGAGAGGAAAGGGAGAGTGAGGGACAGCCAACAGGCAGCATAGGTGCATGTGCGGCCGCCCGGCCCTGCGGCCCGGGGGGGTTGGTTGCTCCGTGGCCGCAGGGCGCGCCCCCCAGGTCCGGACCCGGGAGTGGAATGCTGCATCTTGTTGCGTGCTTCAGTGCCTTTACACTGTCCCTGCTTCTTGTTCTCAGCTACACACAACGAGTAAAAATCCTTCCTGCTCAAGATCGTCCTTCCAATGGCTGTATATTTAAAGATTTTGGGAGCTTCGCTGAATCGTTAATGTGTAGTGAACACACCTCCTTGTATCCCACTTTTGTAGCCTTCTCAGTTCTGAGCTTGTCAAACACAGCCTGACTGCTTCTGACCCCAGATGGCCTCATGACCAGACTTTTCTTTTTAAAGAAGTGCCGTCCGTTTTTAGGGGTTTAAAAACGTTTGAAAAGCACTTTTGACTTCACATTTTTCTTTTTACCATGAGCCGTAAATTGAAAAAAAAATTCTTTGGGGGTTGTGTGGGGTTTGGTTTTTTTGTTTTGGTTGTGTTGCCTTTTTTGTTTCTTTTTAGCGGGGTTACCTTGAAGTCAGTGCCCCAGTTCACTTCTCTTTGAGATTGAACGGACTCTCAATCTGCTCTTTGTCGGAAGCTGAGCAAGCTGTGGCTTTTTTTCCAACTCGTGTACCGTTTCTGAGTGTAGCGTGGTAGGACCTGCCCAGGGCACTGCAGGGCGGGCTGGCCTGTCTGCCCAATGTGCTGGGGGCCCGCAGTAGACGCACAGACGTCCCGTGAGGTTCTTGAAAATGTTTATTTATATTGTCCTTTTTTACTGGAAGACATGCATACCCATTGATGTTGTATTTGAAGTGGTTAAGGAATTGTACGCAGTTTCTTTGGCTTTACGAAGCCGATTAAAAGACCGTCTGAAATGAACTTGCTCTGACAATTTCCCTTTCATTGCACAACACACCTCTGCTGTGGGTTCGCGGCTGTCAGGCCTGAGCAGAGAGGCAGTGTGAGAAGCAGGTCTGCCAGCCCTGCTTGAGCCCAAAGGAGAGATAGACGAGGAAGGCAGAATAAGCTGATGCTGGTGGGCCCTTTGACAGCGACTGCCACCGGTCCTGGTTAGGTGAGCGAGGTGGGTGACGGGAGCGGGCAGCTGACCACAGGACAGCCCTGGGAGCCCTCTGGCGGTGGCAGCCAGAGGGCTCGATGGGGCGGGCAGCCCAGCAGGGACAGTGGATGTGCGGGCACCTGACCCTGACCTGAACCCTTCACCTTAGCTTAGACTCTGGTTAGACAGACGGCAGGCAGCATCCCTGGGTGACCAGACTGATGGCTCGGTAGCTAGCTCTGCTGTTACTTTACAAGTTCTGAGCGTTCTCCGCTAGCCTATGGAAGCTGCAGCCCTCGGAGGACAGAAGTGTTGTGCGCCCAACAGAAACCTCTGAGATGCAAGCTGCTCCCTTGGCTAGCTCATATGTGGAAATAGCCCTGTAATTCGAGGTAACTCCTTTTGCTCGTGTCCGCATCCCTCCTCTTGTCAAGAGCTCATTTGAAAATGTACCCGGGGAATGTTCCTTTGACTTTTTTTGTTTTTTCCAATTTTTTTAAATCAAGCTAGAACTAAAAACGTCAGACCCTGGCCCCACGGGCAGTTGCGCCTCAAGAGTAGGTTCGGTCCATAAGCAGGATTGGAGACCACCGAACACCATGCCTTTTGGATTTTTTGTGCATCAATTGACAGTCTTTTCCAGACCTCCTTAAGTCACACTCCTACCTGGCTCTCTGATGTCTGTTGCTGCCATGAGTTTTTTTCCCAGAGCCCATGCCATCTATAAGCAGCTCCATCCCATGTGGATAGCTGGCTCTGCTTAAGGTGGGACGTGGCCTGGCCCATCTGGAAAGGCACAGGCCCACCAGGGCTCACCGCCGTGACGGGCCTTTGCCAGGATGGCCTGATGACTAGCTTGAGACCCTCCTAGGATCTGTGGATGGTTTCAGGGGAGGTGGGGAGGACAGCTTCCAGGTGCAGAGCAGCCAGGTTGTTGGGTAACGCTCCTTTGCTTTGGCAGGTTGAAGGGAAGGAAGCCCAACTGGGAAGGGTGGTCCAAGAGCGGCGATGACCTGGGGTCACTGTCCCAGGAGGGACTTCACCTGGGAGCAAGAACCAGAGGTGCAGCCACCGTTGTGGAAGTCCGTCGCCTGTGAGTGCTTTTTGGGGTGGTTGATGTGGATCCTCTGACACTGGCAGTGTCTGGCTCTTCCATGGGTTCTCCTGGTCTCCTGCCCTACCAGGAGCCAGCGCCTCCCTACCCCCAGACCCCAACACCACCTTGTTTTTCCAGCAGATGCTTCATCTCGAAGGTTGGGGCTTTTAAGTCCCTCCAGAAGGATGGGTGGTGGCAGCAGAGGGTGAGGCGGACAGTCTTTACCGGCAACAGTGACAGGACGTGGAAGTCCAAATTGAATAAAGGACTGGTGTGTGCTCCTAGAAACCTGAGTCTGGTTTGGGGGTGCAGCTGTGGGTGGTGGGGGAATCCATGAGAGAGCGCTGCCCCAGATCTGTTCAGGGTACCAGCTGGATCCAAGTAAAACCAGCCATCCAAGTCACTGCCCCCTTCAGGCTGGGCTCTTAGGGGCATGGCCAGCCTGAGCGGAGGTGGTAGACATCTCACTCCCAGGAGGCCTTGCTGAGGTTTGGGCAGAGTGACCAGGACCCCTTCATCTGTGCTATTCAGGCTGAGCCTGCTGCCAGATCTTGGGGGGTGCCGAGCAGAGTGTTGGGACTGAACCGGAGCCAGCAGTGTGGGGGGGCATGTGATGCCTGTAGTTCTCCCAGTGGTGGCTACTGGCCAGGGGGTGGTGACAGTTGCCCCAGGCTAGCGGGCCACAGTTTCTCCAAAAAGTCCCCCAGGACAGGCAGAGCTGCAGGCACAACAGCCAGAAGCCTGGGTGGGAAGGCAGGCCCAAATTAGGCTGGCATCCACAGCAGGTTTCGAATCTGCTGTGCCTGGGAACCTCTTTATTGCGAGGTGGCCCGGTTTCCTCAAGCGAGGACCTCCCTTCTGGCTGGAGGAGGGAGGGAGCTGGCTGCGGGGCTCCGGCAGCCGCCTGAGCTGTGGGGAAACCAGCGACCAGGCTTAAAGGAGATAAAGGAGCTAGGTGGGCGCGTGCCCCGCCCCCGTGGGCCATTGGTTGGCACCGCCCAAGAGTGGCAGCCACGCCCGGGGGCGGGGCGCATCCGCCGCTTCCGTCGGGCCATGGGACCACGCATGCTGCTGCTGTCGGCGCTGCTGCTCGGGGCTGCGTCCCGGCCGAGCCTCGCGCAGGACACGCTCTCACCGCCGTCCGCCCTCACGAACGGGAGCCGGCCGGGCGCGCCGCACAACAGCACGCGCCTGTGGCCGCCGGGCTCCCCGCTGCAGCGTTCCTTCTACGTGCTCTTGGGCTTCAGCGGCCTGGCCGTGCTCTACTTCCTCATCCGGGCGTTTAGGTGCGTCTGCCCAAGGCCCCCCTCCCCGCGCTGCCGCAGCCAATTGGCGCGTGCGCTGCCCGTCACAGGTTGGGCGATAGCCCGCCCCCGCGGGGGGCGTGGCGAGGCGGCGTCTGTCGGGTGGTCTCAAAATCACGTGACCGCGCGATTTCTTAGCCGGGGGCGCTGCCCCGGTGTTCCGAGGCGCGGCGGCTGAGGCCTGCGGGTCGGCTGGGACCGCCGGCCCTCACGCTCCTCTCACCCCGCGATGAGCCAGGAAATGGCTGGCTCTGGCGACTCGCTTGGGGGCTTGGCCGCAACTGTCAGCGAGATTGTCCCGCGGGGTTCCGCCTGGCCGGTGTGTGTGTGCTGCTGCCCCGCCTGGGGATGGAAGGGCCGTGCCCACCCTCCCAGGCCGGGCAGTGGCCCGATGGGCCCAGCACCTCTTCCTTCAGTTCGTCCTCCAGCCCGGGACTGGAGCGCAGCGGGCCTTCGTTCGCGATTACGCGGGGTTTGGCCAGCGTGCTCCTTACAGTGATGGACACTGCCCACACTCCAGGCCCGGGTTGAGCCCCTGGCTTCCCTTCTCAGTCTCCTGATTGCTCCTTTGGCTTCTTGGGAGGTGACCTCTGGCGCCTGTTTGTCACACAGTTGGCCTCGTCCAGGCACGGTAACAGGTCTTCGTCCGCTGACACGCTGCGGGTGTGGAATGCGCCCACAGAGCTGCTCTTTCCGGGTCTTTGCGGAGAGGTCACTTCTCCACCCTAGTGTTGGCCAGAAGCCCGGGCTTCAGTGCCAAACAGCGCTACATTCCGTGATCTTTGCGAAACCCTCTTTCCCTCTCTGTACCTGGATTTCTCATCAGTGAGGTGAAATGACAGCCCTGCCCTTGTAGTCTGGGAGACTCCACTCTGGTCAACCAAGGGAGCTGTGCACTTTCTGCTGCTGACACAGGAGCAGCCAGTAGCTCTTGGGACCCTCATACGGCAAGAGAAACGGGGTTAGACCTGAAGGTTCACGGGAGGGCTTTTGGGTGTGGCAGAGGAGCCCGCAGGTGAGGCCACCAGGATTCTGGGGGGAGGGGGAGGGGGTGGAAGCAAGATGGGGCAAGGTGGGGTGGACTGGAACAGCAACCCCACTGAGCTTCTGGGCCTGCTACCAGGTTGAAGAAACCACAGAAGAGGTATGGCCTCCTGGCCAACACAGAGGATCCCATGGAAATGGACAGCGGTGAGGAGGAGACGGTGTTTGAGACTCGCAATCTGAGATGGTAGTGTAACCCTTCCTGCGCTCGGGCTGGTGGGGGGTCAAGCTGAATTGGAGAGCGGGGAGACCAGACCCATCAGGTCATTGTTATGATCCACAGCATGTGCTGTGCTGCAGCAGTTGCAGGCTGTTTTGCCTCAGGTGGAGCATCCCCCTCCTGGCCTCAGTTTCCCATTTTATTTATTATTTATTTGTTTGTTTATATGTTTAAAAAGCAGGGTTATTAGAAAAAGTGCAGAAAAGTAAAAGACACTTGCATAGACACAAGGGGGCAGGAAGATTTGCCTCCCATTTATTTTTTTTATTCAATTTATTTTTTTTTTAGCTTTATATATTTATTTATACAAGTACTGGGTACAGTCAGAAGTGCGGGAGGGTGAGAGGATTCACCAGAGCCAGAGCGGGGAACAGAACAGGCAGAAGGACCGAAGTTCACTGCTGAGGGGAGCAGCAGACGCGGCAGGAGACGTCTGCGTGCCATGTGGGACCCTTGCTGGCGGCCGGGGATCGAACTGGCGCTGTAGAGGTTGCAGGCAGCTTCGCAGCCCAGCGCTCAACCGCTGCGCCACCAGGAGAGGCCCTCCCATTTATTTTTTAAAGATTTTATTATGCATACAAGAGCTGGGGTGTAGGCCAGAGGTGGGGGTGGGGGAGCATGAGAGGACTTGCCAGAGACAGAGTCAAGAGCAGAACAGGTGAATCTACTGAAATATACTGCTGAGGGGAGCAGCGGGGAGACAGGAGAGGTTTGCTGCACCATGTGGGTCAGCTCCCTGGCCGGGAATCAAACTCAGGCCGCAGTGGCTGGTGATAGCTTGATGGCACTGAGACTTTTACTCCTATGCCACCAGGGAGGCCCAAATTCCCATTTCTTCAAGGTGGGGTGGGGCTACCGTGCATGAATCTGTGGGGTACCTCCCCTGGGCAGGACCCCAAAGGACAAGATCAATGTCAAAGATGCAGAATTAACTATAGAGTTTGGTGTGGGCGTTGGATCAGGGAAGGCCCTTCTGTGGCACCCTGAGACCAGCCCCAACTCCTTGAAGAGTATTCAGGCAAGAGGGAACAGCCAGGACAAAAACTCAGACCCTACAGGTGGGCTGAACTGAGATGAGCCAGAGGCCTGGAGCTAGTGATGGGGCCTGTTCCGTCTCAGTGCTGTGTGGCAGGAAACCAGGGCTTGGCTTTGACTTATCGAACCCCTGGAAGGAAGTGTTGGTAAGATCTGGGAGCCCCTCAATGGCTTCCTCCACTCTCCTGACTGGAAGACTCCTTTCCTGGGGAGCAAGCTGTCCTGCTGGACCTGGCAGACTAGGGGACCTGGACCCCTGTTCAACCGCTAGGGGGCTACAGCAGCGCCTTTTCTGCCCAGTCTTTTTTTTTTTTTTTTTTTCAATTTTTAAAAAAAGTCTTTTTTTTTTTTAGTTACTTACTTTTTAAAAAAAAAAGATTTATTGGGACTCCCTGGTGGTGCAAGGGATTAAGCACCACACTTTGAAGCAATCTGCAGCCTCTGCAGCACGAGTTCAATCCCTGGCCAGCCAGAGAGCAACCCACATGGTACAGCAGACCGCTCCTGATTTGCCTGCTGCTCCCCTCAGCAGTGTATTTCGGTCAGTCTGCCTGTTCTGTTCCCCACTGTGTTTCTGGTGAATCTTCTCACACCCTGCATCTCTGGCCTGTACCTCAGCTCTTGTATGCATAAATAAATCAATTGTTAAAAAAATAAGAGTGAAATCTTAAAAAAAAAAAATTATTTTAGTTATTTATGCATACAAGAAGTGGGGTGTAGGCCAGAGGTGTGGGGAGTAAGAGAATTCACCAGAGACAGAGTGGGGCGCAGAACAACCTGATCTACTGAAATAGTCTGCTGAGGGGAGCAGCAGGGAGACAGGAGAGGTCTACTATGCCGTGGGGGCCAGCTCCCTGGCTGGGGCTCGAACTCAGGCCACTATAGTGGTAGCACTGGTATTAAGCTCTGCACCACCAGGGAGACCCAGCCCAGCCTTTTGGGTGTTGAACAGGGAGGGCTCCTTCCTCCACACTTCTCATCCCTATCACCTTCCAGATGCTGAGATCTGGGAGGAGGTATTTGCAGCTGCCCTGGCAGAAGGACAGAAGCCAGTGCCAGTTCTCCCAGCTTTGGTGCCAGCCCTGAGAGCTCCTGTGGGACCTGCTCAACCTGCCTGAAGCCATCTCAGCCCTCACCTGGACATGACTGCCCCGGATGCTGGGTGGAAGCCGAAGGGCCCTGATAGCTCCCACTGAAGACTCTGAGCCCCCCTGACAGAACTATGGCTTACCTTTCCTTAGAGGACACAGCAGCCTTGGGCTGAGGCCTGGTGGGTGGGCAGGCTGAGGGCCCTGTCTGAGTGGATATTCCTTCGTGCCTGGAGATAATAAAGGCAGTTCCACGTAGTCCCGATCCTGGCTCACACTTGGTGGGGCAGACAGCAAAGTGGGGCTCATTTAGGGCCTCCCTTCTCCAATCTCACCGAGCTTGGCTGCTTTGGTCTCACCTCAGCTGTCCAGGTTAGATGAGGAATCTCGGATGATGGATAGATGGGGGACCCGCATGGAGCAAGGCCTGTGGGTCATTGTCTGAATCTAGAGAGAACTTCACCCACTAGTCCCTAATCAAGTGCTCCTTCCTTTCTGCCACCTGCAACCAGGAGCCCTCAAGGGTCATGCCCTTTCGGATCCCTGGCTCATACCACCAGCACATTTGGGGGTATTTCCAAAGGAGCCCCAAGGTTGTATTTTATAGGTACTGGAGTGTCTTTCAGCTCGGGGACCTACTGTGCCCCACCCCCAGCATCCTCTTGTGGAATCATTGATGACTTCAACCATATACTGGGTACCTGAGCCCTCATTCCAGGACCCCAAGCCCCACCCAGAGCACCTGAACCCATATCCTGAGCACTTGAGCCCCCATTCTTGGCATCTGAGTCTCATTCCAGGCCTCAGTCTCCATTTATGATGAGAGGCTTGGGGGAGTTATTATGTGGGCCTTCTTTTCCCTTTGAGGCCCTATGTTGGGGCACATTACAGCTGTGGCCATTTACTCCCCAAGTCTGATCGTGGGAACGGGTCGAGTCTGGTCAGCTTGTGGTCTTCCTAGTCACGGGCCAGAGCCAACAAAATGTCATAAGGAGGGTCTGCCACTAGGGGGCAGCATTGCACCGCCAGTCCTGACCTGCAGGACCAGGTGTGGCCTGACAAGCCTCCCCACCGACCCCATCATGTACCGCCGGGGACTAGGCCCAGCTGGGTGCTCTTCCCCCCCTATTTCCACCTGCCTCAACACCCCCCACCTCTGATTTCCCCTTGTCTGCTATCCACTGAGAGCTGGGCTGTGCTCGTGCCCACGTGGGACCCATCTGATCCCTGGGTGCCATCCATCCTGCAGCCCCTATGACCCTCCCTGCCCAGCCCCAGCCTGGGAGGGTGCAGACTAGCGGTTCCCATCATGGTCCACTGGCCACCCCTCTTCCCAGCTGGGGGTGTCTGTTCCCTCCCCGCACACACTTCCCACTTCCCCACTCCAGGGTTCAACTGCCTCCTCCAGGAAACCCTCCTTGACTGTCCCTCCCACCCCCAGCCCCTGGGACATCCAAGATGTCACACCCCTCCCTCTGACCGTTCTCTCCCGTCCGCCCCCCACTCATCTTTCTGTCTCTGCGCCTCTGTCTCCCGCTCGGAGCCCCTGCCTGTCTCCGTTGACGTCTCCCCATCTGCGCGCTCTTCCTCGCGGTCTCCCTGCTTCCGCGCGCCCCTCGCCGTCTCCATCTCTCTGAGTCTGACCCACTGGGATGCGTTTTGAACAGGCTCGCGCACACCCTCCTGCCCCCCTCCCTGCCCGTGATCGGCGCCCCTTTCCCACAGCTCCGAGCGATTTCTCCAGCTTCAAAAGGCACATTAATTACTCTAATGAGGTCAGGAGAGACCCCGCGTTCTGCCATCCGGAGCCAGGGACGCGGTGTGTCCCCCCCTCAGCCCACAGTCTCCTGCCTGCCCCCGCCGGGCGCCCCGCCCGCTTTCCGGCCCCTGTGCCTGCCAGCGAGCCCGAAGCCCCGGCATTAGTGCCGAGTAATTGGCAGCCCCCGCCAAGGTTAATGCACGATTAGCAGGAAGTTCTTGGCGGCTAAAAGCTGGGAGAGGAGCCTGTCAGTGCGAGATGAAAGGCCCGTGGCCCGGCTGGCTCCAGGGCCCACATGTGTCCATGTGTATGCTACAGCCAGCACGGGAGGGGGCTTCCAGCACCTTCTCGCGCTCGCATTTCCACAAGTAGACACAGGCACCGATGGCGGCCACGAGGACACGGAACAGACGACAGTCACACACAGCAGGAAGGACACAGGACATTCGCGTGCCTGCAGCAGGCCCCAAGCCCGTGACCAATGGGCTGGGCAGACCCACTACCTTTGTCCCCCCCGGTCCCTGGACCAGAGTCCAGGCTGGGGTCTTAGCTCCCGGTCAGCCGTAGGTCCTGCCCCCAGGCTCAGGGCTCCATCTGGCAGGCGGGGACCACTCAGCTAATTGAAAGAATGGCCTGTGGGGGTGGTCAAGGGGAAACATGTTACAGGACATCAGACTGGGGGCCCCTGACTTCAGGCTCTACTTGCGTTTGCAAGGACATGGCCCAGCACCCATCAGGGCAGCCGCCCGCACTGGGGCTGGCAGGCAGGGGACGTGGGATGCCTGTCCTGCGTGGGGTTCAGCTCCTGGAGCTCCATCTCACCCTCACTGGGAGGTCTGAGTTGCACTGCCTCAAGGTACCCTTGAGGGTACCTGGTCCTGGCGAGGTATGGTTGTCCAGGTGCCTACCTAGGTAAGACTCAGATGTGCCCAGAGGTGGGCACCCAGTGCAGCAGCCACAAGCACTACTTACATTCACACTGAAGTAGGAGAAACTTAAAAAATCCTGTTCTCCAGCTGCATGTGCCACATCTCAGTGCCCGGTAACCACATGGGGCAGGTGGCTCCTGTATTGGAGAGCACCAGTCTGGACCGTGCCCAGCATCGTGGGAACGCTGGACGGTAGAGGCCTAGCCCGCAGACTGGTGGGCGATTGCCATGGGAAGGTGGTATCTGTGTCCAGGCACTATGACTGGTGGTGGTGGGGGGTGGGCAAAGTCGGACGCAGGAGGATGAGGAGGAAGGAAATGGGTGGAAGGAGGAGGTGGAGGGCATGGGAAAGGGAGGGGACGAGGGTGAGTGGGAGAAAGTGGGGACCGATGCCTTTCAGCCTGTCGCCAGCTGAGGGCGTTGCAGAAATCCTAGGTTTGGGGCTGAGATTCTGAGATTTCAAGGGCCTGGCTGGACCCCAGAAGTGGGGGTGGGGGGGAATTTTAATTTGTGAGCAAGAGAAAGGGATACATTTTTATTTTCAGTGACCTCAACTGACAGCCCCAGGGTAATTTCTCCTTGATTGCTCCCCCCCACCCCATCCTCACCTGGTGCTACACGGGCTGGTGCAGATGCCCTGTGTCTGCCCACATGGGAACCAGGGTCAGGGGAGCCCCCCATCTGCCAAGGCCTCCACCCTCCCCAATGACCCCTTCCCCTGCTCCTACCCCTGCCTAGCCCAGGGGTAGGAGCTTCTGAAAACTGCTGGAGCCAGAGCAGGCAGCAAATTTGGTCCAATTTATTCTGTAATGAGAAATTTCTCTCCACATATTTTTAGCTTCCTCCACAGCCCCGTGGCCTTTGAAGACTGAGGGGCGCCAGACGCTGATCCTGAGCCCTAGGGACTCACCCTGCAGGCCTGCAGGTGCTGGGCCAGGGTCAGTGGGTGGTGGGCCAAGTGTCCATGGCCACACCTGCTGGGCACACAGCCTGGGAGTCATGTCTGGACCTAGCTGGGCGAGATCCTACCCGAATCTGGGACAGACTCCCATGAAAGAGCCTGCCTGGGCCTGGGGCTGACAGCTAACTCTGGATAATCCCTGACCCCAATTAACCCTTGAACCCAAACCTGACCTCTGTCCCCAAAGTGAGTCTGATGTCTCTCACCCTTGACTCCAGAGCAACTTGATTCCAAAATGACCCCTGTTCCTAGCAGACCCCCTGCTGGCTGAGCCTGGCTACTGGAAGGCCACTAGCCCTGGGACGGGCTCTCCGAGTGGTCCCCACTGGGCAGGGGTCCCCAAGAGCATCTGGGCAGCTATACCCACTCCCCCAGCCCCGCCTCGCCCCGGGCCAGGCCTCCGGAGCTCCCTGCTCTCCCTCCTCAGGGCCCCTCCTCTGGGAGCAGCCAGCGGGCACAGGGAGGTTGAATGGGGGACGAGCTGCCTTTGTTCCCGTCCCTGCTCCGGCTCTGACCTTGAGAGAGAGACAAGAACAGAAGGAAAACGGAGCTTCTGCTCAAATCTGTTTGGCGGCAGCGGCGGCAGCAGCGGTGGTGGCAGCTCTCGCCTTGGTGGCCCCTGCATGCAAATGAGTCGACCCATCCCCAGGCCTTTGCTGTCCTCTCTGCCCTGTGCCATCCCTGCTCCCTCTGTGCAGGAGGGCCTGCTGGGCTTGCCGGGAAAGACCCCCACCCCATCAAGTAGGTGATGGGTTCTGTTCCCAGGGCAGAGGGCATATCTAGAGGCACCCCTGTGCCAGAAAGGATGCTGGGCTGGGCTGGCCCACTGCTGGGTTTGAGCGGCTACCTCTGAGCTGCTATGCTACCTCTCTCGCCTCTCTCGGGAGGTGCTCTCTTTGGGAAGCAGAACCAGCCAGCCACCAGGGTTGAGCCAGGTCTGTCGCTGGAACCCCTCCCTCCAGTGGGGTCCTGAGCATCTGTTTGAAGGCCCTGCCAAGTGATCTGTTCCCTCTCTGGATCTCTCAGGCAGAGGGCAGTTTCCTGTCCTTCTCCACCTGAGCCAGCCCTGAGACCCCTGGTCCCATCCGAGGACATGACCCAGAAGCCAGAACCCCACAGTAGCTGGGAAGAATTCCCCAGACTGGCAACTTCATCCTGGGGCTGAGGAGGCACAGGGTGTGACAGGACTTGAAAGGTGAACAGAATTTTCCTAAGAGAAAAGGAGTTTCCAGGCAGGGCACAGCCTAGGCAGGGGCTGGGAGGTGTCGTGGGCAGGGGAGCCCGGAGGGAGGGGCCACGCTCAGGGGGCTTGAGCCAGGGGCCCACAACACGTGGCAGGGTGCGCGGCTACAGTGCGTCCCTCTGCCACCCCTACCTTGCGGAGACTGGGGTTACTTTGCCCGTCTCTGACCTCTCACAGTTCCCACCGGGAGTTCTGCTTATCCCTTGAACACGGGGCCTTCCAGTCCCAGAGATCCTGGCCCCCAGGCGCTAGCCCAGGCCTAGGTGAGGAGACAAGCCCAGGGAGGTGGGGCCTGGCCGGCGCCACTAGAGCGTCCCCCCAGCACTTGGTGGTGGCTTCGCTCTAGGAGTCCCGCGTGCAGTAGCCTGAATGAGGCCGGAGAGGGGCGCCCCGGTTCCCGGCCCGCAGTCAGCCCCCAGGGGTGGTGGCCCCGAGCTCCCGAGGCAGGTCCAGCACCGCGGGCCTGAGCTTCCCATCCTGCACCCCGCTGGACTCCGCCCGCAGGGCGCGGGTTTGCCGGGGACCCGCGTCGCGCTCTGGGTGCCGTGGGCCCCATCCTGAGCCGCTCGGGCGCCTCCTGCTTGCCCGGCACCCCTCGGGGGGCGGAAGAGGCTCCTGTCCCTTTTCCCGGGAGCGGAAACGGCCGCGACGGCTGGGGCTGCGCAGGGGCCGGCGCGTGGCCTCGGGTCAGTCCGAGGCGGGTCCGGCACCAGGCCCGGGGCGGGGGGGCGCGCGGGGCCTGCCCGGCGGGTGCCTCCCGGTCTGGGTTTGGGCAGCGCTGCCCGCCGGCCGGCCCGGCCCGCTGAGGACGGGAGGCGACGGCGGGGGCGCGGGCAGCCGGGGGCGCAGGGCTGGGCCGAGGGCGGGGGCGGCCGCGGGGGCAGGCGCGCGGGGGGCCCGGCCGGGGCGGGCGGTGGGCGCGGCCGAGCAGCCCCGCGCCGGCGCCCGCGCGGCCGGGACGCGGCGGGAGGGGGCGCCCTCGGCCCTCCTGGCGCTCGCGCGGGACAAAGGCCGGCCCCGGCCCCTCCCGGCGGGCGCGGCGGCGGCGGCCCGCGTCCCAGAGTCCGCGCCGCGCGGCCGAAGCCGGGGCGACCCCGCGCCCCGCCCCGCCCCCCGCTCCCCGGCGCCCGAGGCCGCGCGCTGAGGCGGGGGCGGCGGGATCTCCAAGCGCGCCGCGCCCTCCGCGCCCGCCCGCCCGCCCGCCCGCCGGCGGCAGGAGGCGGAGACGGCGGCAGGCGGCGGCCAGGCGAGCGCGGCGGCCGGACCGGGGCCATGGCGCCCGCGCAGCGCCCGCTGCTGCCGCTGCTGCTGCTGCTGCTGCCCCTGCCGCTGCCGCCGCCGCCGCCCCTCGCGCGCGCCGAGGACCCCGCGCGCGCCGGCGCCGACCGCTACGCCGTCTACTGGAACCGCAGCAACCCCAGGTGAGCCGGCCGGGCGGCGCCGGGGCGCCCCGGGACCGCGGCCCCCCGCCCGGCCCCTCCGCGGCGCGCCCCGCGCCCCCTCGGAGCGGAGCGCCCGGCGCCGCGCAGCCCCCGGGGAGCCTCACCCCCCGGAGTTTGGGGGACTTGTGCTCCTCGGGCGTCCTGCCCCCGGGCGCCCCGCCGCCGGGCAGACTTGGGGGACGTGCGCCCTGTGTGCCCCGGAGCGCCCGCGTCCCCCGGAGTTTGGAGAACCCCTCTAGCACCCGCAGACGCCGCGCAGCCCCGAGCCACCGCCGGGGACTTGGGGAACCCCCACCCTCAGGCCTCTCCCGGGACCCTAGCCGGCGTCAGAGTTGTCGGGATCCTCTGGGACCTCATCGCTGAGGCGTGTCCGGGGCGGGGGACCGTGGCCCCCGCTGTGAGGGGCCCACGGATGCTGCCTGCCAGCGGGTCCCCAGATGAACTTGAGCAAGTTGGGAGATCCCTGCCGCCAGCTCCGCTGCAGAGGCTCCCGGGCTGGGCTTTGTGGGGACGCGGGGAGACTGAGGCACTGAAGGGCTGGCGGTCAGTCTATGAGGTTTTTCCCGGGCAAAGTCCTCTCCTGTCCCCTTGGCGCGGATGGGGAAACTGAGGCACAGAAGGGGTGAGTGACGGGTTCAAGGTCACAGGAGAGGAGCAGAGCTGGGGTCGGGACCCCGGTGGCCCCACGCCCAGCCTGCCATGCCTGCAGAGGTGCCCCACCCGCCTGCTCGCTCGGCCTCCTCAGCGCCAGCCGCGGAGACAGTCGGAGAGCAGTGCAAGCCCCTGGTAGTGGGAGCAAGAAAAGTTTGCTAGTGACTGACCACTCGTGGACACCAGTAGGAGCCTCTGGGCCATGCCGGGGTCTCAAAGGCCAACGTGGACAGGGGGTCAGGTAGGAGACGGGGCTGCAGGTTCCTGCGGCTCTGAGGTCAGCCCAACATTCGGGGTCACAATCTCCCTGAGGCTGGCTAGGCTGCCCATGGGGCAACCAAGGTGGCCGGCCTCCCCACTCCCTGCCCTTCTGCCACGGTCACTCTGGTTTTAAAAGCCAGTTGAGTCATCCTCGGGGGCCCGCCATCCCCTGCTGTCCCCCCGCTGTCCCCTGCCGTCTTCCAGCCATGTGTGGCCGGAAAGTTGCATAAAGAGCCGCCTTTGAGGCAGGCTCTGGGACAAGGGCAGCCAGTGTCCTGCCGTGGGGGCAGGGAGCGTGTCCAGACCCTCCCTCAATTGCTTGGCTGTGGGGTCGCGGGCTAAGGGCAGGGATCGGAGCTGCAGAGGGACTGCGGGGCCACCTTTGCGCCAGGCCACCTTGGAGCCGGTCCCCCAGCCGCCTGCCCCACTGGCCACATGTGGGTTTGATTAAGTCTCTTCCCTGCAGCCGGCTGGGGAGCCCAGCGGACAGTGCTTTCCCGGACCAAGTTTTTGGTTTCAGCTCCGGAATCTCTGTCCCCGGTATGGCCCGTCCTTTGTTCTAGCAAATGCCAAAACCACAAGGAGCCTCAAACAGGTAGAGGAGGATCTTTCGGGCACCACCAGCCGGGGGGCCACAGTGCCGAGGGCAGGGTCCTGACCGTGAGGAGGCGGCTCCTGGCTTGGGCAGCTACTTGGCCACCTCCTGTTGCTCACCGGACAGCCCTGTTCTGACCGGCTGCCCGAGGGCCGGCTTCGCCGTCTGGCGCAGAGCTGGTCACCAGCCTTCCTCACGCTCCTCTCCCTTCCTCGTGCGTGGGGTCACAGGTGAGAGGCGGTCTCCGTGACGTCTGAGATGGGCCTGGGGTCAGGGTGGCAGCTAGCCCGGGCCGCCCAGGTTGGGGCTGCGTCGTCACTGAGGTTGAAGGGCTCTGCTGAAGGGCCATCAAGGCCTGGGGCCCCTCGGGGTGTTTGGCGTCCAGGAGTTGCTGGGCCAGACACTGTGCCCGGTGACTGGGCGTGTCCGGCACGGGAGCAGGGGTGACAGGTCAGGAATCCAGAGGCACCAAGAACAGAGATCTCCCAAGGGTGCCCAGGGCCAGCGACAGGAGCCTGGAGAGAGGCACCAGCTAGCAGCCCGGCGGGCAGGGACGAGAGACAGCCTGCTGGGGAGGGCACGGGAGTGGGGGAAACAGACTAGCGCAGCAGCACACGCAGACACGGGGGTCTCAGGGACAGGGTCCAGCTTGAGAGGGGCGCCCCAGTGGTGCCACGGGGATAGGCCGGCCGCAGAGGAGCCAAGGGCGGACCTGCTCCAGCGGGCACAGGCCGGGCTGCAGCGGGCCTGCCTCCCCTCGCCCGGCTCGGCCTGGTACCTGCTCCGAGGTAACAAGCAAGTGGCTGTGCCTCCCCAGCAGCCCTCTCCTGCTGTACCGTGCATTTACTGTGCACACGGCCAGCGACTGGGGCCTAGGGAGCCCCTCACCCACCTCCCCGGCCTTTGTAGGGTGGGGCTGGCATCAACCCCAGCACCTGCAGTCGCTGGCTGTCCTGCTGGCCCGTTGGGCCGGGGAGCCCTGGGCTGGCTGCTGGGCATCTCTGGGCCCGCCTCCAGCGAGGCTGGGCTGGGCTGGGCTGCCACACCCGGTCTTGCCCGTGGGCCAGGTGTGGGGTGTACGTGCACTGGCAGGGGCTGGCGTGAGCCTCAGCCTGGCGGGACCGCAGGGTGTGTGTGCTCGCGTCGCGGTGTGGCCGCGTGATCATCTGTGTGACTTGTGAGCGCCCTGGGAGGGACGAGCCCGTGTGTGGGGTACACATGTGTGTCCGCGTGTCAGGGGGACGCCTGTGCTTGCGTGTGCACGGTGGCCCTGGCCGCAGGGCTTGGACGTGTCTGAGTGACCTGCCTGGCGTGCACTCATGTGGAGCACGTATGTTAGCGTTTGCGGAGCGGGTCTGTGTGCGGAGTGTGTGTGATGTCTAGTGCAAATCTGCGTGTGCAGAGCTGTGCTTGGTGAGGATGTGTCTGTGTGTGGAGGGCGCGCGTGTAGCTGTGTGTGCAGCTCTGACTGTCCTGGGTGTCTCGTGTGGGGACAGCCTGTCCACCGCCCGGCTGTGCTCCCTGCCTGCCCTGGCGGCTCTTCCGCCCCTTTCTCGAGCCAGGTGGGTGCCGGCTGGAGGGACGCGTCCAGGTCCCGCGGGCCCGGTGCTGCCTGTGGTGCAGGGCCCCTGCCCAGCTGGAGTCCCCCACTCCGTTGGGCGCCTGGAACCCGAGTGAACCCGGCGGTGCTCGCTCAGGCGGAGGCTCTGGGGGGAGGGCCAGGCACATCGGCCCTCCTCAGCCCCTGGCAGGCAGGATCACCCCAGGTTCAGGCAGCGGCCTGCTGTCCCCGTGAAGTTGCAGGCAGGAAAATGGCAACTCGGGAAGGCTCTCCCTGCGGCGGACGTGCCAGGGCATCCCAGGCCTCGGGATTCCACCCTCTCACTCCAGCTTCTCGGGGGAGCCAGCTTGGAAGGAGTGAGGCTGGTTTTTGCCTCATGAGGGTTTTTGTTCTGTTTGAAAGGAGCTAGCCTGCCGGCTTACGGGGCTGGGAGGGCGAGGCCAGTGAGTCTGGGGGATGTGGGGCCAGAGGATGCAATCGGGGGCTCTGCAGGGAACCTGGGCTCCGGCTTGGGAGTCTGGGAGCTTGGGCATGACCTCCGGCAGGTGCTTGACGGGTTGGAGCCCCCACGTCTCCTCTGTGATGTGGGGGGCTCGTGAGTCATGCCACTCAGCTGACTGTACCCCGCTGGTATGAACGGGCAAGGCAGGGGCATGGTTCCGGGGGCTCAGAGATCTTGACAGAGAGGGAACCCGAGACAGCACCTGTTAGCGAGGGGAGAGGCTTCCAGCAGTGGGTGTGCCCCAGCCTGGGCCTGGGCCCCGAACCTGCAGGGGCAGTGCCATTCCAGCCTGACACAGGGGCGGAGACTGGCAGGCCGGGGAGCTGAGCCGTCTGAGTTCTGAGATGCCCCCGCCCTCTGCCCAGGTCTGACGCCAGTGTCCGCAGGTGCCCTGGAGTCCAAGGGGTGAGGAGTCCTTCCTGTCGCCCACCTCGGTCCCTCCCCGCCCTCGCGCCACGGGCGGCCTGGGCAGCGGCGGGCAGTGGGGAGGCGGGCTCGTGGAGGGAGGGGGCCGGAGCGGGGCCCGCCCCAGCGCCTGCCCAGCCCGGCCCTCCGGGGACTCCTTCGGTGGCCCCCGGGTCACAGGTGGAGGTCAGCGACGCCACTGTTCTCGGGGCGGCAGGTACGTTAATAGCGGTCTGGGGGGCAGTGCTTTTGTGGGGCGATGATTTCCTGAGCGAGGTCCGTGTGGGGGTGCAGAGACAGGGTTTGGCTGTGTCCCCCACAGGGGGAGTCCGTGTTGCAGGAAGGGGCTGGGGCAGCTCTGTGCATCTCTGCGGCATCGCCCCCACCCAGCACAGCTGAGAGCTGGGCGCGGAGGCGCGGGGGGCCGCAGCCTTTCATTTTCAGGGCCCCGGGACCGGGCCCTGCAGCCGCCAGCCCTGGCAGGGCCTGCCCCGGGCCTGCTCTCGCTCCCGGTCGGCGTGGCAGCCTGGCCTCTGGGCCCAGGTCTCCCTGGCAGCCCCGAGACCCCGGCTCCTCCACCCGGGCCCCTTGTTCCCTGGCCCCCGCAGGGCGTGCGCCCTTCCATCTCCGCCCCATCAGCCCCGTGTTCTGCCTCGTGTCACAGACCGCGAGAAGGTGACTCATACGCAGCCACCAGCAAGACGGGCCCAGTCGGGGTACCCCGCCGTGTGTCTGGGACTGGCTGGCGAGCTTCAGGGACACCTACACGCGTTACGGGGTGCGGGAGGAGGACGGGGGGCCAAGCAGCTGCTCCTTCTTGACTGCTCCGGCCTCCGGTTTCCTGAGATCAGGGCCCAGGGGATGGGTTGACCCTTCCCCCTGCACCCCAGGCTTTTGAGCCTAGTCTGGCCATTTTCGCCCTCTCTCTGCTACTCCGCATCCTGCCTCATTTTACCCCCTGCATCCACAGGCACATGTTTCTTTCTCCGGCCGACCCTGCACTGCCCTGGGGCCTGACTGCCTCTGAGGTCCCGCTCAGCCCTTTGATGGGCAGGAGGGAAGGCGGCCAGACTGTGCCGGGGGTCTCCTGGCCCCTTGGAAAGCTGGGGGCGGGCTCTGCGGTCTTATGGGGGGGCAGCCGGGATGGCCTGCTCTGCCCCAGCCTAGGCCTGGAGTCACTGCTGCCCCCTCAGGAGCTGACCTGGGCATTCCCTTTGCCAGCTCTTCTTGGGCATCTGTGGCTCCTTTCCCGGAAACTGTGAATGAGCCTACACCAGGGAGACAGGAGGGAGGAAGGGATTGAGAGGGGCACGTCCTCTCGGGGGCAGGATGGATGCTCGGGGCCTGGCTCTCCTGTGCCTCAGTTTCCAGGGTGGGAAGGTGGCATAGCCCACCCCCACTCCATTTTTGGTGAGACTCCTAATTAGTTGCTTTGCTATTAGCATCTAATGACTTGACAATCGCCTGATTGGAGTTAATTAGCTTCGGGCTGGGTGGTTGCCTGGAGGGGGTGGCAGGGTGTGTTGGCTGGCTGGGGAGGGTCGAGGAGTCCTGGGGAGGGTCCACCTGAGTCTGGAAGGGCCGCCTGGAGGAACGGACCTTGGCAGGCAACCGGCAGGGTGAGCCAGCTTGGAAGCAAAGGTGTGGTGGGCTAGGGGTGGGGAGGTATGCAAACCCCACAAGCCCTCCGTCTGGGAACCATCCCAAGTCAGTCATTAACCCCTTAGTGAGAATTTCTATCTCTATCTGCGGCTCCCACAGAGCGTTTGCATATCAGGTTTTGGCACCCTTGGAGGAAACGAGGCCTTTGTCTTGCTCTCACCAGCCTCAGGTTTGGGGTTGGGGCCTCCTCCCCCACACAGGCGCCACCCTGTGCAGGGGCTAGGCACCCGCCCATAGCTTGCCCGCCAACTTGGAACCGGGAATGCCAACGCAGCAAGGCTGTCGCTATTTTAGAGCCGGAAAGGGAAAAAAAGGCCTGCTTAGGCAGCCAGAGTTTGGGTGAGCGGGTGCCTCTCCTGGGACCTGTCTGCCTGGGGTCCTCACCAACTCCTACCATCTGGGGTCCGCTTTCTGCTCCCCATAACTCTAGCACCCCAAAGACCTTGAATCCTTGACCTTTGTTCTATCAAAAAACACGTGTTGAGCGCCACTGTGCCGGTCGTGTTGAGGGCCAGTGCTGGTCAGTGGCTGGGAGGGGGCGGAAGCTGACCGACCCCTCCCCTCGGAGAACTATGAAGAGGTCTAAGTATGGTGATGGCAGAACAGCATGCGTGGGAGGTGGCAGAGGTGGGTGAGGCATTCCAGAGTAGGTGCAAAGGCCCTGGGGTGGGAACAGGAATAGCCAGGGGGCTGGTGTGGCTGGAGGGACATGGGGGGCGGGTGGCAGGAGGGGTCTGAGGCTGGGGCTGGCGGGCCTAGAAGGGCGGGGTTAGTGTCTGAGTGAGGGGAGCTCATGGGCGGCTTTGTGCCAGCAGATCACAGGGATTGATTTTCATTCAGAAAAGTAAACCCTGTATTTTCGGAGGTCAGGAGCCCCGCCAGCCCTCCGGCTGTGGCCTCGTGGGGCCCAAGCGTCCAGCCTCCGAGCCAGCAGCCTTGGTTTCTGACATTTTATGTAAGACAATGCTGGCTTCCGGCACAGGGGGGAGGGTAGGCATAATGGGGTATATGCATACTGGTGGGGGAGAGGGGAAAAGGGGATCCTGTGGCCCCATCTTTTGGGGTCCTGAGAAAGCTCCTGCCGAGAGCCAAGCTCTCTTCCAGGCCGAGTGTGCAACCCTAGGCACAATGCCAGGGACAGGAGAGGAGGCTGAGGCCCAGAGGGGCGCAGGGAACCAGAATGGTGGCCCCTCCCCGCCTGTGATTCCCCTGTCACAGCCCCCCATCTCACTGCCTAGGTCTCCACTTGGGTGCTGGGCCTGGGCTGCCTTGGATCACTCATCAGTGGGGTTTTCAGTGGGGCGGGGAAGGAGTGACAATGACTTGAAAAAGCCTGGAGCAGCTTCTGTATGGATGGCTCCTAAGGGGCCAGAGGATGTGGCCAGCCGATGAGACACCTGTGCCCTGCTGGCCGGGGGCAGCAGGAGGGATGGGTAGGGACCCAGTCTGACCCAGGTCTGTGCAGCGCCTGCTAGTGTGCGTGCTTGGTGCCCGCTGCTTGGGGCTGGAGATGGGGTCTGAGTAAAGAATAAACACCCAGCTGGGCCCGAACCCAATTCTGAACCCCAAGCTACATGTTTTTCTAGCCCCCGACTGACCCCCACTTCCTGAGTCTCCCTGCCAGACAAAGCCCCTCCCACCTCTGTGCCAAGCTCACTAGGAGTGATAATAGCTGTGGGATCAGCCCCCCTTTCCTGGGCACACCCAACCTGAAATTCTTCCAGCCTCACCCTCAGCCAGACTTGCAAAATGGCGCTGGAGCTCTGGCGGTGGCTGGGCGAATTTAGGCACCTCCGGGACCCCCTGTGCAGACTCAGCGGCGGTGGGGGAGGCCAGCCTGTGCCACCTGATGACCCAGCTGCCGGCTCAGGTGCCCGTGTGCTAGTAGCACGCCCAGCATGGGGACCTCCCGCGGCTCAGCCACTGGCACCGTGGGCACAGTCTGAATCCAAGTAGCCTGCCTGGACGCTTGCTGGGCCTCAGTTTCCCTCTTGCCTGTGCAGAGATGAAGGAGGCTGGGGGAGCCTGCCCCCAACCCTGGGCTGCTCTGGCCTTTTATATGCTAATAAGTCCCACTCGGGAGGCCCCCTTAGTCCCCCCTCAGTCCAGGCCGCCTTTACATGACAGGGGCCCAGGAGACCACGTCTGGGAGATCTAAGGGCTCCTGGCACTCTGTAGCCTGAGGCGCTGATGGAAGGGGAGCTGCCAGTCCCTCGCTCAGCTGACCTCTATTCTCACAAAGGAGGCTGGGCCAGGGGCCCTACCGGGAGGAGGCGGGGCGGGACCTGAGGGCAAAGGCTGGAGGCAGGGCTGGGGGAGGAGCTGTCAGGAAAGTGGAGCCTGGTGGGGGTGACCTGGAGGTTGGGGGCCAGTTGTGAGATTCCAGAGACAGGGTGAGTTCACATAAAGTGGAAGGAGGGAGGCTGGGGGTCGAACTCAGGGCACCCAGAGTTGGGAGGGCCTGAGGCAGCTTCACTGCAGGCCCCTCCGCATTGAAGGGAAGCAGGTTAGGAGTTTGGGGCAGTTTGCCCCAAAGTGGGTAAAACACCCAGCTTTTCCCTTCAACAGCGCCCGCCCCCCGCTTTTTTGGTAGTGAAGGTGCAGAAAGCAAGCTAAGGCGGCTGTATCTGCTGGGCAGGATGGGGGACTGCTTGGAGGAGGGGGCGTGGAAGGCGACCAGTAATGCTTGTCGAGAGGCGGGCCCTGGGGGCCGGGAACAGATTTGTAGGACCCAGAGGGGCCCAGACGTCCGGGCTGTTGCGGGGGCTGGGGGGCCGGTGGGGGATGTTTTGAGACACCTGGCGCCATTTATTTGCCAGTTAGCCAGAGTGCCCGGCGCCCCTGCCTTCACCCGGAGCGCTGTCAGGTGCGCTGGGGACCGAGGACGATGCCCCGCGGCGGCGGGTGGGGCGAGCCGGCCGCGGCCGAGGGCTCAGCCCCCGGAGGGAGCCTCCCCGAGAGGTGCCCGGCCCCCCGCCGCCCCCGGGAAGCGGCCCCCCGCCCCGCCCCCGCCCCCGCCCCTCTGCCCGGCCCGGTCCCCTTCCCGGCGCGGCTGACCGACCCCCCTTGTCCCCGCCCCGCGCTGGGCGCCCCCAGGTTCCACGCGGGCGCGGCGGCCGACGGCGGCGGCTACACGGTGGAGGTGAGCATCAACGACTACCTGGACATCTACTGCCCGCACTACGGCGCGCCGCTGCCGCCGGCCGAGCTCATGGAGCACTACGTGCTGTACATGGTCAACAGCGAGGGCCACGCCGCCTGCGACCACCGGCAGCGCGGCTTCAAGCGCTGGGAGTGCAACCGGCCCGCGGCGCCCGGGGGCCGCTCAAGTTCTCCGAGAAGTTCCAGCTCTTCACGCCCTTCTCGCTCGGCTTCGAGTTCCGCCCGGGCCACGAGTACTACTACATCTGTGAGCGCCGCGGGGGGGGGGGGGGGCGGGCGCCCAGCACCTGGCGGCCCCTTCGGCACCCCCTTTGCAGATGGGGCACCAGGCTCGGAGCGAGTCTGGGACCCTCCAAGCCGCTGCCAATTCAAGATCTCAGGCTCGCGGCCAGCCAGGGCCTCTGGGGGGGCCGGCCACGCGGAGAGGGCCCCGCCTCTGCAGGGACAGCGCAGCGGAGGTTCCAGGCGGCCCGCGGTGGGAGGCGAGGGGATCGGGCCTGGCCGTGGGGGAGGGGCTGGGGAATGGGGTGCGGGGTCTCCCTGGGCCCTCCCCCAGCACCTGCCCACTCAGGGCCCAGGTGGAGTCAGTGGAGGTGTCTCCGCAGGGCGTGCGCCCCGGGCAGCCTTGGGAGCTGGGGAACAGCGTCCCACGGCGGGCCTGACCCTGGCACCCCGGCTGCTGCGCATGTTCCCTCCCTACGAAGTGCAAATGGTGGGGCCCGGGAGGTGGGGAAAAGCCGAGTTGGGCCCGGTTGGCAGCCCCTTGTTCCGTGCGAACCTGAGCCGGGAATGTGGGAGTCTGGGTGTCACCCCTTAGCCGTGCAGGTGTTGCAGTCCCACCTTGGCCTCAGACTCCGCCTTTACCAGGGGATTGTGGGATCCCCATCTCGCAGCATCTTGGGACTGATGGGGAGCTCATTGGGTGGTAGGGACGCTGCACCCCCCTTGTGGGGAGGGGCCCCCAGCCTCCTGCTGTGTCAAATTAAACTCCACAAGGCCCGATTTCCTCCTTTCTCTGCTATATTTGGATTTTTTCCTTTTAATTCGGGGAAGAAGGGAGTGGGGGAGGAGGGAAGAAGGTGTTTAAATTAAGTCCTTGTAATATAAGAAAAATTACATTTTTCTTTCCAAGACGGGAGTTTCATAAAGATAATTATTGTAATTATTCGGCCTATCTCTGTGTCGAATATTATTTTTATTACGTGCTTTTTATCTTCATCTCCCAGCGTGAGGGGTGGGGGGGTGGACGGGGGGCGGCCGGGCAGAGGTGGCGGCTGGGAGAGGACAGGCCCAGGGGACAGTCACATCCAGGGTGTGCTGGGTCGCTGGATGCCCACGGCCCATGTTCTGGTGATCAGCTGAAAACAAATGGATTTTTGCTCATGAAGTTTGAGCCTTGCCCTGAGGTGAGATGGGTCCGGACACAACCAACCCCGCCTCTGGGGAACTGGGGTGTAGGCCAGAGGTGCAGGGGGTGAGAGGACTCACCAGAGACAGAGTGGGGAGCAGAACAGGTGAATCTATTGAAATGCACTGCTGAGGGGAGCAGCGGGGAGACAGGAAAGGTCTGCTGCGCCCTGTGGGTCACCTCCCTGGACAGGGATCCAACTCCTGCTGCAGTGGCTTTGGATCGCTTGATAGCGCTGCAACTTGTGCCCTTGCGCCACCAGGCAGGGCCTGATTATGAGTTTTATGGGTGCATCCTTCCCGCCTGGGTCAGCGCTGGGTCACCAACCATGCGGTATAGCTCCGTTATGTCTCTGGCACTGAGAACCCTCTGCCCTGCTAACCCCAACGCTTCTCTTCCAGCTGCTACACCACCCAATGCTGTGGACCGACCCTGCCTGCGGCTGAAAGTTTATGTGCGACCAACCAGTAAGTGCTGGGGGTTGATCAGGATGCAGGCATCAACCTCTGTGTCCTCCACCCATAAACCCCATTAGGTGGTCAGCAGGGTTAGCTGCTGGGGGGGGGGTGTCCCATAACCTCAGTGATGCTGGGGCATTTCTCATCCCTGAGCCTCAGTTTTTCCATCTGCAAATAGGACATATCAGACCTTCCAGAATGAGGGTTGAAGTCCATGGCCGTCCCCCAGGCTGAGTCGCCAGCCTCCCCTTCACCCAAAGGGTAGTGTCAGGGGAGTTTCCTGAGATGGACACAGGCCTCTTGCTTGGAGCTATTGGAATGAGAGTCAGGCACAGGGAGAGGGCCTCTGCAGCTGCCGACTTAACCCGGATGCCACGCACGCGGTTTCCGGGCGCTGCCCTCTGCCTTGCTCTGCACGGGGGGCACAGGAAGCCGGGCAGGCATTAGCCAGTTAGGAAAGGGGGGGCGAAGAGGCGTGGGTGCCTGCTGACCGTCTTGTCTTGTGTTCCTCCAGACGAGACCCTGTATGAAGCCCCCGAGCCCATCTTCACCAGCAATAACTCGTGCAGCAGCCTGGGCAGCTGCCCACTCTTTCTGAGCACTGTCCCGGTGCTGTGGACCCTCTTGGGCTCCTAGTGCTAGCCCCGCTGGATGCTGGCCCTGCTGGACAGCCCGCCTCCGAGACCAAATAGAGACGCCGCTTCTCCCACTGGTGCTGCCCCTGCCAGGCAGGGGGCTTCTACCCACCCGCCCCAGGACCAGCCTCTGGGGTGGGGGGCAGCCAAGGCCCCCCCACCGATGCCCGAGGGGTGGGTGTCGGCTCAGCCCTTGGCCAAGGCATCTTGTCGGGACATGGAGAACCTGAGAACCTCTTGGGGATGTGTGTGTGTGAGAGAGAGTGTGTGTATGTGTGTGTGTGTGTGTTTAGTGTATTTTTCATGGTTGGATCAGAAAGACTTGAATTTTAAATTTAATTTATTTCTTGCTGTCACCAGTGACTTTGGGACGGAAACAGAATGGACGAGGTTGGGGGTCCCTTGCCGCCTCAGGGAGGGACAGGCTGGTCTGAGGTGGAACGGGCAAGTGGCGAGACTCCAACTCTGGTTCGGGGTCCTTGGATTCCTGCCCCCCAGCTCCACCTTCACGCTCGCTTGATATCTCCTAGAGTGGAAACCCACGATATTTCACCAGAGAGCCTGGTCCTCTCGGAATTACAGCACCCCACTTCTTAGAAACTGCTTAGCCCCCCCCAACCCCTCGTTGAGTGGTTGTCTCCAAGGCTGAGAAGACATTGTTTCTGTAAATAGAGCCAGCAGGTATATACTGTGATTTCTTTTTATCATATTCCTGAGGTTGGACTGGAAAGTTTCTTTGTCTGTTCCCACCCTTTATGGGGGGGGGCTTTTATGTTGGTGGGGGGGTGGACTTTTTAGAGTAGGAGCTGCACTTCGCAATAAGTTCATTGTCTGTCGGGGGCCCCTCCCTCTACCCTGTGACCTAATAACGTTTCTAAGAAAAAAGAAAAAAAGACAAAAGGGGGGGGGAGCACCATCCAGAAAAAATAAGAACCCCCTCCCAAAGACACTTTAATGAAGCAAACAGCGCATTTATACAAGATTTACTATTTCTACCCCCTTTCCTGATCTGTGTTTTATATATATTATATATAAATATATATTGTGCACGGCTGCTGGGAGATGGCCCAGGCACACCAGGTGGGGGGCTTTTGTAGGGGTTGGCATGGGCGGGCGGCGTTGCCATGCCTGGAGCTGGCAACGGGGCTTCCCTCCCTCCCTTCACAATCAACTTTGGATTCTGTATTTTTTTATAATAAAATGAGTGTCAACCTCAAGGGTATGCATCTGTGCTTGGGGCCTTGACCCTGCTTGCAGGAACATTTCGACCTACTTGGAATCTGGAATATTTCAGGAAGAGGTGTCTTTTAGGAACGCAGGGGCAGATCTGATTCTTTGGTTTTGTGTATCATTTGGGGCCCTGACCCTCCTTATCTGTACTCATAGCCGCGGTTCCCTCCCTTTTTAAAAATTTTTTATTTTATTTTTTTTTAAAGATTATTTATGCAAGAACCGGGTTATAGGCCAGATGCATGGGAGGGTGAGAGGGTTCACCAGAGACAGAGCGGGGAATAGAACAGGCAGACTAACGAAATACACTGCTGAGGGGAGCAGCGGGTGAGACAGGAGAGGTCTGTCGCGCCACGTGGGACCCTCGCCGGACGGCCGGGATTGAACTGGTGCTGCATAGGCTGAGGACAGCTTCACAGCGCTGCGCTCAATCGCCTGCGCCACCAGGGGAGTCCCCCCATTTTTTTTAAGATTTATTTATGCATACAAGGACGGGTACAGGCCAGAGGTGGGTGAGAGGTACAGGGAGGATGAGAGGATTCACCAGAGACAGAGTGGGGAGCAGAACAGGCAGTTGACTGAAATACACTGCTGAAGGGAGCAGCAGGTAAGTCAGGAGAGGTCTGCTGCGCCATGTGGGTATCTCCCTGGGTGGGGATCGAACTTGTGCTGCAGTGGCTGTGGATAGCTTCATAGTTGCATCCTAACCCCTTGCGCCACCAGGGAGGCCCTGTTCCCCCTTTTAAGAGAAGGGAACAAATTCCCTTAGCCCTGCACATCTGGGAGGTGGGGAAGCAATGGGGCTGGCTCTGTGTACTGGCTGGGGTGAGTGCCCGTGCATGTTGGGGTCCCTGGAGCTCGGGACTCCTCCAGGTCCCTTGTCCTCTTTCCCATTCTGGGGAGTCCAGGACAGTTCTCTTAGAAGCCAGACAAATTCTGTGACATCTCTATTGCCAGCTCCACCACTGTGTGACTCAGTTTCCCCAGCTGCCCAGGCCAGGGTGGGGATCTGTCTGTTGTCTCTTAATCACATCCTGACTTTGCAGAGAGCCTATGTCAGTGGGTTCTGGGACCCACTGCGAAGCTGGGAGCTACCAGCAGGACAGAGATGGGTCCCTACTGGCTACTCTTGTCTTGCTGCCACCCGCTGGGATGGCAGGGTCTTGGGCACAACTAGCAACAAGGAAAGGCTCTCCGCTAATTAATTCAGCTGCACTGGGCCCAGCGACAGGAGCTGCCTCTTAATGAGGCCAGCGAGTGGCACAAAGACCCCTGTGTGTGCCCCACCCGCCCCTGTTCAGCAGTGAGGGACAGACTCTTGGCGCCTGGGCTGGGCACTACAGAGGGATCTACCCCACGGGAGGACCCCGCGCCTTAGAGAGGGTTCCCTAATCTCCTGCCTCCACTCTTCTCCAGACCCCTCACAAACACTCCACATAGAGCCAGGGTCAGAGGGACAGAAGTCAGCAGGGGTCATAGGGCAGAATCCTAGCAGCTTTGATTTTGTTATTTTTGAAAATGTATTGAGATAACGATTCACAAACCACACCCACCATCCATCTAAGGTACAATTCCACAATTTTAATACATTCCCAAAGTTGTGCAATTATGACCACTAAGTCCAGAACATTCCATCATCCCTAAAGGAAACGCCGTCCTCATAGCATCCATAGCCCCTCCCTATCCACCAGCACCACAAACCTGCACCACCACTCTCTGGCTGGGCCTGTCCTGGACGTCACTCATCAGTGGCCTCACACCGCGTGGCCTCGCATGTCTGGCTTCTCTCCCTGAGCGTCGTGTGTTCAGGCCCCTCCCGTGGTGGCAAGTGTCAGAGCTGCCCCCTTTTCGTGGCCAGTGTGGGGATGGACACACGGTATCCCTACACCTGCGGCTGGACACTGGGGTTGTGACCGCCATTTAGTTATTAATGAGGATTTTTTTTTATTGTCATCATTGTCATCTTTTCTTTTTTAAATTAAGAGACAGTTACATTTATATATTGCAATATGATTACCACTTGTTATTTTTCAGACAGAGCTTGAATACAGAGGGTCACCTTGGATGAGTAAATACAAAAACAGCTTTATTCCACCTCAGGACCTCTCCCCTGCCTAAGCAGGCCTCCCCCTGCCGCCCCCCCAGACTCCTGCTCAGCTCTCCCTCAGCTCCTTCAGTTAGGTCAGAGGTCCCATCCCACCCCCTCCCATGCCCCTTGCTGTAAAACCTCTGACTCTTGACTGAGCGCCCCCAGAGGGCAGGGGCCAGGTCTGGTTGGTCAGCTTTGGGACCCAGCACCTGACGACAGTAGGGGTCTCCTTCAGACTCGCTGCCCAGCACGCAGACACACGTGCAAGCACGGTTGCAGTCGCCAGTGGGCAGCCCTGCGCTGGACACTTGTATCTGGGTCCAGGCCTCTCAGGAACCACCTTATCCTGTGAGGCCACAGTTACTGCCTCAGGGACCACCACGTGTGCAGGTGCTGCCCCCCACCCCACCCCTGGGCGGTGAGGGGGCTGCGCTGTGCTGCCCTGCAAGGCAAGAGGGGCCTGGAAGCAACCCCCTCAGGCAGCCGAGGCCCTGATGTTGCCCTCCATCCTTAGGCCCCTGGCTGGCCTTTGGAGTGTGGGTCCCCTGGGGAGCCTTTCCTGTGAGGTTTAAGAGAGAAGCGATTTCCCTCCTGCCACCTGTTGCTGCCAGTTCACTGTCCTACACAGGGAGGGGCAGAGAAGGTGAGGTCCCAGAGGGCCCCCGGAGCTACATGGGAGTTGGAACCAGGCCGCTTTTCTGTCTTTTTTTTTTTTTTAAGATTTATTCAATCAGGGCCTCCCCGGTGGCGCAGCGGTTGAGCGCTGGGTTGCAAAGCTGCCCGCGGCCTCTGCAGCGCCGGTTCGATCCCCTGCTGCTCCCCGGCCACCGGAGGAGGGTCCCACATGGCGCGCAGACCTCTCCTGCCGCCCGCTGCTCCCCTCAGCAGTGTACTTCGGTCCTTCTGCCTGCTCTGCTCCCCGCTCTGGCTCTGGTGAATCCTCTCAACCTCCCGCGCTTCTGACTATACCCAGTGCTTGTATAAACAAACAAACAAATAAATAAATAAAAATACATGCCTCTTTAAAAAAAAAAAAAATTACCAAAAAAAAAAAAAAAGATTTATTCAATCATCCATATAAGCACTGGGCACAGTCAGAAGCACGGGAGGGTGAGAGGATTCACCAGAGCCAGAGTGGGGAGCAGAACAGGCAGACCGACGAAATACACTGCTGAGGGGAGCAGCGGGCACAGCAGGAGAGGTCTGCGCGCCATGTGGGATCCTCGCCGGCGGCCAGGGATCGAACCAGTGCTGCAGAGGCTGCGGGCAGCCTCATAGCCCAGCGCTCAACCGCTGCGCCACCAGGGGAGGCCCCACTTTTCTGTCTTGGAGGGAGTCATGGTTCAGTCACAGGATGGGCACCCCCCAGCCTATCTCCTCTGGGGCTCGGTGTCCATCTGTATCTCCATTTCAGGAAAAGCCCCAGGGCCACCCTCTGGTTACTGATGAGGCTCAATCCTCTCCCTCAGGACTGAAGGGGACCACCCTGACTTTTAGGGGTCCCCTGACCATAGTAACACAGCTGGAAACCCCCATGGCTCCCCACACTCCCTGGGGAGGAAAAACTTGAGTCCCCAGTGACCCCAGAGTCACCCCCCTTCTTAGCTCTCCCTTGTAAATCCCCATCTCCCTCCAGGCCTTGCCCTGACTGTGCCCTCTTCCTGGGGCACCCTCCCCAGAGAGCCTCCCTTCTGCCCTCTCTCCTCAGGGCTTTCCTCCAACAACTCCCTCAGAGCCTCTGCTGATCCCTTCCCATAAGGCCGGCGCTGCTCTTGCACCTCGGCTCCACTGTCTTTCCTCTTTGGTGTTTATATTTATCATCTGTAGGCACACCCCATGTTTCTTGTCTCCTCTGGATTCCGCTCCCTGAGGGTGGGATAAATGCGCAATAAAGAATAAATGCTGTAGATACATATATATTTATGTGAAAGGCAACGTGGTCAGAAAAGGGAACATGAGTCACGTTGCATGTATCAGTGTGAGCGCCTCTGGGACAGGGGCCTACCTGTGGTAGTGCTGGGCCTGCCTTGGTGTGAGGGGAGCGGGGCCTGCCCCAGTGGCCTCCTGGGGTCATATTTGGGGGGGCTTGTGGGTCACCAGAGGATGGGGACGATGATCCAGCTTGTGGTGGCCAGGTGGTCATTGATGAACAAATTAAAAGTGAGCTTGCAGCCCCGGAGGCCCCGAGGAGCCATAAATCACCATGAGATGACACATCAGCCAGAAATTAAGTGGCCAAAGCAGGGGGTGGCGGCTGGTGGGGCAGGCAGCAGGAAGGAGGGCCCAGGGGATGGCAGTCGTGATTATTAGTACAATGCTTGTGATGACCAGTGGGGCAGGGGTTGGGTGTGGCCAGCCCAGAGGAGGGGCCTTGAATGCAGAGCACAGGGCAGGTAGCCGGTTGGGCATAGGCTGAGCCCCAGAAACCAGGCCCATAGAGGAACCAGTCATTTAATAGAGGCTACAAAGAGAGGGGCAGGGACCTAAGGGGGTGACCTTGAAAACTAAACAAAGGTGGGGGGCAGGCGAGCCAGGATAGCCTTTTGGGGCAGAATCAGAGGCCAGACAGGAGAGGACCTGGGTTTGGGGTGCTGTTGATCCCAAGAACTACACCTTTTCCCAGAGAGGTGTCCAGGAGGTCATAGGGCCCTTCTATTTTTTTTTTTTAATTTATTTTTATTTATTTATACAAGCATTGGGTACAGTCAGAAGCGTGGGAGGGTGAGAGAATTCACCAGAGCCAGAGCGGGGAGCAGAGCAGGCAGAAGGACCAAAGTACACTGCTGAGGGGAGCAGCGGGCGGCAGGAGAGGTCTGCGCGCCATGTGGGACCCTCCTCCGGTGGCCGGGGAGCAGCCGGGGATCGAACCGGTGCTGCAGAGGCTGCGGGTAGCTTCACAACCCAGCGCTCAACCGCTGCGCCACCAGGGAGGCAAAGGGCCCTTCTAAATCCTTGTTTTCTGTTGCCTGATGGAGCAGAAACCTCTTTGGTGCCCCCCCTCATCCCTTCCACACAGTGGGCTCACTTTGGGAGCCA